TTTTGTTGTTCTTATGTAATAAATGATCTTACAAAAAAAGGATTCATTTAATATTTTTATCATCAATATAGAAAAAAACGGTGGCAAAAATTATACACTCATTTCTGCTCAAAATTATCCAAATATTCTTTCCAAGCGAATTTGCTATCGAGAAATTATCTTCAGCTTATTATGTAGAGCAAAAAAACGATTCAATTTTTCTCATGAATGATTGATAAGTGGGTCTATATTTTTGAATACACTGTAATTTTTTGCAAACTATACAGAAAGTAGTATATTCTATGATATAACTTTTTCATTTTTAATCCAATTATGGAGTATAGTTGTTCGGAACATTCTTTGAACTTTAATTTTACATTTCATTATTATTATTATTATTATTATTATTATTATTATTATTATTGTTTATATAGATAAATCGATGAAATAGTTCAGTCAATATGCTTCGAAAATTGGAAGTCCGTTGAACATTAATCAATTTAGCTTAATAACCATATTTTTAATGACGACAGACTTCAGTGAGCATTTGTAACCACATGGAAAAATATACTTTTACTTAAAAGCAATGCATCGGAGATTGAGACATGGTTTCTTTGATTTCAGAGATTTTCATGAGAAGAAAAATGAGATCAGTCTCATCTCTCTACGACTAATGGTTCTCGAGATATTTAATTGTTTATCTCAAAAGTATCACTGTTTTTTAAACAATTGATAGTAGTTTATTATTAAATAAACTTTTCAAAGTTTTATTTATTAATCGCAAGACACATTTATGCCAAATGTACAAATCAACTTGGCATTAATTAAATGTCATTACTTTCAATGATAAAAAATAAAAAATGCATTATGACAAGTTCTATTTAATTTGCACTTTCTATTTTTTATCATAAAAAATGATAATCTAGATGTGTTTGCAACATAATTTTATGCATAAAATATTTTTAAAATTGACCAATTTCATTTTCCTTTCTTTTGGATTAATTTCAATTATTCAAACAATTTTTATATTTTTATCCGCATTTTTTCATTATCATCTCCAAGATAATGTATCAAAAATGAAGATATCCAACAATAAATTAGCAGAGAATTGTTTAATAAAGAAAATTAGCCCAGATCAAAATCTCTACGATAATTAGATTCATTGTCATTTAAAGGTGAATGTGTGCACTTTTTGATGGGTGCTTATTTGAGATAATAGTAGTTAAAATTTCAATAATATATCATTCCATTAATTCATCAGTTAATTAATCTAAAACATTCGATGAATTCAGTAAATCTGGTAAAAATTCTACCTCTTTAAATTTAGATAAATAAACTTTTTGGAGTCAATTTCCCATTTACAAATAAAATTTCTATTTTCCCAGAATAAAGTGGTTAATTTCGAAACATTACAGATTAAAAAATAAATTCGAAATTTATTATAATATATAAATATTCTAAAAAATCTATCAAAAACTAATTCAACTGATTTAAAAAACATTAATTCATGTCTATGAAAATGAATAAGTTTTTTTTTTACGATGCAGTTGAGTGTACCAAGAGGCATTTCAGCAATGTAAATGCACCTGCACTACCTCAATAACCATTCTTATTTTTCTGTTTCTAACACTATACATATATATCGAATTGCCCGTGACCGAGAAAAACCTTGGCCATGGCTCTTGCTGATGTCGCGACGCAGGCGTCAACGCGCGCGCATCTCGCTCGATGCGACATTAAACTAATATATATATCTGTTTTACGTCGGCAAGCTTACACTTTAGGTTTTCAACCTTGACCTTATACTCTTGATTGTCGCGAAGTTTGTATGATACGCGCTTGGCCCGGTCGAAGGTCGACGTGCACTTGAAAATGCACTGTATGTTTAGTTCAAACACATTGTCGATGACCTTCTTTATATTTTCCGCAGGAAATTGACACTTTGTTTCTCAATTTGTTGACAATGTCGTATATCAAATAATATTAATACATTAAAATAAAAATATATACTACGTATACAAAGTAGATGAGTTGCAAAATCAATTTATATTAATGATTATTTTTTAATAAAACGTGATAGGTAAGATTAATTTCAAATCCTTACTTGTAGCACTATTAAAACTTTTAATACATATTTATTTATGTACAATATTGTTATATAGTATGAAAGAATTTTTTTTTTTCTTCAACAAAGTGTAGATTTAATAGATTTAAAGTAGATTTAGCTAATCTGAATTAAATTAGTATCGTTTAATTATTCGCATAAAGAATCTAATTCTATTCAGAATAGAAATAAAACATCACATCGTCTGACATTTATATTAGAGTTCCAAGAGTTTTAACCTTGAATGTATCCCCAATTCTATTTTATTCGATATATATACCACATTAATGTGGTATTTTCTGTGAATATACGATGTACGTGTGATTATTTTATTAATATATTATCAAAATAATCATATAAAGTTAAGAAAACCTACAGTATAAGTTCAATTAAATTTATAAATAAAAAATCGATTTTCTATATGATGACTGATTGAAGAGTTTTATTTTTAATAATTATTTTTTTTTTGCGATAATATTTAATTTATCGTGCAAAGTGACTTTGAATGGTTTAACTGTATATACAATAACACAAAAAAAGTGTCACCACTCACAGCTTATCTTACATTCCTATTCATCATATCGAAAGCTGAAACCGCGAATTCTTCGATGCATGTAAAATGCACTTAGCCTTGGCCTTAACATTGACCGCAGCGTCCCGACGCTACGCAGTTGCATCAGAGTGCACGCCATGGATGCGGGGAATCACGCGGCAATCGATGCAGCAGGAGTAGGGTGGAACGCAACTAAATTAAGGAAGCCTCTGATGGACTTGCATACATATTACTATCTTTTTGTATATTAACAAAACAATTCAGCAACATTTCTTTCCAAGTTTACTTCATCGCAAAAAATTTTTTGCGAGTTGTATAAAAAAGTACTGATAACATTCTTTTCTTGATTATAAATTAAATTGAATGATAACACAAAAATTTCATCTTAATTATGCATGTTAACACTGAATGTTATTGCAATGAGACTAATTATTGAACATTTTTGTGTAATTGAAAATAAACTAATTATTTATTGTATATTATCAATGAACTTATCTAGTAATGGGATATTATTAAGAAAAATAGTAACAATTAATTGAGAAAAACCAATTAATATCGATAAAACGACACTTTTGATGAGTTCAAGGCGTTGATCGTTGAAACTACTATTAAAACTGTTATAAATATCGGAACTTTAATATAATTGTGTGTGTATTCTTAAATACATATAGATGATTTCATTAGTTTGTATTCGTACAGAAACTCTATCATCATATAGATTGAGATACATGAAAGAGTTACTGAAAATAAATCAAGGTCAAAATTAATCAAGGTCACACTTAAATAAGTGTATCGGCCTCTGTATAACGTAATAAAGCCATTTTTGTATTAAAATAACAATTTAATACATATTTATTCCATACTGAAATCAAAAATTTCTCGTAAACTTTTATTGATTTTTGCATCTAAAAATTATTCGTTATTAAGCTGTTTATAAAGCAAAAGTACTATTTTATCGTTAAGTAATTAAAAAAGAATGGATTCTTGTCATCACAAAAATAGCAAATGGCTATTTTATTTGATTCTTATTTTATAATGATTTAATTCATTGTCATGAGCATTTATTTTTAAGCATCTAAAACATATAAATACCATCAAAAATTATAACGTAAATATTTTCCTATTTATTGATGAAAATTTTATCTATTCATCCTTCTGTGATAACTACGTGAAAAAAAAAATTTTCTCATCAAATTCAGTCAAGTTTAATACAACTAAACCTAAGCATATTAATATGAAAAACTTATCTATGATGGCATATTTTTATTTCTAGTATATTTTATAAAGCTAACATCATCATTTTCAAAAACTTTATTTTCCTTCAAGAGAGCGATGTATATAGATATGTATATATTGAACAAACATATGACGTAGAGTTTGATATATCTCTTTGACTTACTCAACCTTGAATCATTAATATGTCCCTTGCATGAAACGAGTCAAAGTGGAAGGTAATCGCGTCATTTCATAAAATAAAATATTAAATGTTTTCAGATGGTTTTTCTGTATAAAAATAGTTCAGTATACTGATCATAATTGAGGTATAATTAAGAGTATAAATATATCTTTATATACTTATATATTGTTTTTGAATATTTACTCTTTGGAATGAATAATTAAATTTCGATAATTAAATTGCAAGTTTTTATTTTTTTAATTATTGGATTTTAACTATCAAACGACTTGGATTTAATTTCTTAATATATGAAATAATTTTAAGGAAAATATTCACACATTATAATTTATTGATGTAAATTTGATTTAATTGTTTTGAAATTCATTAATAAGTAAAATCAGTATTATATGTGATGAATTCTTGATAAAATCAGAATGGTAAAGTGCTAGTGGACACTCTACTGGGTAGCTTAATCAGACTTATTATTTTTTTAAAATTATTTTTATACTGTTGTTTCTATCAAATATCAATTGCATAGTTAGAATGAATATATATAAATTATCTACTATGACTTAAAAGTAAATCAAAACCGTTAACTTGAAAAATTTATGCGCTCACTGCTGCGTTGAAGAATTTATAGATTCGCGATTCTTCAAAATGGAAACATTTGACTCCATCTATTTAATATGGACACATTCACCGAATGACTTTGCACGTAGATATTTATTCTTTAGATAAGAAGCACGAAATTTATATTACCATCAGTTGGTACTTGGAAATTTTTATATAAAAATGAAATAAACTAACTTTGAATATCCGGATATTTAAAATTCAACAAAATGTGAATTGGAATCAATTTGAATTAAAAGTATCGAATGAGTTTGTATCGAATAAAATCTTAAACAAATTTTCGTTGCAATGATTAATTTCATTGTGTAAAATAATTGATATACCATGTAGTAACAACGATTTAATAATCGAACTCAAAACAGTGTTAAAGAATTATAAAGTATAAACTAATTAAATAAATAATTCTTAAAATGTATTGGTACTTTGGATACTTATTTCATATCTTAAGTGTATGCATTATTTATATAAAAAAAAAATTCTTATAGCATTATTCTTAAAGTAAACATAATAATGTAGTATAATATACAGGTATTTTTGAAACGAATCAACTCGAAGTTGTTCCGTGAGCATCTTGGCTAGCTATTTGAGAAAAATTTCAAACATTTAAATGATGATAATTGAATATTATCGATTCTTGTTTAAAATTCTGTTAAAAATAAATTTCTTTACCTTTGTACGAATATTCTAAAGCAGTGGCAATTATTCTCATATCTCCTTCGATACTTTGTGCCCAATTTTCCGCATCACCTATTTCCTTCAAAGAGCTTGAAAATGATTCTACTAAATTCAACCATGAATGTGTTTGTTTTGCGAATGCTGTTGCTGATTGTTGTAATTGTTTAGCTTCTGCATCGAGTTTCCTTTGATTCAAATAAGCTTGAGCCACTCTGTAAATATGAATACGTACATTTGAATGTTTATTAATTGCATAGAAATGATATTTATTAATAATAAAATAAGTATATCGAAGTAATCATATAGTACCTGACATTCAAGTGATCTACCAAGGCTTGAGTCAAGTTATTTGCTGCTCGTAATGCTTCCTTACGTTTTTGATCTAAGTTATATAAGTAATTCAATAATATTTATTATTACAGTAATTATCTATTATGGCGTAAATATTGAGGTTAATATATATACCTTGTAATTCCTTCCTGGCTGTTTGTTTACTTTGATGTTCTTTGACAATACTAGACAGCATATTGTTATAGATTGAAAGATAACCTCTTACTTAATTATATTCCTTTTTCAACCAAACATTCAATAAAAATGACCCAAAAGGTGTTAACACTGATAATAACTTAGAGTATTAATCATCTAAATGTCAACTCTAATCAACGGTGAATAAACAAATAAAAAAACTTACTGCGAAAATAACTGAAGCTTATAATGAAAAAAGTTAAAATATGGATGAAAATATTACAATTGAAATATATAATATTCTAACAAAACATGGACGCGCATATATTTAACAATGTTTATACTGGACAATAATAGAAAACTTGTCAATAAATTGCAAATTGAATTCTCTTTACTGCGCCAATAAATCCGTTACGGTAAAATTTTGAACTATACATTTCGCGGGAAAATTTAAATTCAATTTTAACTTTTTTACTTTAAATTATGTTTATTTAATGAAATCTAAATAAGAATTATAATTCCAAATGATTTCTTTTTTTATTTATCCTTAACTAATCTTATAATTATTATATCTATGGATTCCATATTGTTAAAAATGAAAAATTTATTTATTTTTTGAATTTATGAATATAAACAAATCTATAATATTTTTATTTTTATAAGAACATACTATTGAAATATGTGCTATGCTAATAATTCTTAAATCATTCAAATTGAATTTTTAATTTTATTCTAAAAATACGTGTGAAACCAAGGAAAAAATAAATACACTAGATATTGGTTATTAAGACATGGTTGGCCTGATTGTCATTGAAAAAACTTTTATGATCGAATAAGGGGAAAGTGATGTATGAATAACTAAAACGGAAGCCACTAACAGTCACATGTGTAAAACATAGGCGCAGCAGTCATTTCCAGCACACCAAAGAAAATCAAAATAAATTGCATTAGAATCTACGCTCATGCTAAACGAGGGAACTTAACTCTTTTGAGGGCTCCAACATGTATTCACTTGCATTTATCACTCGAAATTGTTGAACTCAGTTTAAAGCTAATCGTTCGAGAGTAATCTCAAAGTGGCTTTTCGTTGAATTTACACCTAGTATAGAATTATTTGACCAATTTCAACGACATCTGGAAATATAAAAATAACTTTTAATTGTGTAACTGAAAACTAGTTTAAAATTAAAAGAAGTTTTAAATATTTTTATACTCATCACGAAAATCAATTAGAATTACCACTTATCGAATTTTAATATTATTGTCCTCATAAATGAAAGACAAGGATTAGAAATATTGTATTTGTATTACAATTGACTACTGATAATTCAAATAATACGTTTATTCAGCACATTTGTAGACAGCAGATTTCTTGGAATTCATATAAACCACGTGCATTCAAGTTATATACGATTTTATTATTTTCTTATCATAATCATGTTTTGAATATTGAAATTCTTTTAAAGTATACATAACAAAAAATGTGGTGATAACTTGCTGACTGTGAAATATTTTTAAATATAGCCAACAATATATGTCATTGATAATTATATTTCTTGAACATCACAAATATTGGAATTAAAAATAATAAATTAATTGAAAAACTTTAATAATTAATTTATTATTAATGAAAGAAAAATTAGTATTGTATAGAAAGTGAAAAATGTGATGCAATTTTCAAACATAAGATCGTCATAGTATAACCAATGAGAAGAATCGCCATATGGTGAGGAGGTGTAAAAAAGACTCATACACGTGCTGAGTAACGGCTTGGTAGAAGTAGTAGTTTCTTACCGGTCTACTATTGTATTCCCTCCACGTGTCTTGGATGTTAGAAATTAACTTCGGGCGATGACTGTCTCAGTAGTAGTCAGAAAGCTCTCAAGATATCAACACAAAAGTATCAATTTATTAGATGTACTTCACTATTACAGTATTTAGTTGAAGTTTTTCTTAATTTTTTTTTTACAAAGAAAGTGCTGTTATTTGTGTTATAATGCCGGATAAAATCGCGCCACTCGAACACCAAATGATTCCTGATAAGCCAGAAATACAAAGTGTTAAACTGAAAAAAGAGCTTGGACTTCTAGATGGTGTAGCTATAATTGTTGGTGTTATTGTTGGTGCTGGTATTTTTGTATCTCCAAAAGGTGTTTTAACTCACAGTGGAAGCATTGGCCTAGCTCTTATAGTATGGGTTTTTTCGGGGTTATTGTCTCTTATTGGAGCGTTATGCTATGCAGAACTAGGTAACATATTTTCATCATTGTTATTATTTAAAAATTGGAAATTTTAACAATGAAATTTATAGAAAAGTTTATAGATGAATTTATATTAAAATATTTAAATATTTAAAGAAAAATGATGAATCAAACGTAAAGTATTAAGTCAAATATTTGAATAATCTTTTTCTCCACGTGTTATTTAACATAGACACAAAAATTTTCACACAGCAATTATGATTGATAAAATTGAATCAGCAATTCAAATGATAAATTGAATTATCTTATAAAAATATGGTTGTTTAATTTTGAATACCTTTTATAAGATCAAAATTGTGATGATGTAACATTATCATGAAATTTTGCGAGGTAAATTCATTAAAGAACTGAAATTTTTTAAAAATATACCTTTTATATTTTGGATATTACAACAATGATTATTCACTACCAACTATTTCAAAATTATAATATAATATTAATTACCAACAAATTTGAAATGTTTAAAAAACGATTGATTTCAGGTACTATGATACCCAAATCTGGTGGTGATTATGCCTATATCAGTGATGCCTTTGGACCACTACCAGCTTTTTTGTACTTGTGGGTAGCTTTATTTATTCTGGTGCCGACTGGAAATGCCATTACAGCCTTAACATTTGCCACATATATATTACAACCCTTTTGGCCGGGATGTGAACCATCTGATGAAGCCGTACGGCTATTCGCTGCTCTAGTAACTTGTTTGTATATTCAATACATAAAGAAATTTTTCTTATATTTTTAATCAACTAAAATGGAAAAGAAATTCCAATTAAAACATAGAATATATTTATCGTTAATTTTAAATTGAACACAATTATTTTTAGCATAGTAGCTAAGATAAAGTTTCATGAATACGACAAAGAAGAGATTGTGTTTATCTAATGCATTACTTTTGCATAGATATATATAATCAAATAATAATAAACTAATTTTTTGTTAATTTGAATCGTAAACATTAATTGATTTACAGTAAAAAAATTTTTTTATTTTATAATTTTTGAATCAATTAAATTTTTTATAGGTTTATTAACGGCAATAAATTGTTACAATGTGAAATGGGCAACGAGAGTACAAGATATTTTCACTGGAACTAAAATATTTGCTTTAATCATAATTATGACTGCTGGTGTTTGGTTTTTTTTCTCAAGTGATTCGAGTAATTTTTCAACACCAATGGAAAATACTAATACAGAGCCTGGTTATATTGCACTCGCTGTATACTCTGGTTTGTTTTCATACTCCGGTTGGAATTATCTTAATTTTGTCACAGAAGAGCTTAAAGATCCTTACAGGTAAACGATTTAGATTTGTTTACAATGTATTATGTCTTAATATAATATTTTTCTATATAAATTCTTTTGTTTCTAGGAATTTGCCGAAAGCTATTTGTATATCATTACCTTTAATTACAATTATTTATGTTTTGGCAAATTTAGCTTACTTTGTTGTCCTAACTAGAGATGAAATTTTAGCTTCTAATGCAGTTGCTGTGGTAAGTTTTTAAATATTGGACGTAATTTTTAGATTAGTGTCTTATTGAAAATTGATAAACATAAAAAATGATATACTTTCAGACATTTGGTGATAAACTACTAGGATCAATGGCATGGATAATGCCAGTTTTTGTAGCATGTTCAACATTTGGTTCATTGAACGGTGCAATTTTTGCTTCGTCTCGATTATTTTTTGTTGGAGCAAGAAACGGTCATCTACCTAATGCTATAGCTCTTATAAATGTAAAAAATTTAACGCCTATGCCATCACTCATTTTTCTCGTAAGTAATTATATTATTAGTTCTATTTATAATAATGCAGATAATATAAAGAGAAGAAATTAAACTAATCTGTAGCAACCATGTAATAGTATTTGTCAATAATGTATTCAATTGCATTAATGGTATTAAATTGACTCTTTCATAAGTCACCTAATGCTTTGTCGGAAAGTTAAAAAGAGACTTTAGAAGTTTAAACGCTTTATTGCTTTTGATTCACCCAAATTTAATTAAGCCAATCAACACGAAAAAAAATGTATCAATGAAATCTTTAAGTATAAATCATTTTTATTTTCTCATAATTAGCAATATCGTGAGAAGATGAGATGTGTTTGTAAAATAATTTATCAACGTTATTATGAAAGTAATTATTAAAAAAAAAAGTCTTACGACGTGTAATACAAAGTTTCTCAACAAAATACTATGTATGTAAGGCCCTAATGTTGAAGGCATTAAACCGCTCAATTATAATTTCCGTTTCTAGTGCATTATCACGCTAGCACTGTTTATAACAAAGGACGTCTATGTGCTGATCAATTATGTTAGCTTTGTTGAAGCACTCTTTACTACACTCTCAGTTTCTGGCCTCCTATGGCTGAGGTACAAAAAGCCTGATCTCCATCGACCTATAAAGGTACTGGCGGATACATGTAATAAATAGTATTAACTAATATGTATGTCATACTCAAATAATATAATGTACCAATGACTTGGTGATCTTTTTTAGGTGTCTCTCGCATTACCGATTATATTTTTGATAATATGCATTTTCCTTGTTACATTACCTTGTTACGTCACTCCATTAGAAGTTGGAGTTGGCTTGATGATTATTTTATCCGGAATACCCATCTATTTTATTCTTATTGATTGGGATAATAAACCAAAATGGCTCGAAAATGCATCACGTAAGTTTTCCAAATCTATTTGATCATATGGATGTTGTTATTTATAAAAATTGTGATAATTATTTATATTTTTTTTTATTACAGACTCATTCAACATGGCTTGTTCAAAATTGTTCATGTGTGTGCCAGAGGAAAAAGACGACTGAATAAAACATAAGTTTTAATATTAAAATAAGAATAATTCAATAAAGAAGAAAATGAAATTATGAAATACTTTACAATAATTTATATAAGATAAAATTAAATTAAATTATTAAGATATATCACTATAATTAAAATGATACATATTTTGTTTGAATAAAATTTGAAAATTATTTTTCTAAACCTGTGATGTACAGAAAGTATTAGATTTATTTCTTACGTTTGAATATTTTGTTGAGAAAAAACTTTTAATCATAAAAAAAATAATCTAATAATGATATAACATTCACATATACACATATGTATATATATAGACATTTTTAAGTGAATGAATAATTTACTCAAAAGCATTCCAAGGTTTATGATAATTATTTAAAAGATTAACCATACGTATTTTATATACGAATTAATTAAATTATTTATGATACATCTGTAATATTTATTTTGCGTTTTTATTTGTGAAATTAGTGTAACTTTTAAAGTTTATTTGATTTATACATGATTATTATTTAATAAAAATCTGTATTTAACAGTAAAACAATCAATTTAATTTAATATTATATTTATTTGGCACATATATTACAATATATTAACAAACAATATTTAACACATGGACTAGTAAATATTTATTATTTATTATTGAAAGATAGTGGATGTTGTAGAAGAGTTATAAGAAAATTTTTGTATTGAAGTTGAGCTTTTAAGAGTTTTTATTTATATAAGTTTATTTATTCATTTTACTCAGTAATTTAAATTTCATTTAACAATGCTTACCTGGTGTAAAATCCCGATAATGTAATAACGACTAATAACATAGAAAAGGGATTGAAAGCATCACGAACTGTTTACAAGTTCATGATATTTTTAAAATATTTCCCTTTTTAATTTTAAAGATATTAAAATCTGTATTTTACGATTATGACTTATAGATTTTTTTCTTATAAATACTGTATAATTCATAATATTATGATTATAAAGAAATATATTTTTTAACAAAAATACAATAATCAAGATATTAATGTTCAGATTTTCAATTTCTTGATTATTCGTATTTAGATGCATTGATATCACTTTTTCATTTAATAACCAAAATAATCGATAAATATATAAGTTTGGATCAATTTTAGGTCTGGCACAAGTAAAAGATTTATTATTTTTTCAACCTTCAGCTAAAGGTGGAGTTACCCAACCATATTTTTCATGAGCTTTAACAAGATTTCGAAAAGATTCTTCTGCTGAACGACGATTAAATTCTTTGTGTGTCTTTAATTTTTTTGCAATTCGACCCTACAATTTGAAATTTTATTGAAAGTTAAAAAAATAGATATCTCATATAGTATAAAAAAATAAATTGCTAATCATACCTGTCCTTTCACAACACTCGCAGCAAATTGAGTAATAACTGCCTCAATGGTATAAGCACTGGCCCATCCTCCAGGAGTAAGTAATTCCATACATATTGCTCCACCTTCCATTACGAAACCCTTTTCTATTCTTGGAGAAATCACTCTCATGAAAGGAGGTGCAAATGGGAATGTTTCAGGAAAGATAATGTGCAATAAAATATGAGGTATATTAAGCTCTATCATATCAGCTGCAAGTTCACTTTCAGGATCTATTTTATGCAGTCTAATATACCACTCAAAAAGATTATCATTGACAAGTTCAGCAGTAAATGTTGCATCTCGTCGATGTTGAGATTTTTGAATTTCACTAAATTCCTTCATCAGTCGACGAAGACGAACTCCACGTTCAGAAATACTAACTGGAATTCGAGAGCAATTTCCATGTTTTTTTTTCTTGCAAGAACATAATTTGGTATGACTTGATCCAGGATTATCAATAGCATTTTCAGATGGGGTTACTGCATCAGAACGATGTCGACTGAGAATTCTTCTTGAAGGTGAATTTGTAGAACTACTAGCATCTTCTTGATTGCTAATCTTCTCTGAAGTTCGAAAAAGCTTCTTCAACGCCGCAACGACTTTTTCTTTTGATCGTGTTGTCATTATTTTTGTTTTCAATTATTCTCACTAATTTTATTTAGTTTAAGAACTGTAAATAGAAAACAACAATCTGTTAACATATTATTAAAAAATTGAGTAAATAATTATAACAATCAATCGTTGCAAATAAAAAATGTCACTATTATCATTATTAAGACATTGTTTATTAAAACATAAATCAGATTTTTTAATTATGGTTAAAGAACATAATTTCATCTGAGAGATTAAAAGTAAAATTAAAGAAAGATACGATAAAAATATAGACATTTTAAAGTGAGATAGAACACCACTAAATTTTTAAAAATTTCTTCTTGATAGCAGCATAACTAAAAATATATCTAAAAAGAACTTACATGAATATAAAATGAACATTGATAACAAATAATGGAACAATATACTTACCAGTATGTTATTATCGTAAGAAAAATGTCATCTATCTCACAACATCTGTGAAAACAAACTAAAAGTAAATCTGAATACTTTTCCTACGAAAGAACATAAAATTTTGTGAAGTGTAATGTATTAATTCAAGATGATTTTGAGATTAAAGATGAATAAGCTGAGCGCAATCTCCACATTCATTGAACAACTTAGACGGGAGAAAAGTTAACTATACTGTCCCTATACCAAGAGCAAAGCAAAGTGGTTGAAAGCTTAGATCAAGGCATAATACATGATACGAGAAAGTTGAAGCTCAGCTTGGTGGGAGACGTACATATCGATCCGTCTGTATATTGTTGTTTAATGATGTATGTGTGTACATATCACTTCTATACATTACATCTTCAATATAACGTGGGGAAGATAAGAATATGTCAAGAAGATTTTTTAAAAAACTCAATATTCCTGTAGACAATTGCCAGTTTTAAAAATAGTTAAAATTAGAATTGTAATCATTTAATATCAAACATATATTTATACATATACATATATGTATGATGAATGAAGTTAGCTCTAAACGAAAATAAAAGTTTAAAAGAAAAAAAATTTAAAACACTGTAAATGAATTTATTTTTCTTTCCAAGGTATGACAATATAACTTTTCAAATAACTTCTGCTTAATAAAAATTTCAAAAATTTTCGTATGAAATATGAGAATGCTATGAAAAAAGATAAATACTGAATCCAAAACCATTTGAGTTCTTCCCATATACTTGGCTGATAGTACAACAATTGTTGTGAATAAAAAATTTCTCCAGAAATAATAATTGGTTCATCACTTGCAAATCCTGTTTCCCATGTTGCTTGAATATTATTTATCTGAGCTGAAACTAGATATTATCTGTTTTATTAATTTATACGTTTTAAATATCTGTTAAAAGCTTGAATGTTTCTTACATTTTTTTCGAGCATTATGAGTTAATACTTCAACTAATGAATGATTACTCAAATCAAGAGTATGTATATCATTAAAGTTATTATCATAAATTAGAGTTTTTTGATTGAGACTCAAATCACCAGTCACATGGATTTTTTGGCTTTCATATGGAAGTAAGTAATCAAATGATGCCAACGAGTTGATAGTATTTTTTATGATATTCTAAAATTATTATGTATTAAATAAATTTCGTTATATTTAATTTTAAGTATAGCTTTAAATTAAAAAAAGTTTTTTAAATACCTCAAATTGAAATTCAAAGTATAATAAAAGTTTAAAAGTCCTTATAGGTTGTGTATTATAAAACTGTAGTTCAAATTTCAAAATGTCATTTTTTTTATCATTATTGACATCTACTTCTTGGATTTTCACTAAAGAACAATTATCTTTTATGAGATTTCTTTGATAAACTGTAAAAGTAGAACACACAATCGGAGTTGTTTCAAAATATCTTTCAGCGATGAGCAAGTATTTATGAGTAAACTGTACCCTGGGTGTTTCAACGTATGTTCGAGTACGAATCCAAAAACCACCAGTTTGAAATGTAATTATTAATGGTCCAAAAATTAACAAACACATAAATATAAAAACAACCAACGAGCAAAAAGATAAAATTCTTGTTTTATATTCATATTTAACAGTAGTACAAAACACATTTAATACCGACATATTTAACACATGTTTGTATTTTGGGTTGTCTTAGCAACGATTTTGTATAAGGAAATGCATTTGAGTCCTAGAATTTTTATATAGTTTTCCGTAATCTTTAGTCATTATAAAAATATATATTACGTGTATCTATTATTTAAAGTATGTATATGTTCACTTTTTTCAAAAAAATAACGAGAAATAATTATCAATGATAAATATTTAACAATAACATAAGAACATGCACTTTTGAAACTCACTCGATAGTAATAAATATAATTATTCAAATTTATCCCAGTCTTCAATATTAAACTCTTCTTCATCCTCAAAAATTTTATCAACATTGTCCACGTCTTTTATAGTATTATTTACAGACGTTTTTTCATTTGGTGATTTTGTTAAAAATTTTTCTATTTGATTCTGTTGTTTTTGTTCCGTTATTTGAGCTTCGTTCACAGAAAAATCTAAATTGAGACCAGCTGATGCTAGAAAATTTGTTTTATTCTTTATCATTGGCCATAAATAATCATCAATTGTATTTTTCCCCACTAAATAACGAATAACAACACCTCTATTTTGGCCAATACGATGAACTCGATCTTCAGCTTGAGTTAAAATTCCAGGGTTCCAATAAAGTTCAGCAAAAACAACCAGATTAGCAGCTGTTAAAGTAATACCAGCATTAGCAGCTGTAATAGACAAAACAGCAACAAGACATTCATCTGAAGTTTGAAAAAGATCAACATTGTTTTTCCTAATTTCAGAATTTGTATTTCCATCTATACGAATATATTTGATACGCTTTTTGTTTAATATCTCAGAAATACCATCCAAAACTATCACATGATGTGCAAATATAATCAATTTTTGTTCATTTTCCAGTAAATCATTGATATAACTACACACAGCTTTAAGCCGTTGGCCAGCAGATTCATTATAATATTCAAGTATAGTAGAATGTTGATTTTTAGAAGTTTCAAGCTTCTTATCAAATTTCATCATTTCTTTAGTTTTTTTTGGTATTAATTCTGAATCTAGAATGACAACTTCTCTAATTTTCGATGGTAATTGCTTTAGAACATCAGTTTTCATCCTACGAAGTAGACAATGCGCTTTTAATAAAAGTTGTAACTCTCCGATATTAGAAGCACCAGAAAAATCCCATCCAAAACTTTTTTTTTCTCCTGCACAATATCGGATACCGTATTCTTGAAACCTAAATTAGATTAAAATTAATTTAATAAAATTTTTTCTATTTGTGATTACACATTTATTTATAATAAATTACCGCATGAATGAATGAGTAATGAGAGAAATCTGTGTATACAATTCTATTGGTCTCGATAATGCTGGAGTTCCACTCAAAAGAAGTATATGTAAAGCATCGAAAGCTAACTGTTGTACAGCTTTAGTTCGTGCAGCTTTTGGATTTTTTAATACATGAGATTCATCCTGTGAAGTAATGGCTCTAATTACTATTAACACTAAACATAGTTTTACTAATAATTAAAGCAATTAAATTAAAAAGTCATTAAATATTTTTTTAAATACTCAACCAATATAATAGTTGTAAATTTTTTTTTTGTAAATGTATTTAATGATCTGGTAAGAATATCGTAAGACACAATAGTAATTTGAGCATCTTCTAAATAGTCTTTACATTTAGTAAAATGATAAACTTGGTGCACAGGAATTGATGGAAGATAAGTATAAATTGTATCAGACCATTGATATCTGAAATATTTTCAAAAATATTTTATTATCTTGAATAAAGATAAAATACATAAAAAAAAGTAAATAAAATAAACATTCTATACCTTACTGATGATGGGGCCACGATAAGAAGCGGCCAATCTTTTTTGAAATAATAAGCAATAGCTAATGCTTGTATAGTTTTTCCCAGACCCATATCATCAGCAATAATACAACGTCCATTTTTTTTGATTGCATAAGAAATACCTTCTTTTTGAAATGGCATTAATATATTTGTCAATGTCTTGTCGATACAAGAAAAATCTATTTCTTGATCTTTACTATCAGAACTTTTTTGCTTCAAAAATGTTTTAATGACAAAGTTAGGTATTCCGACAAGAGAAACATTGGAAATATTAGATTTAATTTCAGTCATAATTTTTTCATATTCTGTTATACTAAAACTCCATAATTTGGTCTGAGCATTGTATGATCTTGAAGGATATTTTTTAATGAAATCAATTAATGGCTGATAGAAAGGAACATTTATTTCAAATCTAGATTCTGATATCATATAACATGTTCCTTGAATAGATGAAGCACGGTTATAGAATTTTTCAACTTCAGTAGTATTGACAAGTTTCTTATTTTCATTACTAACTGAACTGGTTGATTTTGAGTTGTAGCTTTGTGTTAATAAAGTTTGTCCATTTTCTATTTTTATTGGACGTGTTTTATCTAAATTTTTATTCCAAAGTTGGGAATTTGAATAATTATTATTCTGACTTTTTGAAATTTGAGATAGATTATTTGATGGTATAACATTTGGCCTTTCATTCTCGTGTTTACTCTGTTTAAAAGATAATGAAGGAGTATCAAACTCATTTTTTCGCTTTTGTGGAGGCAAAATATTTCTTAAATTATCACCATTTTTCGGTTTGTTGACTGGTAACTGAGAATTTTGTTCTTTCCGTGCTTGACGTTTTTGTAATGCTATTTGCCTTTTTTTCTCAATTTCTTCTGGTGAATACATTTTTTTCTGTTTAATTAATCTTTAGATTATTAATGAAAAATCACTCTTTACTACAAATAAATCATTACTAAAGTATTCTTATTTTAAAGCCATAAAAACTTTATCGTAAATTATAGAAATTTTTTCATAAATATTTCTTTTACAAAATTTCGATAGTTTCTTTCTTAATTTCTTTCAAATTAGAAATAAATAAACTCAAAACACTAACAATGTTGTGATTACATGTTGACAACAAAATTACGCATGTGGATATAAATGCAGTGTAGTTTGTATATATACAAACTGTACAGTAAAGTATGACACAAAAGAAAACATTTAATACAGATGGGCATTCGTTATCTCTTTGTGATGATGATGTATTGCCAACATTACCATCCTCTGCAATTATACCGGATAATTTACCGTTTAATTGAACAGTCAAAATGGAGGTGATCGCCAAAATTTTAAAATAAGATTAATTAGAAACAAGAAGTAAATAAAAACATGATAAAATGATTAATAAAATTGCGTTATAATCAGATTCAATAAATATTAATTTTTTCTTTGGTCAATTCGATTTAAATAGGGCGGAGTGTGACGCATTAATAATGTTGAAACATGGCTGACTGTGTTCAGCTTATAAGAAATTATGGAATTTTGATGAAACATGTCTTCGTATGCCAAACTCTACTTTTAGCAACTCTAATTAGACTATACACATTTTTTATAGAAAACAAAAAAAAAGGCGAAGCCGATTTTTGCCGATCAGAGTAATTTTATCAATTTTATTACATCAATAATTTGTTTTTATTCAGCGTCAAATTTATAACATCAAGTTGAATATATTTCAATTTTTATAGTATCGATTTTAGTATCGTTTCAAGTTTTTTATTTAAATATCGTCGTAGAATTTTTTTGGCAACAATGTTTTATAAATTTTATTAAATTGTTATTTTTCATGATCGTGTATAGACAGAAATTTTTGTTTACTATAAAATTGTCAGTGATCTAGTTTATTTCTCAAAGTCTATAGAAAATACGCATCATCAGCTAAAATTAAATTTTAATTGAACTGGCCAGAGGATTTCTCTTTATTATTAGTGCATTGAGATTTTTATCATTTAGATATTATTTTTATTCTAGTTGAAGAATGTCAACTACCGCTCATAATCCTGAAAATGATATAGTTGGTAAGTTAAAAAAATATTTTTGAATTCAATGTCTCATAAAAATCTTCCATTTCAATTAAATATCATTTACTGAATTTTTTAGATGAAAAACATAACTTTGTTGTGCCAAAAAAAGCTATCAAAACACCAGAAGATATTTCTCTTTGGCTAAAATCTGAAGCCTATCATGTAAGTACTAATAATTAATGAAAATAAAAACAAATAGAGCTAGCATATCTCTTCAACAATCAAATATCATTAGATTATTTAGATAAAATGTAAATGTATTTACTTATTAAATTTTTAGGAATATCTCGGTTTTATTCTTGCGTTAAATGATGCAGTTCAAGGAAAAGCATCGAATGCAGAATGCCCTCAATCTGAAATCGTACAAAAAACTATTCTTATGTTGGATAAATTTAATCAATGGATAACAGAAATTCCTCCAACCGAACAACCCCAACGATTTGGTAACAAGTCATTTCGAGAGTGGTTTAAAAGACTTCAAGATGTAAGTTATTATTATTTACTCTAAAATGAAGTGATTAAATTCAAATTCACATCCCTAATAGAATAGTGAAGAAGAGTTGAAGCAAGTATTACCTGATAAATTACATGGGTCACTAGTTGAATTAGTTCATTACTTATGCGAAGGCTTTGGCAATGCTACTCGAATTGACTATGGGACAGGTCATGAAATGGCTTTCATCATGTTTTTGTGTTGCATGTTCAAAATTGGAGCGTATAAAACTGCTGACAAAATAGCAGTTGTTAACAAAGTATTTGATAAATATTTAGAAATAGTACGACGTCTTCAACTGGTTTATCGAATGGAACCAGCAGGAAGTCATGGTGTGTGGAGTTTAGACGATTACCAATTTGTTCCTTTTATTTGGGGAAGTGCTCAATTAATAGGTATGAAAATTTGACTAATTATTACAATTTAGTTGAATGAACTAACATTAAAAAATCACTGTTCTCATTATTATTTACAATATTACAATTGCTAATAATTGATTGATAATTATTTTTTCAGGACATCCTCGTATTGAACCAAGACATTTCGTTGATATGGGAATTGTTGAATCATTTAACAAGCAATATATGTTTTTAGGATGCATAGATTTCATTGCTAAGGTAACAAAATTTATTTATAGAATAGAATTATCTGTTAATAAGGAAAACAGTATGAGGTATTTATCGTAATGAAAAAAAAATCATTGTAGGTAAAAGTTGGTCCATTTGCTGAACACTCTAATCAACTTTGGAATGTCAGTGCTGTTCCTTCATGGTCGAAAGTAAACGCTGGATTAATTAGAATGTATAAAGCAGAAGTTTTAGCAAAGTTTCCAGTCATTCAACATGTATTATTTGGATCATTATTTACATTAAAACCAGCTCCACCCGGACCAAATTTCAGTAAAGTTAAATTTCCCCATCCTCCTGCACCAGCAAAAACATAATTTTTATTTATATAATCAATGTCTAATTTATTATTAAAAGAATAAAGAAATAATATTATTTTAGATAATATCAAACTATGGGGTTACTTTATATCTAACTATCATTTGATTTTTTTAAATTATTTGTAAAAAATCATTTATGCGGTATGATTTAATAGTAATTGTTTTTATCAACAGAACACATCAACTACACAACATAAATTAGGTATAAGAGGGTATAGGGAATCGCATGTATAACCTCAAAAAAAATTAACAAAATTGGACACCATTTATTTCGCTTAGTGTATAAGAAACTTGTGTATTTCTCTAATGTGTAAATACAAATGAAGCAAATTCAAGTAAAACTTAATTTCTGATTTAGTAACAGTTTTTCTTATAATAAAGTATTTTTATATATTATATTTATAAGCAATAAAGTGATGATATTTTAGATAAAAGACCAAAATTATAAATTTTTGGTTGTATTATTAGAGCTAAAACAATGTCTGGAGTATAATAAATGAACTGATAATTTTAAAAATGATTTAATTATACTCTAAATGAAAGAAAACATTTATTTCATCCAATTTTCATTAACGATGATACATCTTATAATTATTAGTATTATATTATCAATTTTTTCTCATGCAAATGGTCACAATATCACTGTAGATATAAATGGGTATATTACTTACTGTCCCTGTATGGGTAAGATTCGAATATAAATTTTAAATAATAAACCAATAAAATATACATTAATAAATTACTATATATTAAATAATTTCAATTTCAGGACGTTTTGGAAATCAAGCTGATCATTTTCTTGGTTCTTTAGGTTTTGCAAAAGCATTTAATCGCACATTAGTTGTACCACCATGGATTGAATACCGTACCGGAGAAGTAGGATCGGTAAGAAAAGCGATTAATTGAATAAATTGTTAACAACAATAGTAATTTTTTTATCAATACAATAAAAACACTTGTTTATGAAATATTAAAAATCTAATTAGCAGAATGTATTAATCATAATACTTTATTTAAACTAAATTACAGATAGCAGTTCCATATACAACGTATTTCAATTTCACACACTTAGAAAAATGTCACAAAGTTATTCCTATGGAGAAATTTATGAAAGACTTAGCTCCAATCATATGGCCTCCTTCTGATCGCATTTGTGCGTTATTTTCAGAATCTAATTTTTATAAAAAATAATTAACTTATACGCAATGATAAATAATTATGTATTTTCTTAATTATTGTAGCTTTTTGTTACTCTGCTCGAGGCAATACTGATTCTTGTAATGCTAAGGATGGCAATCCATTTGGTCCTTTTTGGGATCGATTTAATGTAGATTTTGTTGGATCTGAATTTTATGGACCATTCCATTATGATGTTTATCATACAAATATTATAAGTCAATGGAAACAAAAGTATCCTGCTATATCATGGCCAGTATTAGCATTTACTGGTGCACCTGCTAGTTTTCCAGTTCAGCTAGAAAATAAAGAATTTCAAAAATGTGTTGTTTGGAATGACGAAATGCAAAATAGAGCTAAAAAATTTGTTAAAGAGTCATTACCGCCAGGAGCTTTTATAGGCATTCATCTACGAAATGGAATTGATTGGGTAATAGTTTAAGAACTTACTTTTTTAATCAAATTAGATGAACTGAGTTCTTTCTTTTTATGGATTAAATTTAATGTATTTCATTTTAATTTTAGGTGAGAGCTTGTGAATTTATTTCAAACTCTCCTAATTTATTTGCTGCTCCTCAATGCTTAGGATATAGAAATGAACGAGGTAAAGCAACCGAAGGAATGTGTTTACCATCTTTTGAATTAATTCTTCGTCATCTTAAACGAGTAATTCGAAATAGAAAAGACATTAAATCCGTTTTTGTATCTTCTGATAATAATTATATGATTGAAGATTTAACAAAAGCATTGTCAAGAATGAGTGTTACGGTTCATCGACAACCAGATCCTGTATCACCTCATTTAGATTTAGCTATTTTAGGTAGATCAAATTATTTTATTGGAAATTGTATATCTTCCTTCAGTGCATTTGTTGCTAGAGAAAGAGAAGTCAAAGGCTATCCTACTTTCTTTTGGGGATTTCCTCCTGAACGTTCTTCAACAACTATTCATCAAGAATTATAATATATATTTCAAAAAATCATGAAACATTTTCACAATTCATCGAAAAAAAATCTTTTTCATTTAAAACTTGTGATATAATACTAAGAAATTTTCATTTACTTTAGTAAATAAAAATATTGGCATTTATATATTTTTTATATTCATAATATTGATAAACAAATATATTTTCCACAACACATATGTACAATAAATAATATTTTTTATTTTATTTTTGTGGTGAAATGAACAAAAGTTTATTTTAAATTTGTGGAATGAATGAAACGAATAATGATTGCATCATTGTAGACTTTTGTACTTGAATAAATTTTTTATCTAATCATAGTCTGAATATTATGTTTTTATTACCAGAGAATTATTACTTTACAATGTATATCATTTTTTTCAAAATCACTTGAAAAAAATTCCATGTTATGAAAGGTGTTATTGACGAATATACATATATCTATATATATAAGAATCAAAGAGCGTATATATATATACGTATATATACGACATACAACGAACCACACAATTGATTTTTTCAGTCTCAAGTGTCAAATAGTGTTGTAAAAAGTTTCATTTTTTAAGTAAATTAATACGATAAATTATAAATTTATACATTAGATAGTAAAATAAGAAAACAAAGTTAATAATCATTGATTAAAAATAATGCAAAGTGTAATAAATTCCGTAAAAGGTACAGCTCTTGGAGTAGCTGAATATCTAACCCCAGTTCTTAAGGTAATATGACATTCATTAGTTACCTTATTTAATTAAAGTCTTTAATGAATCCTTAATTTTTCATAAAATGTTAATTTTCATTATTATAGGAAAGCAAGTTCCGAGAAACTGGTGTTTTAACTCCAGAAGAGTTTGTAGCAGCTGGAGATCACTTGGTACATCATTGCCCTACTTGGCAGTGGGCTACGGGTGATGAAGATCGAACCAAATCTTATTTACCGAAAAAAAAACAATTTTTATTGACACGCAATGTTCCTTGTTCTCGAAGATGCAAACAAGTATACAACTTTTTCTTTAAATGAAAATAATTGCGATGATTGCTCTTACTTAATATTGCTTAATACAGTAATATTAACTGATTGTCTTCAATCTATAGTTGTATAAATTTACTGCATTATTTGTATGTAGATTGAATACTGCGATGAACAAGAACGTATTATTGAAGCTGATGACCCTGAAGGTGGTTGGGTCGATACTCATCATTATGATGCTGGGGTTGGAGGTATTGATGAAAAGGTGACAGAAATGACTTTAAATGATAACCAAACTTCTCCTGTAACTGCTGAAACTGATGATAATGATGATGATGATGAAGAAGCTACTGATATGGAAGCGTTTGAAGTTAGTGGAATGTTAGATGAACAAGATAAGGTATTTTAAATTTTAGTGTATAATAATAATTTTGAAATATTTGATGAATAAGGAGGATTGTAATATTATTTTATTAATAATAAATTGATATAATTTTTCAGTATGCTGCTGAAGTAACGAACAAATCACCAAAAGAAACAAACCATTTTCCTGAAGGTGAAATCATTCATACTAGGACTTATGATCTTCATATTACGTACGATAAATATTATCAAACTCCTCGATTGTGGTTATTCGGTTATGATGAAAATCAAAAACCATTAACTGTAGAAGAAATGTATGAAGATGTAAGCCAAGATCATGCTAAGAAAACAGTAACAATGGAAACTCATCCACACTTACCTGGTCCTCCGATGGCTTCAGTTCATCCTTGCAGGTACTTGTTTGTATTTTTTTCATCTTAAAAAAGTTTATGACTTTTTAAATTATTCAATAAAATAATATTTAGTATTATCTTAGAATTTATTTTACTTAGTAGAAATGCGATGAATCAGCATTGTTTTTCGTATTTTTAGGCACGCTGAAGTGATGAAAAAAATAATAGAAACAGTAATGGAAGGTGGAGGTGAATTGGGAGTCCATATGTATTTAATAATATTTTTAAAATTTGTTCAATCAGTTATTCCAACAATTGAATACGATTACACACAAAATTTTATGTTTTCCTCATCAAGTTAAAGTGCATAATTGTAAACAACAGTAATGATAATAATTTAATTCAACACTAATTTAGCTTATTCTTAACTAAAACTGAAAAAGCAAATGTTTTACTAATTTGTATTGTTATACATTTGTCCCATCAGCTAAGTTAATATTTCAAGTTAAATTTTTATTGAATTTTGATTATCAATTGAACTTTTACAGTCATAAGCTACAATGCTATCATTTTCATGTAAAAAAAATAAATTTTCCAGATTATCACTATAATTTTTTTATACATTATAAATAAGGACGAGAAAATCAGTAATTTAATTTATCTAATTTTCATTTATTTTTGTATAGAAATAATATAACTTACTAATACAAATGATAAATGGCTGAAAATCAAATAAGTGAATATCATGTGTATTGGTTTATTAAATGTGTAATATACTCTATTAGCACGGTATTTGAAAATATTTACAGAAGTATTTACATTTATAACTTAATACTATTATATATATAATATATAATATATTTAAGAAACTTATTAATAGTTATTAACAATAACTTACTGTGTAACCAAAAAACTCATCGTTGGTATACATGAGAAAGTTTAAATTGAATGGTTTATTTAATATATATATTGTAAATATATATATATTCATCATTTTACTTTCTAACTACTATGCTTGTAAATGGGTTCAAAATTTAAACTAATTTTGGTGTTTCGATGCAGCAACCAAAATTTCTCTATTCTGTATGCACCTAAACTATAGTAAGATATTCAGAGGTTAACTGAAGAGAATCAACATGGTAAGATGGAACAAGCCGTAATTTCTGTCCATCTTCAGTAGTAAATTCAATAGCCTGTTCACTATCAGTTATCGAAGGAGCTTCCTCAGAAGTTTGATCAGCTGTAACAGTTTCTGTTTCATGGTTATTCGTTAAAACTTTAACTATGGCATTAGTATTAGTTTGAGACGATGATGAATCAATAGTAGATGTTGAACCTTGATTTACAGAATTTTGAACATTTGAAGGTTGTCGAAGATGTACTCCAAGTTGTTCTGCCAATTCTTCAGAAATGACTCCTGAATGTACTCTTATTGTTTGACCATTATTAAGTTGACTGACAAGTTCTCCATCGGTTAATAATTGTCTAGCATCTTGAATTGACAACGGAATTGGATTACCCTCCTCATCAGTAATTTGCAATTGTAAACTCTGATCACTTATATGCATTCCTATTTGATCATCGGTTTCGTGTATTGTATGAGAAGAATGTTTTGAAATCATTTCATTTTCTTCAACTTCTAATGTTGATAAAGTTTGACCGGAATTTTCGGCTTCTTTATCTTCAATCATTCCAAAATGCAATGTTCTTGATTGGTTAGGATCATCAGGATCTTGATAAGATACGTAAATTATTTGCGGTACTCCATCTTCGGACCCTTCCTCTGTAGTTATAACTTGGGTAATATGTTCTCCAAGTGAATTTTCATCACCTTCTTGAGTTGCTGGTAAAATTTGCCAGAGCTCTTCATTTGTTGCTGGTTTAATTCCATTTATTTCTAATAATTTTGGTTCCCTATGAACTTTTTTATGCTTCGTTAAATTAGAACAATCAGCGAAAGCTTTACCACAAACATCGCAAGAATACGGTTTCTCTCCGGTGTGTAATCGAAGATGTTTTTTTAATGCCCATTGTTCTGTAAAACCTCGGTTACAATGAGCACATTGAAATGGACGTTCACCTTTATGTCTCCGAACATGACATTTCCAAGTATCTTTATGTAGAAAACTCTTGGCACAGAACTCACATTTCCATGGCCGTTCTCCAGTATGTCTTTTAACGTGTAATTTAAATTGCGAAGATGTAGTAAATTTTCGACCACAGTGATCACAAGAGTAGGGTTTTTCCCCAGTATGAATACGCATATGTTCTTGCAGATTTCCATTTTGTGAAAAACTTTTAGAACAAATATCACATTTATACGGCTTATGACCAGTATGCCAGCGATAATGTAATGTTAGGCTTGTTTTATGAGCAAATTGTTGATTACAAATTTCACAAGAATATTTTTTTTCTCCCGTATGAGTTGATTGATGATTAATTAAATTAGCTTTTGTTTTGAAACTTGCATTACAAGATTTACACATATAAGGACGATCATCTGAATGGACAAGCTGATGGCGTTGGAGAAGTTGTTTATGTTTGAAACTTTTACCACATTTGTTACAAACAAATCTTCTTCCATTATTGTGTTCAGCTTCTTTATGGTATACAACAGAACTTGGATGATTTAAAACTTTTCCACAAATATCACAAGTATATCCTTTTTCCGTTTTATTTGTATCATGAGTTAATACATGTCCTTTCAAGCTCGAGTGAAAAATGAAAGATTTGTCGCAGATAGTACAAACGTAAGGTTTTTCTAATAGATGAATTTCTTTCATATGAATTTCATAATCATCTTTAAGATGAAATGTAATATTGCATTGTGAACATTCAATACTTTCCAATTCATCTTTTGGTTCAGATTTATCATCTACTTCATCTATGTTATAGTCTGCTTCATTTTCGTTCTTTTCAATTTCATCAGTTGTAAATTTTTCAATAGTACTTTTGGAAGTTTCTGAAAAGATTTCAGGCTTGTTAGAAACAGGTTTCACTTGCATTTGAGTATTTGTTGATTCAAAATTTTTAATTATTTCACCAGAATGACCAGTAGTTTTTTGATGGAGGTTAAAATTGTCTACATTAGTAAATATTTTATTACATTCTGAACATTCGTATTTCATATTTTTATGATAACTTTTGTGCATTATGTATCTACTACGTTGTAAAAAGCCTCTACCACATAAATTACATGTAAATTTATTCTTTTTCTTTTGTATTCGAGGTCTTCCTCGACCTCTACCTTTATTAACAATAACTAATTCTCCTAAATCTTTACCTTCTTCCGTTTCTAAATGTCCAATAACTTCTTCATTTACATCAGGAATGGATAGAGTTTGTTGTTCATCGACATCATTGTACTCTCTTCCATCATCGTCATCATCAATTACTCCTTCTTCTTTGAATATTCTTTCTAGTTCTTTACCTTGGACAACTTCAGAAAATCGTTTGGGAATTTTCCGTTTTCTCCGCCGTCTACCATCACCGTCTAGATCATCTTCTTCATCTGGTTTGTCCTCTTCTTCCTGACTTATGTCTTGACTTTCTTCAGCCTCTTTCAATTCATCTTCGAAATGACTCTTCGGTGGACGACCACGTTTTCTTCGTGGCTTTTCTAAACCTTCCATTTGTAAACTCATGTCATGTTCTGCGGCATACATAGAACCATCAGGCAAAACTGTAATTGAAAAATAAACAATGAGATTTATTGACATTATTATATAAGAATTTTAAAAATCATAAAAGCTTACTTTTTATGACAATTTCTTGTGCAAAAGAGTCTTGATTATTTTTATCATTAAACTGGTCTACTTCTGGTGTTTCAATTGATAATTCTATATTTTCTCTTTCCACTTTTAAACGATCTCGATCAACCTTTTTTTGTTGTTCTGTTTGTTGTTTCCATAACTCACGAATCTTTCGTTGACCATCAATTAATAAATCGAAAAATTGAACTGTTGCTTCAAGTTGAATGTTACATCCTGGGCAAATGGTTCTTGGTAATTTACCATCATCTCGAATCTGTAAAGATAAATAAATAGTAAAAATACCTTATTTGAAAGTTAATTTAAAAATATCTTGATTTGTGTAGTAACGAAGTATGTTTTAAAAGTAGTCAAATGATATCCTGAATTTTAAATTGATTTAACTTTAAAAAATTTAATACCTTTAATGGTAAATAACGATTAACCATAAAGCCCAAATCAGGTTCAGTTCCTTCACTAGTGTATAATAATTCTCCGTTTGCATTATTTTCTGCACATAATCGACAAATAGTTGAATCATATAGAGGAACCTCCGTCATGGTGGCGGGATAAATGATGAATAGGAGATGACTGTTTCTTCAGCAATATCTCTTTCAATGATTGAAGCTTCAAAACGTCATAGAAGATATAAGAACATTTGGTTATTTCCAAATTTAATGGTTTAACCAATGTATAATTAATCCAAATAAAAATTTGCCAGTATTAACATCAAAATTTCTTTCATTGTACAGAAAGCATTAATAGACATGCTTTACTGTAATAATATGACATAAAATGTATAAAAAATATTAACGATTCTCTAAGAATTACTGATTATATCAATATTCTTTGATAAATAAATAAAATTATATCTTCACTAGATATATAAGAATTTATGTACATTTAATAATTTAATAAATGGATAACTGAATAGTGTAGTAACAATCTTTAAGCCTAATTTTCAAAGGTTGATTTTTAAAAAAGAAATAAAATATTTTTAGCTCAAAAACACAAGTGATATTGCGTGTACATTCAACGTACTACTGACGTACATTTTTTTTAAGGTTATACATGTGATTTTCCTATACCACAATACACAGTAAAAATGTCCGCAGCTGTAATTTGACCAAATTGACTGGCAAAATATCTGGTTAAATAACTTTGGTCAATTGACCAGATATTTAACTAGTTAATAAACAGGTTATTTTACCTTTTCGATTTGACTATATTATATGCCAGGTCCGTCGATAGGAATGGTACCGGAATGGATACTCGGTTCGGTACCATTCCCATTGACAAACTTTGATTATATTTTGTGTATTTTGAGCGTGGTGTAGAAAAAGAATTGAAAAAAATACTCCAATGCCTTTGCAAAATTTGTTTTTATATTAATTCAGTGTTTATAGACTATTTATTATTTATCTATTGTATTAAAAGTAATGTGTTTATTGTTTTTTTCTTCAAGTTTAATAATTTATTTGCAATAATGGGAAAAAAACGAACACAAGAAAATGATAATGAATATGATCCGGTTTCGAAGCATCTTCGACCAGCTCATAAAGTTAATGATGAAAAACGTTTAATAATTATTCTAGAAAATGCTCAACTAGAATCGGTTAAGGTAGGAATAATGAACTTTAAATAAGTAATACGTATACGTCTGTGACAATTATTCATGTTTGTTTTTTTATTATAGGTGGGAAATAGTTTTGAGCTTCTAAACTGTGATGATCACGCTAATATTTTAAAGAAAAATAATCGTGATCTTGGAAGTTGTCGACCTGACATAGTTCATCAGTGTCTTTTAATGCTTCTAGATAGTCCTCTTAATAGAGCAGGATTATTACAAGTTTATGTCCATACTGAAAAAAATATATTAATCGAAATAAATCCTCAAACGAGAATACCGAGAACATTCAAGCGTTTTGCTGGCTTAATAGGTAAATTTTTAGACGACTTCCCTCTGAATTATTGCACAATTTTATTGCCTTTAATTTTAATTGATCATAACATTTATATCAATTTTATTTATTGTTGACTTAATTCGTATTAATTATTTCAGTTCAATTACTGCACAAATTTAGTGTTCGAGCGTCCGATGGACATATGAAGTTATTAAAAGTTATCAAAAATCCAGTAACGAATCATTTACCAGTTGGTTGTCGAAAAATATTAACATCTTATAATGCAGAACAAAAAGTTGATCCTAAAAAACTTGTTCCTTCTACTGATGAACCAATTGTGATTGTTGTTGGAGCGATGGCTCATGGTCAGGTACGTTGTTTCTAATATTTCATTTAATACATGATATATTTATTCTATTCAACATATCAAATTATTTAGTACTAGGAGTAGACGTTACATAGTTTTTTAATTATTTTAGGTAAGCACTGATTATACCGAAGATACTGTATCTATAAGCAGTTATCCATTGTCTGGAGCATTAGCATGTGCTAAAATATGCACAGCTTTTGAAGAAGTATGGAACGTAATGTAAATATTTTTTTAATATAATGTGAAAGGAGAGTAAGATATAATTTGTATATGAGATATAGAATAATGAAAATAAAAAAACGATTTTTGAAAGTTATTTTGGAGTTTGGAGTAGAATTTGTATTTTTAAGTCTTAAGTCCTTATTTCATCTTCAATGCTACTCAGTTGACTACCAAGAAATAAATGCCAATCTGAATTTAAGGTGACACTCTGGAGTACAATTAATAGATGTGTTTATTAAATTTGCTCTTATTGACATCAATTTATTAATCCAAAACATTCTAAGCATATTTCATTTTTTACAAATATATACATAAATTATTTTCAAGAAAAAATTTTGAGAAAAAGTTGTTAAATACACTATTTAGAATAGAAAAGTTCTCTCATTGATAAAACATTTTGTTGGATTTACGCTGTAGTTTAATACAAAGTAGTATTAATAATTCTAGTAATTTACTTGTAGATTTGAATTAGATTTTTAATTACTCTAAGGATTTTTATCATATCAACTCAATCTGGATTCCATATATCAGCCGGTAGTTTTATAAAATAGCTGTAATCTATAGCAACATTAACTTGCAATTTCTATTAATTTAAAAAAAATTAATTTTATTGAAAAATTATTATTATTTACAACCATTTTTTTTTGTTAAATCTAAGTGATATCTGTTATATAACTCCATGTCTTTTAAGATTATATTGGATTGATACTTATTAAATGCAAAAAAATTGACATCTTATGATTTGATCAGAACAAAGTAGAAATACAAAAAAAGAAATAAATTGAGATATCCTAAGGGGTTGTAAATATGTTTATCAGTTGTTGAGTCTATTTGATTGAATAATCTACATACATACACATAATAACGTGTGATAAATGTCAAACAATTAAAATACGAGTAATTATTGTAAAAAGAGGTTATGGTTCCATAGATACGGTGTATAGTTTTATGCACATCGAATCAACTAAGTGCTTTTTTTTTATTGGTAAAAAGAGTGCTGAGTGTGGGGAGACTAATTTGTTGGTTTAACGATCATATGCATGTTATGATTAGATATTCGCTCCGGATTAACTCAGTCGTTATATCCAATTTTGAAATTCTTTATCTTAATTTCTAAAATATCAATTACTATTTCCATTGCAGTTTTTTTTGGATATTATTATTCTAAATTAATAATTTCTCAGAAAGTAAGAATGGTTTTATTAGGAGAACAATTTCCAAATTTTAGTGCTGAGACGAGTATGGGAACAATTCAACTTCATGAATGGCTTGATAATTCGTATGTAAAAAGAATTTATGTATGTATATATTAAAACTCACATGTTAATAAAAAATTTAATTTCAGATGGGGAATTTTATTCTCTCATCCCAATGATTTTACACCGGTATGTACGACTGAATTAGCACGAGTTGTTCAATTGTATCCTGAATTTCAACGATTAGGGGTCAAAGTTATTGCGTTATCATGCAATTCTGTTGAATCTCACATCACTTGGATTGAGGTAATATTTTATTGTTATAAAAAATTTAAAAAATCTTATAATTTTTACTGATTATAGGATATTAAAAGTTATACAAAGATGCAAGTATCTAAATTTCCATATCCTATAATTGCTGATGAATCTCGTACCATAGCAACGTTACTGGGAATGTTAGATCCTGATGAAGTTGATGACAATGGGATTCCATTAACGGCTAGAGCAGTATTTATAATTGACCCACTCAAAAAAATGCGTTTGTCTATTTTATATCCTGCTACAACTGGACGAAATTTTGAGTTAGTATTAAAATGGTTATATTTATTTATTTTTCATAATTTTCACACGATTTATTTAGCATACATTAATATGCAATGTTATTAAAACCACTACAGTGAGATTTTACGAGTTATTGAATCATTGCAATTGACCGATAGGCATCGTGTTGCTACTCCAGTCGACTGGAAGGTATGCTTTTTAAAAAAGATCTCATTTTATTAAGGTATTCCTTTAGAATAAATAACATATAACATGAATAAATTTATTTTACTCGTTCAATCGATTAAATAATTGATTAAAATTTATTAATTTATTAAATAATACTGAATGAAATAATTGATGCAAGTTATTATTACAGAAAGGTGAGGACGTAATGGTTCTTCCAACTATACCTCCTGAAGAAGCCAAAAAAATATATGGTGATAAGATGAAATTAATAAATGTACCTTCTGGAAAGCAATATTTACGTATAGTAGCACAGCCTACAGATAGTTCATAATCTATTGAATTCAACGAAAAGAATTATATTTTTTAATAAAATAATGATTATAATAACAGTGAAAATTATGAATTTTCATATTAACTGCATTTTGTTATACTTTTTTTTATAAATAAACTTATTGGAGTATTGAATTGGCATATTGACTTTTCTTACTATACCTATTTGACAGGATATGATATCCAAAATGGAATTTCATTTATAATATTATTCATATGCACCATTTGTTTCGTTTAATACATTCGACGTGTATTTGACACATTTTGCAAACAACAAAAGAAGCCATTTATTACTTCATCTATGTATAATTAAAAGTACATTGTATTCATTGTTATATATACACTTATTATCCAAGTACACAATTGTATTTCTTTATGCTATTCTAGGCGAATATCAGCTCAATATTTACATTTCGTTTTTATTTTTTCATTAATATTCAATTAAATTTTATATATATATACACATATATATATAGATTTTTATGTATATATGTATATACATATAGATAGATAATATAATATTATAATAGTTAGATTATATTAATACGCAAATATATTTGCATATAATATTAAAATAATAATATATATTAGCAGTTTATAGTATAGTATATAAAACAGTCCCTGGTCAAAAACCAATAAGATCAGATAAAAAATAAATTTAATAAAGTTAATGTCTCATTACTGTCATTATAATGTAATTAAAAATTGAATAACTACACAAAGTATACCAGAAAATACTATTGCGTTGTTTCGATTTTATTATGATTATAATGATTATGAATAGTATTAATATTAATATTATTATTATTTTTATAATAATTATTATTATTACTTGCATTAAGAATACTTTTAATGCAAATTATTATCGTACATTTATCTATCATCGTTTATATTTTAATGTAGATTCTCAAACTCACTATCACTTGCAAATGTAATCCGTGAAATTTTCCTGGTTAAAAAAATTGTTATTATGGTTCTTTCAAGTTTTTTTTTTCTCACTACATAAAAATGTAGTTCATAAATTATTAATTAACTATAATTTTTTTCAACACTGTTCACTTATCATCACTACTGGAATATTAAAAGCTCAAACATTTCCCACTTATGCCACATTATTAAGTTTGAGAATTTGTTTTTCCAAGTCAATTATAACTATGATTTCGATCAAAATAATCTTTTTGATCATTTTCATTCGCTAACTGGTTGATTTTCTTGTTCAGCAGCAGCCGAAGCGGCAGCAGCAGCAGCAGCATGTAATTCCTCCTCCATTCTCGCTTGTCTTTCAGCAGCAGCTCGTGCTTGTCTTCCAGCACTTGATCGAAGATTTTTACGTTCTAATGGTGGTTCAACCATCTTTTTACCTCCTCTAGATTTCTTTCCTCCAACTTTAATATTTTTACCATCTTCTTCCGATTCAAAACTACTTGATTTATTAGCACTATGGTCCTCTTTGGTAACCGTATGTAATGAATCATCTGTTGGTACCAAATCCACAAATTCTTTACTACTATTATTCGAAATATTAAGTAGTATATTAGATTGATTAGATGGATTTGATTCTTCTGCTGATTGTGCAAGTGATAATTGTGGACATATGGATGTTGAAGTTGGTGTTGAAGTAGGTGTAACCGTTGGAGTTGGAGTTGGCGTAGATGTTGGCGTTGGTGTTGATGTTGGCGTAGGTTGAGGGGTTGAAATAGGTGTAGATAATGGTGTTTGAGATTTAGCTGTTGAATTCATTGATAATTGTCGTACAATTGTTTCATCAGCATTAGATTCATTCGTAGAAGTTGATTTGAACGAAGAGGATTCCCCATCAACTTTACTTTTTTTATTCACTGGCTCTAAGGTAACTTCTAATGTAGAAGGAATTGATTGTTCTGATGTTGAAACATCTAATGGTCGACTTCTTTTTTGTGATTTCTGTGATTCATCTATATTTCTTGTTAATAATTCAGCACTAGTTCTACTTAATTGTTCTAATGCTTCTTTCATTTCTTTATTTTTTCGTTCAATTTTTGACGATAAATCAGTAATATCTCCAACTTCCATAGATTCCTTTCTGTCTGAATCACGTTTTTTGTCTTCGGCATGCATCAATTCAGACGTATATTGTTGTAATGTTGTTAATGTTGAATCTAATGGATATTTTAAAGGTGTTGCTAACACAGAAGATGATGATGAGGAAGATGTAGATTTTTTCTCTGCATCTTTTCGTTTATATGAATCATTAGAAATATCTCGTTGACGAGACGATGTATTACTTGATGAAACAGTTGATTTTCGAGTTGATGATGCTGTAGACGTGGGCGGATTTAAAAGACCGCATTGAGCAAGACTTTCATAGGCCGATACTCCTCCAGGTTGCATGGAAAATGGATTTAATCCACCAAGTCCTAAAGGTGTATACAGTAAACTAGGATTTGGAAAGAAAAATGGAAACGGTGTAGTTGTTGGTAATGTTGACGTTGTAGATGTCGATGACGTGGATGGTACGGATGTTTTACTAGTTGGTGTATCAATTTTTCCTCGTGCTGATTTTGTAGCACTACTAGAACTACTAGTACTACTGCTTGTAGATCCAGTATTTTTATTGGCTGTATTCGTTTCTGTGGAACTATTTACAGTAGAGGCATTTAATGCTGCTTCCATGCCAGCTAACGAAGGCAATCCAAGCCCTGCTAGATTAGCAAATAATGAATTCGTCAAATTCATATTACCAAGATTTCCAAGATTTCCTAAGCCACCAAGTGCACCGATATTTGGTAAACCACCAAATGGCATAAGAAGTGGATTACTCTTTGGATCAAAATTACCGAGCGATAGAGTAGATAGAAGAGAATTACTTAATCCGGGGAAATTTAATTGTGAAGCCATTGATGTAGCAGTCAAGTTAGATGGAGTAGAAGATGCTTGACTTGTTGGACTAGGCATCATTGGTGGTCTGCCGGGACTTTTTCCTTTGCTACTACTGCTACTACTATTATTACCACGTTCAGAACCTGGTAGTCTCTTTTGTAAATCATGGGGAAGATTGCCACGTTCTTTTACAAGTTCTGCCCATTTAGGGTCAACATCAAACATGGGATTTTCCATTAACCATTGACCTAATCGTTTTAATTGTGGTGCTTTACTTCCAGTAACCTACAAAAATATATTCAATGAAAAATAAATTAAAAACTGAACTTTTTATCACAAAAATATTGATACAAATGAATGTATATATTACCTTTTTTCCTGTTAAACGATTTATAACAGCAACATTTTCTTCTCCAGTGAGTTTCTTCCAATCAAGTAATGACGGATCAACTCTTGGTCTTCGTCTTCTAGGAGCATTAAGATATTCAGCACCTAATTGTTCTGAAATAGCAGTTTGTTCTGCAAGCCATTTATTAACTTTAGCTTCATGAGAATAACTTCCAATTTTTGATGAATACTCAGCAACTTTATTAATATCAGCAATCATAGCTTCGTAGCTTTTACGATGACTATTGGATGATGATGATGCTGGTGATGATAATTGAGCCGAGTTAAATGATTGCTGTTGATGTTGCAACTGTTGTTGCTGATGATGATGAGCTGGTTGTTGTTGAGTTGATTGTGATTGGCTTTGTTGTAACTGTTGCTTTTTTAAATCACGATTTTGTTGCTCTGCTTGAGCTAAAAGTGCCGAAAAACTATCTTTATGTGAATGTAAAGATGGTGGTGGTGGAGGTAAAGCTGTATTAGATCCCGAATTTCTTGATGATGGAATTGATGTGACAGTTATAGAAAAAGGTTTTTGAGTTGATGGTGAAAAATTACTTAAACCCATAGGAGCAGATGTGGGTGTTACTGTTACATTTGGTGTAATTGTACTCTTTTTATTATGTTCTGCAAATAGGCCACTACTTCCTTGTTGTTCTTTTGCAGCACTTAATCCTAAAACAATCTCATCTAATTTCCTTCTTTTCTTTTCTTTACCAATTGGAGATTCTTCAACAGGACAGTTTTTACGTTTCATCAATTTATCTAACATAGAATCTAATTTTCCTTTATTACTACTACTCGACTGTTTATTTTTGCTTGGCATTGAAAAATCTTGAACCTCACTCATAATATCTTTATTAGATTCTGTAGAAGATTTATGAAATCCTGCTGATAAATCAATTGGTGTGAGTGTACTTGAGGTACCAGGAATTATAGTAGTTTTACCAGGTACTGTATATTTCAAGTCGAATGGTACATTAGGTGTTCTAGCATGCTGATGTGCTGGTGGTGGTTGTAAGGAAGTCAAACGTCGTGATTCATCCGATGTATTATTATCGTCGTTAATATCCCAAGAGGTATTAAGTACTGATGGTTTACTTAAGCTCGATGGTGGCTGAGATGACATATGACTGCTGTTTAATAAAGCATGGAGTTTTGCTCTTTCTGTTTCTACATCAATAGCAATATGTCGTTTACGTTTTTTGGAAGTAACTAAATTATTTGTTGCAGCTAGAGCTCGTGAAATACCATGATCAGTTGTTATAGTTATTACTTCAGAATTATCTTTTTCATTAGATATTTCTAATTCATCACCTGCTGTAAAATTGATAGCAACGGGCCATTCTTTATGTTCAATAGCATGAACAATATGCATCAACCGTGCTTCAATTGCATGCTCTTTAGGCCATTTTATCGAAGCAGGGAAATTGTGAGAAAATAATTGTGCAACTGATGTTTCAGGGTATTCAGTTTTATCACGAAGTACAAATGTATCAATTTGTGTTAATCGTGAAAGAGGTTGAATAACTTCTAAGTCAGGAAACATTGCTTTGAGTTCTGCTGCTTGAACACTACATTTATCATCAATTTTTGAAGTTTTAGATGTTTGTTGTTTCTCAGTAGTCATTTTATCATCATAAATTACTTTCGATTGTTCATTTTTTTCTTCTGTATCTTCCGTTTTCATTGTAACACTACTAGGGCTAGAACTTTTGATTTCAGATACTAATAATTTTTCATTATTTACAATACCAGCAGCAGTTTCAATATCTGCTTTGACGTCTATTTTTTCTGTCGGTGCTTCATTTATTTCCTCTTTTGCTTTTTGTTTATTTTCTTCATCAAGTTCCTTCGTTTCTTTATTTTCAACAGTTTTTGTATCATGTGCTATATCTTCATTAACATGTCCATTTTCCGATTCTTCCTGACCAGTATTAACTACTTTTACATCTATATTTTTTTCAGCAGCATCAGTAATTTTTATTCTATCACTATTACTATTTTCCGAAGTTTTTCTATCACTTCCTTCAATAGAATTATTTTTATCTGATTCACCCTCTAATTTTTTATCATTTATCAACTTGGTCATTGTTTCTCCTTCTATAGTATTTTGTATATTATTTTTATTTTCTTTTATACGATAATCATCATTTTCTTTATCATCCTTTTCATTACTTATCTTTTCAGCGTCAGTATCTAATTTGTCTTCAATTTTGTCATTACTTTCATTTGATTTTTTATCTGAACTAAGTTTACTATTATCATCATCACCAGCAATAGTTTTGTCAGTATTTCCAATAATATTTATTTCAGGAACTTTAATTTCTGTTGGTTTGTTAGCCATCACAGTCGTTATAGTCAATGAAGATTGATTTTGCTCGCTTTTTGATTCACTTTTGACAATTGTTAATTCTACTTGGCTTTTATCACTGTTTTCTTCAAACTTTCTTTCAATAAATGCTGGTTCTTTATCTTTCTTAATACCAACCTTTTCAATTTTTAATGTACCTTCACCCTTCTCCAGTTTAACAAGAATCTCATCCTTGTCAAATTTTAGAATATCATCTTTACATTCAATTTTGACTGGTTTTTCAGTTTTATTAAACAATTTGGAACACGTTGGCATTGAACTGAAAATATTTTTACCTAAGATTTTATGAAACGAAAAATCTGGATCATTTAATATTGTAATATCAGTTCTTCCTAGTCCATGTTTAGCTGCACCAAGTAGCAATTCTTTATCGTGTTTTCCAGGAATCCACCAATCAGGTGTATCACCAGATGGTTGACAAAGAGAAAGACGTTCTTCAAGATGAGGATGAGATAAAATTTCTTCTCTAATTTTACTTAAAAGATCTACTCTATCAAGAATTTGTCGAGCCTTATTGGGACTTAATGTATCCAAAGAAACATCTAAAAATAATAAGTTAAATATATTAAATGAAAATTTTATAGCAAAAGATAAAATTATTGTATATAAAAGAAAATTACCATCATCTTCAGATATTTTCATATTACAAACTCTCTTGCACATCGTTCTGAACGACATGTAATAGTCAGTAAGTTCAGCATCAGTTTTTTTATCAAATCTTGCAATACTTTTGAACTTGGTCCAATCATATTGAGCTTTTTTTCTATCATAATTAACTCCGTAGGTTGAAACTACACGTAGAAATTCACTTTCTTCACGACGTGACCATTTGACTTTTTGTTCTTCAATTCGTGTTCTTTCACGTTCTTTAACCATAGCTTCCATTTTTTCTCGCCTCTCCATTTTCTATAATTAAAATTATTTTATTGATTAAACACCAAACTCATTATTATTAGAATTACTTTGATTCTTTTACGTATTAACATTATAAAAGTTTGCTACTTACTAATAGATACATAGCAAGCTGTTGTAAATCCCAACCTTGCATATTGAGAGGAGTATCTGATGTTGCTCCTGATGGATTAGTCATTTCAATTTCCATGTTTGATTTATTTCCTCCTTTTTGGAAATTTTTATTAGAGTCATCTTTCTTATTGACACTACGTTGGTAAGAAGAAATTACACGTCGTAAACGAGTATTAAGATCCACTACGGAAGGCCATGATTTATCGTCATCAAGTAATCCTTCAATTCCTTCATGACTAGTACTACCGCTTGTTTCTGGTACAGGTGTATCTGCTTTATTAGATATAGCTGGCGAATCCACCGATGCATCTCGTGTGAATTTATCCAAATCCTTAGTATCTTTCGACATACTTGACCCTTCACCATCCTCACCATCTTGATCAACATTACTATCCTCTCTAATTACAATCAAAAATTTATTTTATTATTTTTTAATTCATTTTTTATTATAAGCTAATGTTCCCCGATTTAATATCACTTATTGTACATTTATTGAAAATTTTTACGAAGATATGCATTCAAAAAAGTATATTTTTCTACATAAATAGTGTCAACTGACTTTATAAGATTATTTTTATATTTAATACATACTTATTTCCAATATTTTCCAATGTCCAATTATTTGGATCCATATACAAAATTATCGTGTCATTGTGTCTTGAGCATAACATTAATGTAAAGCGGATAATGTTGAATTGAAGCGTGCAAAATGTGTTAAATGGAAAGGAATAACAGTTGTGTATATTCGATGTAATGAGAGTAGTAATGTGATGGTAAATAATGTAAAACAAAAACAGACTAAGTACTCACTTTTGTTGTTCTGTTTGGTTGGTCTGTGTCTGGGAAGGGAGAGGGCAGCTTGAAATGAAAGAAAGCGTGGGATCAGCCCTCATCTGCTCGTAATTCTCGTATCCATGTTTGTAGCAGCCGACTATTAGTGACTTGTCTGCCATCGCGTCCCACCATTTCGTTGGTCGTTCCGGTAACAGAGGAGGATCTATCCGCAACGCACTGTAGGGCGGTTTCTTTTACTAATTTTGCCAATTTATTTATTATATATATATGCCAATTGATTTATATTCATAGATATCTTTTTATGCAATCTTTTATAAAATCAAAATTTTATTCATTTGACAAAGAGTTAGCGATTGATTTTTATACCTGTCATACACAACATTTTTACTCCTAAATCTTGTTCATGCCAATAAAAACTGAGGTTTCCATTATAGTATATATTCTTAAAGCAATCAAAATAAATTATAGTATGTTAAACAAAATGGTGTTGCTTTAATTAAGGAGTTATAATAAAAATTATTGATGGCAAAAAGCTAAATTCTTCATTTATACAATATTAAAAAAGAGTTTCTGAAATATATCTTTTTTTCTATAAAATAAATTAATGATTATGCATTCATTCATACCAGTCTTTAACTTCCAATTATTGGTGGATTTTTGACATTTCTTTTTCTAATTCATCGAAAAAAAAAAAGAAAAAAAATGTATTATTACTCATTTCTTTTTTGTTAATGTAAAAATCATGATCGCTAAATCTTATCTATAATAAATAAAATATTGATGTTATAAAATCAAGAGTTTTTTCATAAACTAATTTAGTTAATTAAATATAAAATTTTTCTTTATATAGGAAATACACCATTGCCCTCTTTCTATACAGTGCACTGCTTCTTATGCAGATCTTACCATGTACGGATATAACGTATTCCGTCCCGTCACAGATGATATTGTGATATTCACATTGTCAATAGTGTTTAAATAAAGTAAGAATACAAGAACGAGATAATACATGTAAATACCTGATTAGTACACCAAGACCCGATAACCGTAATTGATAGATAAATTGAAAAAAAAAAAAAAATGATAATAAATAATAACAAAATTGAAATTCAATCATAACGATCAAGTAATTCATTAATAAAATAAATCTGTAAAATAACTTTAATATAGCGGAGCATATGGAGTATTTGATCATGATATTTGTCAAGGGTCCAAGATGAATAAATACATGGCACATGCATTTATAAGCACTGATATATGTTTAAGCACATCTAGGCGAATACATTAAATTTTACAAACCTGACATGAACACCATCAGATATATGTTGAACCAAGTCTCCAATTATTTCATGTTTTATGTAATATAACATTCTCACTCTTAGTAAAACCCTAAAATAAAGATATTTATCCAAGTTAATATATGTTCATTAACAAGTGTTGTATATATTAGAAATAATAAAATTTTGTAAAATTTAATCACTATCTTATTTTACTTACTTGGTTGCATGACGACTCAGGTGTTTTTTGTATGTACTTTCTAAGAAAATATCTCCATCATATTTTTCAGCGTGACTCCAGTGATTAGGATCACTAGGTCCATTAGTGATAGCAGAACCACGTGTTTCACGACCACCTTCTCTCACACGAGTTTTTTTCTTTTGTCGACTACTACTTCTGTTGGATGTACTGCTACTATTTGACATCAACTTAGTTTTTTCACCATTTTCTAAAGGTGTTATCAAATCCCATATGAAATTTCTTATCTTTTCATCACCACGATAATAACGAAGACAATAAAGAAGTATCACACGTGCACAATCTTCAATGTCAACTTCTCGCCAACCACGGCGAAATTGACTATGTTGAAGTATTTCTTCCCAACGTCCCCAACCAAATGTTAATAAACCTCGTTCCACTTTAAAACATTCACTTCGTGCCCAGCTACCATAAACAACTTCACCTTCTCTTGGTACATATTCTTCACTGAATTTCCGATTTTTTTTGTTGAATTTGTCACGTCTCTTTTTCCCTGTAAATAATTCAATTCTATTAGACTTCATTGAAAATTTTTCATTATTAATTTTTTCATTAATTTTATATCAATCGTTTTATAAATATTGATGAAATAATTATTTAATAATATTAAAAATGTCAATGATTATTATGAAATGAAATAATGTAATTGAAAAACAAACGTAAAAAAAGTATAATTAAAATAGTGATATGAATGAAAACAAATATAAATGTGCTGCGTGCTATTAAAAACATACCTCTACCTGATAAACCAAGATTTTCATCATCGCTGTCATCAGAACTATCAAGCTCCGACATATCAACAACTGATTCATCATGTCCATAACGTTTGATTTGAGTTCTTCGTCGAGGCTCCGAAATAACAAGATCTTCCTCTTCTTTTTTTTCAGTTGTATCAATCTCAGCTTTTTTAGCCCATTTTTTCCAAAAATCTGGATCATCTATGTTAATATCAGATCTATTAGAGGAACAAGCAAAACTAGCTTTCGAAAACGTGGAACCTTTTTCAGCTTCAATAGTAATTATTTGTGTTCGTCTTTCTAAGATTTGATCAATATCTTCTTCACAAAATTTATCCCCAGCATTGTCATCATCCATAATGGCTCCGTAAGCACCTTTCTTTAATAAATCTTCAATTTCCTTTTTCGTTAATTGTCTATTGCTAGGATCTTTACCACCTTGAGATGTATTCATGGATTGTAAAATGGCTTTATCAAGTCCTAACTTCATCGAAGCTTTATCGAACATTTCTCGTTCATAAGTGTTACGACACAAAAGACGGTATACCTTTACCATTTTTTGTTGGCCTATTCTGTGACACCTTGCTTGAGCTTGTAGATCATTTTGTGGATTCCAATCACTGTCGTATATAATGACAGTATCAGCAGCAGTTAAATTTATTCCTAATCCACCAGCTTTAGTACATAATAGAAAAACAAATCTATCGGAATCAGGTCGACTGTAACGATCTATAGCTGCCTGTCTTAAATTTCCACGAATCCTGCCATCAATTCTTTCATATGGATATTTTTTATAAACAAGATAATCTTCCAAAAGATCCAAACATTTGACCATTTGACTAAATACTAATACTCGATGGCCACTCGCTTTAAGTTTAGGTAATAGTTTATCTATAAGTACCATTTTGCCGGAACTATTTACTAATGCATGATAATATGATTCAGAATCCTCTTTATCTTTATAATCAAGTTGTATTTGATCTTCAGCACCATTCAATAGGAATGGATGAATACAGCATTTTCTTAATTCCATCATGGTATTCATAAGATTAGGAATGTTAGCCGAAGTTGTTCCCTTAGCTAAAAATGAAAAATTTTTTTCTAAAATACCACGATAATACTTTTTTTGAATATTCGTCAACTCAACTTCAACAACTGTTTCTTCTTTAGGAGCTAATGATTTTTCAACATCTTCTTTTAATCTTCGCAACATCATAGGCTTCAAGAGAAGTTGTAATTTATTAACTTCACTTTCACTACTTAAATTACCAAATTCTTTTAAAAATGCTTCACTACTTGAGAATTGTGTAGGTTCTAAGAAATTTAGTAATGAAAACAATTCATTAACATTATTCTGAAGAGGAGTACCTGATAGAAGTACACGATGTTCTAAATTCAATTGTCTTAAACCTTCTAATAATTTACAATTTCTATTTTTTAATCGATGAGCTTCATCAATAACACATAATCTCCAGTTGTAACCCTTTAGTTCATTGAAATCTGTAATTATAAATTCAAATGTCGTTATTAAAACGTTGAATTTGATTAAATCTTTAATTTGTTGACCTTTGTCATTTTTATAATATACTTCGTATTCTTGAAGCATCGTTCGACTTGCTGCTGAACCATGATATACAACAACATTCATGTCAGTCCAACTTTCAAATTCTCTTTGCCAATTAGGAATCGTTGAGAGAGGTGCTATTATCAAAAATGGCCCACGAATTCCATATTTATATACAGCATCAACAAATGTTAAGGATTGAATGGTTTTCCCAAGACCCATTTCATCAGCTAAAATACAATTGTGTGAGTTATACCATGAGAATAGTAACCAATTTAATCCTTCTAATTGATAAGGTCGTAAACTATTTCCTCCTTTATAAATTGGTGATTCCTCAAGTTTCACCCAAGCTGAAGCATTTGGTTTCTTTTTTGGTTTCCATTGATCTTTTGGTGGTACTTTATTAAATTTATGAAAAAGTGCTATTTTTTCTGGATCAACATCTTCTTCTAACTCCCAAGTAGAATCTTCATATTGTAAAGAACGCCATTTTACAAGATAATGTCTCACAGTTTCACCAGTTATTGGATCAGTATGAGTTGCTTCATCCAAAACCCGATCTACTTCAACAAAGTCTGGATTGAAAGGATCATCTTCAGTGTTTTCAAAAATATTTGTACTTTGTTGAAGTTTTTGTTTAAATCGTTTTAATTTAGCTTGTATTCTTTTATCACCTTTGTAAAGCTCTTCTTCAGTTCTCCATTCGCAATGTAAATATGAAAAATTTCTATACTTCACTAAATATTCTTCAACTTCTATAAATTGTGGTTTAACTTCAGCAACTGTCGTAGTTTCAGTGCTTTCAATTTCTTTTGATGTCGATGTTGATGACGTTTTTTCTGTTTCATCATCTTTTCTATTTTCTTTAATTTTAACTTTTGTTATTTCTTTTTCCTCCTGTTTCTCACTTTGACTTTTGTTATCATTTTCATTTTTAGTCTCAAGTTCCATTTTTTCACCATCATCGTCATCATCATCTTCATTATTATTACAATCTTCATCATCATCTTCATCAATATTTTTCTTATTTTCCTTCAATTCCTTATCACACTTTTTCATTTCACTACTATCTACATCGGATTTTTCAGACTTTTCTTCGTTATTTATTAATGTATCAGCCTTTGTTGAACTACTTTCAGACTTTTTATTATTTTCATTTTCACTTTTAACTTCTGTTGCTGATGGTTTAACTTCTCTTTTACCCATTCTCATACACAAAATATGTTGTACAACCATTGAATCTTCATCAGTTGTATTTATGTAGACAAAGTTAGGCTTATTCAGAGTAATTTCGTTTCCTTCACCATCTTTCTTTACTACAGTAGGTTTAGATATTGATCCCTCAATTTTTTTGGTAACATGAGTATCTGCAATAGATACTTCATCATCTGAAAATCGTAACATTACGTCATCAACATATTTTTTTCTATGAGTATTTCTTGCTGAACGTCGTTTATTAGCATCATCACCAGTTTCTGGTGATGGCGGTGGTGTTGTGGCTAGTTCTTCACCATCTGAATCTGGGGCCATACGATTTTTTTTCTTTTTTATATTTCTGGACGTTCTTGCAGTACTTTTACCACCAACTGATCTTTTGCGTGTTGTTTTTTTCTTAGCTGAAGTCGGAGTATCTGAAATCGTAGCTTTGCGATCATCTTTCTTGTCATCATCAACTCCTTCATCATTATCATTTTTATCGTCATTTTCATCTTTAATATCCATTAAAATTGGTTCCGCTGTTGAAGAATCAACATGCTCTTGATCATCCTGAACTGGAGCATTTTTACTTGATTTTATATCAGTGTCTTGAACACCTGACTCAGATACATCTTCTGTCTCATGTCCAGTTTCATCATCGGCAGAATCTGAATGAATAATTTTTTTCCTTCCTCTTTTAGAGCTTTCTTTCCCTTCTTTAATATCTTTATCTTTTTTTTTACGCCCCTTCGTAGATTTAATTTCTTTAGCTGCTTTTGTTTCTTTTTTAATTTTTGCTTCTTTTGGTTCTTTTGGTTTTCTGGGCTTTCTTGGTTGTCTCGACTTTCTGCCTTTACTCCATTCTTCTTCTACATCTCCACCAGATGATGGTTTATTATCTTCTGAATCTGCAACACTGTCAACAATATTACTGCTGTCTCCAGGAGTGACTAGATTTTCAGATACTGGTTGTTCAGGTTGTAATGATATTTGTTGATTTGCAATTACTGGTGTAATAACTTCTTTATCAGCTTTTTTTTTATTTTTTTTCGCTCGTGGCGTTCCTTTACTACGGCCACGTCCAGTGGTACTAGATACCTGAGGACTATCAACAACCGTTGAATTGAACATTGATGTTTGTAAAATACACTGAGGTCCACCATTACACTGATCATTTGTTTCATGCTGTTGTAAAGCTTGAAGTTTTTCTTGAAGTGCCACAATTTTTTCCTGATTTTCCGCTATAGGAGGCATACAAAAAAGTTCTTGGAGTTGTTGTTGTAATGCAGCTCTTTCTTGATGATGAGTAACGGGTTGGTTACATGAACTATTGAAAGCAATGTTAACAGTATTAGTTGTATGTCCAGATGGAATACCATACACATTTGGTATTGTATTTCCACTTCCACCTATATCTCCCCCTGCATAAGATGATTGTTCAGGTCCTAAAAATAAGATTGATGTGTAAAATAATCAAGTAAAATATTATTTTAAACTTAAATAGTTCAAATGATATCAATATTTGTGTAGTGTTCAACTTTTTACTCACCTACAGCTGGTTGTATTGGATGCGATGATTGATTACTAGGTAATGTTATCGAATTTTGAGCAATAGCAATACTTTGCTGGTCAGCAGAAGTTATCTGCTGTTGATGCTGTTGTTGTGTTGATGGTGGTACTTGAGATCCTTGATTTGTTATCGGAATTTGTGGCGAAAGTAGAGTGTTATTGTTTGTCGAGATCACATTCACTTGCTGTTGAGAAATAATCGATTGTTGAGGTTGAGTTATTGCTGGTGATTGTTGCAATTCTAAAGATTGTGTTGTAGTCGGACATTGAGCTGAAGATGCAGCTTGAATTATTTGCGTTTGAGAATCAGCTTGTACTGGTGGTTGTTGACTTTGAGTTACAGTAGAATTTGGAGCCAATACTGGCGATGCTTGTGTTAAAGTTGATTGTTGAGGAATACTTGGTAGAATTTTTTGGTCAAGAATTGGCTGAGATTGATTTAATTGAGGTTGAGTTTGTGGTATAAATGATTGCTGGGGAATTTGTGATTGTATTGAATTCATATGAGGCTGCGGATGTTGCGTTCCTGAAGATAATTGGGTTGGTTGATTTTGGCTAAGATTTCCTGACTGTTGTTTTACCGATTCCTCCACTTGTATTTGTTGATTTGATTGAGTATCAGGTTGTTGTGTTTGTTGATGCAATTGTTGACTCGTTTGCGGTTGTAATGTTTGTTGCGGTTGTTGAGTTACGGATGACTGAGATTGACTTATAAGAGAATGTTGAGGTTGCTGAGACTCAGATGAAGTTGACAAGATTGGTGGATTATTTATTTCAGAAGATTTTTCATCGATTTTCGTAACAGAACTTAAAACTTCTGTACCAGATCTAGATGATATAGCTTGAACATTCAAAGGTTGAGATGGTATTAATGGAGATGATAGATTAGATTCAACATTACCACTGGTACTTGAAGCTGGCAACGATTGTACAGGTTCTATTGATGATGTTTCTACAGGTAATTGCTGTTCAACTTGTGGTATTTGTTCATTCATTTTTAAATTATCCACTTGTTGAGTATGTATTTCTGAATTTTGTTTTGTATTTGATGAAACACTTTCAACAGGTTCTTGACCTGAAGATATCATACTACTACTATTGGTATCGGTTATATCTTTTGTTGTAGTTTCAACAACATTACACAAATTTTCACTATTATTCATCGAAAACATTGGCATCCGTTCAGTCATATGTACAGACGGTTGGGACTCTATCGAGTTTCTACGATCACTAACATTTATATTAGATGTTACTTGTGATGTTGATTGATGTTGTTGCGGCTGTGACGTTGGTTGTTGTTGCTGTGGCTGTGATGTTGGTTGTTGTTGCTGTTGCTGTTGTTGTTGTTGCTGTTGTGGTGGTGGTGGTTGTTGTTGTTGTTGATGATGATGATGATGCGAATGTGATTGCGGTGGTTGATGAAGTGAATGTGGTTGATGTTGTGATTGTTGATGATGCTGAGGTGATTGTATTGATGGTTGTGGATGATTAGGTGGGGTTTGTGGTGGATATTGCTGGGGTTGTGTTTGAGGTTGTTGCTGATGTTGATGTGATGGCTGTTGCTGTTGTTGCGGATGAGGCCACTGAGACGACATAGGCATTCGTGGGCCACTCGACATTATCGGCATTGATGTTTGCACGTTAGACTGTGACATAATTGATGGATGAGACATTGGTGGTCGAGATTGATATTGGTTGTAATCTTGTGAAGAAAGATTTGAGTTAGACACAGCAACCCCAGGAACAACCATTTGTTCTAATGCTTGTAGAGTTGTTTGTTGAGGAGAAACAGACTGGTTTATTGAAACCGCTGATGGTGGACAAGGCGAGACTGATACGGCACTTTGCTGGGTTTGCTGTTGCTGATGAGGAAGTTGTACATGTGGATGTGGTGATAAAGTAGTGGGTTTAGCTGGCGACATTATTGGTCGAGGAGACATTTGTTGTGGTACAGCAGAAGGTCGAGGCGACATTTGTGGTCTGGGAGACATTTGAGGAGATAATTGAGGGAATGTGGCACGATATTGAGGACTTGTCGCATGTTTTGTAGGTCCATACTGAGCTGCTGGACTCGAATGTTGTTGTCCTGGATGTTGAGATCCAGTTATTTGTGGATTCGAGTGTTGAGCATTCGGATGTTGTCCAGGATGTTGAGGTTGATTAAACATTGGTGGTGTATGATGTGAATATTGTGAATCTAGTGATTGTTGACTAACAGGATGTTGTGGTTGTTGAGGATACTGTGGATGTGAAGGGTGAGTTTGATGAGTCACATGGGACGGATGATGATGTGGCATTCGTTGTGGTGGCTGTTGAGCTGTTGGTTGTTGTTGTGATTGTTGCTGCTGTTGTTGTTGCATTGTTGTTGATGGAAATCCAGAATAACCCGTTGTTGCTTGATACATTGCAGCGGCTGGATTACCTTGCTGATAATGTTGTTGCTGTTGATTAACCATATGTTGATAAACACTAGCAGTGCTTCCAGGCTGCATACTTTGATGTGAAACTCCAATACTTCCTAACATATTTTGTTGTGAACCAAAATGTTGTTGAGCTACTTGTTGTTGGGCTACTTGTTGCTGCTGCTGTTGTTGTTGAAGCTTCTGATTAATAGTTGAAGGATCCTGCTGGTGAGAATACTGTGGGGGCATATGTTGTCTATATGTAGTTGGCTGTGGAGCCATTTGACTATAATGTCTTTGCATTGGAGCATAAGTACCGCCAGCGGAACCTGGCCAACCTTGCATATTAGGATCTATATTCATATTTGTTCTGGTCATAGGATGCTGCTGCTCCATAGAGTACATACTATCAGAATAACCGGGATATTGGCCACCTGCAGCAGGATGTGGTCCTCTATGCTGTGGTGTCATACCTCTAACTTGATTTTGAAATGTTCCAGGCACCATCGTTCGCTGTGGGGAATTCCCATCAAATGTGCCTAAATTTTGATTAAACATGGCTCTTTGAGCTGGATTTTGCAATTGATTTGTGTTACTAAACTCAGCACCACCGAAAGATGTTAATTTTTGTAGAGGAGACTCTTGTGGAATACTATATGGTGAATTAATATAACTCCCGCCTCCGTTAGGTCCAGGATTCGGGCCATCTCTAGATGCTAACACTGAATTATTGTTACCGGCCGGATCAAAATGATCATTCCCGTCGAGATCAGGAAGAGCATCGAGCATCGAGCCACTGACATCTTCTCCAAATAGATCGTATGAGTCCATTTCTTTACGCTTCACAGTAGCTCTTTGCCTCCATCTCAGGCGCAAGAGGATATTGTACGAGTTTTTTTATAATCAGTGGTGTACCCATTATTGACTGATGGTATATGAACCTTTTATTTCTGAAACAAATCAATTTTATTTTATTTTAAAAAGAATGCAAGTATTCAAATTTCATCTTAAGAATTGGTATTATTTTCTTACAAATACTTATCATTAACATTAACTCCCTAAATAACCATTATATCCTTACCTGCACTCACTGACAAATTACAGCAGATAGAAACACACTCCAAAGGGGAAAAGCTATACGCTTATGTGACTTTATATCATAATCGCTATAACCTTTCCCCTCAGGAATGTATTATCAAATTATCATTTGTTTGACATAATAATTATTAGTAATAAAAATAATATCATTTTTCCATTATTATTATCATCATTATTTGAATTTAATATGAAAGTACAATGAAATAATATAGTACTAAATAAGTGAGAGTAAAAAGTAAAAAGCGAACCTTATGTGAATGAAGTTCTAATTGAAGTATTCCACAATTGACTACCCTATTACTATTATCATCAGCTTATGTATGAAATTTCTAAAAATTCACTGTGATGAATGACACTTGATAAACTAGGATTTCTGTACAGTTAAATAAATAACTTATACTGATTTTAAATATTAAAAATATATAAAATTATACTATTTAATTTTAATGATAACAACTTTTATATTTACACATGATCATCAATAATTTATGCAAAATATAAGTGAAAAAAATTCATGTAACATGAACCATTTATACAAGAATTAACAGCCTATCGAGTTTAGTGTTATAAACCATAAACACAATTGACATTAAATGTCGATATTTGAGCTTTTTACGTTTGCAAATATCTCAAAAAATCTAAAGTTGTAACGGATATATTTATTTGCAATTTCGTATTGTCATATATATTATTAAAATAACATAAGAATTCAACAATATGGATGTTATGTTCCATTATTAAAGAAAGTAATTGTATTACTGTATCAAGCACCACATATCTTAGTTACTCAGGAATAAAAGACAATTCATATGGTGGCAGTAATAGCCGCCACCATCATTCTACGTGCCGCTTAGCTGCTGCCACGACGCTCGATATTCTCTACCAAGAGTAGAGTATTTACTGTGGCGTCACTTTTCACATTGCACATCACTATTGAAACTAATAAAGATAATTAAGAAAAAAATTCAGAAACAATCAGGAAAATAATTGCGTTATGATACGTTTGATATGTTTTTTAAAACTTTTAGAAAAACTTGATCAGTTAATTCACTATTTTAAGATACTTTAATATTACTGAAAACGTTAAACTACCCTTATTGAGAACGACATTTAGACAATTTTCCACAGCAGCCGCTGCTCTGAAGTACGAGCGTGTCCGTAGGGTCGAATAGTCTTTCTTTTTCGTTCTCTTACTTTGTCTTCATCTCTTTCACACTTATTTAACTTGCTCGTTGGACTTTCTTTCTTACTCATCTCCCCGCTTTATCCCCCCCCCCCTCTAACCCGCTATCGCCAACACCACCACCATTGGAACTATACCATTACCTCTACCCTACCCCACAACGGTTGGCATAATACTACTACACTAGCCTACTCCCTTCTTCTCAACACTTGCTAGCAATCGCCGGTGTTGTCACGTAGTGTATGAGAATATACGTGAGTGTACGGTTGGGTTACACGGAGCCATAGCACACAAATTTTTGCCAAAAACCTACCAGACATATATACGTGCGCAAAAGCCCTGTATACAGAGGCCATCGCGCATTCGCCTATTATTTTCCGTCTCTTTTACTTTTCCCCTTCTCTTTTTATAAAATCCCGGGAGTGTGTATAATGAGTATTGAAAATTTGTCATTAAGGTACAAAAAAAAATTTTAAACTCGAGCAAATTTGTCATGGCACTCACTGAATCACATTATCATTTTAACATTTAATTAACAAAATAATACTTTACATATCATAATGGACCACCGATAACATTTAAAAATGATCAGAAATTGATTTTAAGTTTTAGATTTAAATACTAAGTTCATAATTCAAAGATATTTGAAACAATTTTCATTCATTAATTGTAAATGAACTTCATTTATGACATTCATGTTCATTTTTACAAATAAAATTATAAAACAATTAAACATGAATAAAATTTATGATTTTTAGTTTTTCAAACATTAACTTATAAATTATAACCTCAATATACATTGAATTTTTCATTAAAAGATTAATATATAAATAAAAGTTCTTTAAAATTTGGAAATTAACTTACAAAAGCATTTAATTTGACAAAATAATAAAATATTAATAAATTACTATGAACAAATTGACACAGATTCACTTCTGCTCTTGTAATAATAAATAAAAATTAAACAATTGATTTATTAAATTATAAGATTGATAGCATGTATTGAATGATTTTGAAAATTAACTGGTTAATTATAATCTAAATATTTAAAAAAAAAAAGAAAAACAAAAAAATATACATATTTTAAAGCAACATTAAATCACAGGAGACTTGATTAACCAATCGCGTCCTGCGATTCTTCCATATTCTAAAGTCTTTTCTCTTACTTGTCTCATTTTTCTATCTTTCTTACGCGCGCGCACACGCTTTATTTGTTTTCTTTTTTCTTTTTGCAACTTGCTGTCTTCTTATGTCTACTGCTCGCTATCTTTCACTTATTTTTTCTTTTCATATTTCACTATATATTAATTTGAAACTCAACTACCAAAATAATCAACCTATATCATCGTAACGAAATTGTTTGATTTTGATATCTGACGAAATATATTTATATATTTCAAAGTTATTCCAAAGAAGATTTATATGTTTTAAATTCCAGTTAATGTTATATTCAATTGTTATTTTTATCGATAAAAAATTATTACTTAAACCTTCATTTGTAATTGTCATTCAAGTGAATTTTCTACATTCAAAAAATAATATTAAGCGTTAAAGAAATTCACCAAATGTCTCAAGATAACGATAATTATCGAATAGTAATACAAAGAAAATATTGAATAAAGTACGTACAGTTTTAAAAGTATACAAATAACTTGTAATAATTAAGGTATAATTCATTTCCATGAAACATTTCATATTGTGTATGTGATTCAGAAAATTTCTCAATAAAGATGGAAATAATAAAACCAATAATGATTATAAAAAAATCGGATGTTAGAGACAATCAAATGTCGTATACAACATCTAGGTTGGAATCAATAAAATCAGGTGATATATAATTTTTTCATTTAGCGAAATGGTGCTGCTACAGAGTACAGAGAAGACGTGCAATCATTCAAGTACATGAAGAAAATTGATAAGATACTTGATGAATATAAATTTAATGAAGTATAAATAACTATGTAAGTAAATGAAAAACTTACGTTTATTTCGGACCAGACGACATTTTTTCATGTATTTTCAATTAAAATTAAGATCACACTTTTTTCATTTAATCGTTATCTTGGTGTCCATTTTGTTTGGTTAATTACTAAAGAAGCGGCAGTGCTGCCGCAAGTTACATTGACATAAAACACATACACTGGATTGTGCTATAGCTATGTGGCAAGAATGAAATGAATATCCCGAACTCTAATCGATTCGTTTTAGTTGAAAGTTATTATATGAATCAGTATAAACATAAATAGATAATTCACTTGATATAAGCAAATAAATTAATTAAAATATACACTAGAAAACAACAATGAAAATAGTGATGATAATAGTATTTGTAATAACGATAAATATAATAATAATAATGGATATGCTAATAAATATCAATAATAATAATTATTAATTAAGTAGAAAAGGATAATAATATACCCAAATTATCTCATGTACACTTTTCATAAGCCGCTTCACTTTCACAAATCACCAATACTCAACACTTGAGTGTATCTGAAAAATTGTTAACACAGCGTTGTTTGAGTTATATATCTTTTAATTGAGCACTTTTTATTTACCACTACTTTTTCATATATTATTGATAAATTTTTTTAACGTTTTTTTAATGTGGTGTGTACTTTATTATTTTATCTACGCCACTCTTTCATAAATTATTGTTAAAAATCCATATTTTATACGGGTTCTTATTTCGGCCGTCTGCCTTGTGCGTCTGAGGATAACGGAAATCATGTAATGACCGCTGTGTCGCAGTAGTTAAGACCCTTGTTGTACTATATATTCAATACATAAACTGCTCACACAAACAGGTCGGGATGATACAATAATATTCCGAGAGATGGTTTAGGAAAAGCAAAATGTTTAGTAACGAGAGAATGGTAAAGTAGCAAGTTAATTGACCGGTTACATAGCGGTAAAATAACCAAACTTTTTCTATCATATCTGACATGCGCAAAATAAATTTGCTCACCGGTTGAGTTTGGAAAAAAAATATAATGAGAATAATTTTTCAAAATAATTATTAATAAAAGCAGATGTAATTAAAATGATATAAAAATGTTTTGTTTAAATTGAATAAAATTGATATTGATATTCAAATACTGACCTATAGTCAAACAAATTGACGTAAATGCAATAAAATTATTTTAAAACAAACAAAATTTTCTATTGTTATTGTTTTTATTAATAATTGTTGATTATTAATAATTGATAACTAATGTGGATTACTATTTTTTTTTAATTTTTCCATAAATATTTATTGTTCGATAGAATTTCAAATTTTGATTTTTATTCTGTTTTATAATTCTAATTAAATTTATTAATCTCGTGTCAATAACATATTTTGTTATTTTTATAACAATTAACATGATATCAAAATAAAACCAGATATAAAAATTTTTTTTCAGAAATGATTCCATTTTTAACGATATACTGAATGCAGTTTAAATTTATACGGCTATTATAATTAATATTTGATGATTCTGTATGGTGATCATTATTGCTATTTAAATTCGACCCTAATTTCCCGCGCTTTCATAATACGCGCGCTCGCATAAGCCGCGTCCAAAACAACTCAATTCAAATTGTAGCTATCAGAAAAAATAGTATTGGAAACTAGTCTTGCTTTTCATGGAAAATGTATTTATTATTGACGATTTATAACTTTGATAGTAAACTCAAATTCAAAGATATCTTTTTTTGTAATTTTTATTGTATTTAAATTTTATAGTTCTCATTTCGTCGACTTTCAACGATATATAATTGGCGTCAACTGACGGTTAATTTTTTGAAGCTTGACAGTTTCTAAAAGTTGACGGTTATTTCACATCACTAAATTGAACGATGAAATAACTTCTTTAATTTTATAGTTATTGTAATTACATTCATAAAAAATATTGTCATAATTATCAATAATTTTGAGAAAATTGACCAATTGACAGGTGGTTTGACGTTTCACAGTTGCCATACTTGTATTCGACAAGAGGCTGCCATATTGTGTGCGATATACTATCAGGTTGAAATTCCAATATTATTACGTTTATATCATTGTCATAATAAATACGATCATTTTTTCATAGAGTAGTAAATTATTCATGGTAATAACGACAATATTTTAGTCTCGTCTAATCCGGCGATAAACTTTTATTTTGGTTCTTAAACTTTTCCGACATAGATAAGGTGAGAATGAAAATTCGAAATAGGATATTTTATACTTTGACAAGTATACAATTGTATTATCCATGTGTAACAGTCAAACAAATTTTTATTTTATTAAAAATAATTGAATTACAAATAATTAATCTTAACGACATCACTGTTAAGTAGGATTTTATGTTCAATAATAGTGAAAATAATAAGTAAATGCCATTATGCTTATTATTATGAAAGTTTTCTTATAATAAAACATGTAATTAATTTAGTTAACATGGTCAAACTTATTATCATTCTACTTACGTGATATGATGATGGGAATTATTACAATGACATCATGAGAAAATGTTTTTTATTAGTGAATAGTCAGATAATTATTGTAAAAATTAATTAATAGTAATCTAATTTTTTATTGGTAGATTACAGACATGTCAGCAGGTCCGTATAATTATTCTTATATATTTAAATATATTATTATTGGTGACATGGGTGTTGGTAAATCATGTCTACTACATCAGTTTACCGAAAAAAAATGTAAGATATTTATAATGTATCATACATTGTTAGTATATTTTGAAAAATGCACGTTTAAATATTTTAAACTAAAAATATTATGGTCTTCATAGTTATGGCAGATTGTCCTCATACAATTGGAGTCGAATTTGGTACCAGAATAATTGAAGTGAATGGTCAGAAAATAAAATTACAAATATGGGACACAGCAGGACAAGAACGATTTAGAGCTGTCACTCGGTGTGTTGATAAAAAATATATATATACATCCATATATGTATCTGCAATCAATATTTATATTTTATCGAATTTTAATATAATCTAATTATGGAATTCATTGAATACTATTCAGGTCGTATTATCGCGGTGCAGCTGGAGCTTTGATGGTATATGATATTACTCGCCGTTCTACTTATAATCATTTGAGTAGTTGGCTTGCAGACACACGTAACTTAACAAATCCTAGCACTGTGAGCATAACGTTAAATTATTGAAATACAAATCGAAAATTGTAACCAATATTTTATGTAAATTGATCAATTTATTATTTTATAGGTGATATTTTTAATTGGGAATAAAAGTGATTTAGAAGGGCAACGTGATGTGACCTATGAAGAAGCGAAACAATTTGCGGATGAAAATGGACTTATGTTTGTGGAAGCTAGTGCAAAAACGTGGGTATTTTAATTTATTAGTTTAGATACGTCAATTTATAAACTAATATTTAGTCAAATAATTTATTACTTTTTCTGAAAAATTACTATGTACTGCTATTATAGTGGTCACAATGTCGAAGAAGCTTTTTTGGATACAGCAAAGAAAATATTCCAGAGCATACGAGATGGCCGGTAAAAAATAGAAAAAGAGATTCAACAATATTTAATAATGTTAGAATTAACTATAAGTTTATATCTTTTTTCTAGTTTGGACCTAAATGCGGCCGAATCAGGAGTACAACATAATCCTAGTCAACCTGGTCGTACCAGTCTTCAAGGAATTACTAATGAACAACAAGCCGGCAAAGATTCTTGCACTTGTTAGACGAATAATTTTTTTCTTCTGTATATAGGTCCACTAAAATCATGACTACTGATAACAGATATTTACATTCATTATAGAATAATTAAGTTAACTTTCAGTTTAATCTGATATATATTTTGTTAGCCAAACTGAGAACTTTCTATCTTTTTAATATAATTATTACTTTAACAGTGCAATTATATAATTTACTTTTTGTTGTATTTTTTCATACACAACATATTTGCTTTATTATTCCTGCAGTAAGTTATAAATTTTGTAATTTAATTAATGAGATAAATATTAATACTAATTCTTTATCACTAACGGATGATCAATCTTATGATACGTTCCTAATATAATCTCAAGAGTTTTTATTAAGGGTCGACAAGATTGAGCCTAATTAAGATAAGAATCATTTAACTAAATAAGCATATTAAACATTTGAACCAAGTATTGATAAATGAATAAATATATATGTATATACTTAAATGTTATGTATATACTCAAATTCGAAAAAATCCACGTTTATTACGTTCCTAGATAAAAAGTTATAAAATTTTTGTTGATATATGAAATGAGCTTGATAATCCAAATCAAAAACTTTTATTATTCTACATAGTTTTAAACAATTTTTGTTCACATAGTTAACACAAAATCTATAGACAGACATAAATAATATTAATTTCTTAATGAAAAATTATGGTAATTAAGTTGATTGATGCAAAATATCTTCACGATTTTAGGTATTTATAAACATATTAAACTGTTTTTACAAAAATAAACGTGCATATGGTAAAGTTTTTCATATAATGAGATGAATAGTGACATCAATTTCAGATAAAAACTTTTTAACCGTTAGAAAATTATAGTGGGAAACAGTGCGTACACTAGGAGTTCAAGTTTATATAAGAATCTGGAAAAAAATGTCATAAATTATAACAGAAAGTGTAATATTTCTCAAGGATTCATCTTTATAACTTTGTTTTTTATAAGATTTTGTAAGATTAGTTAACCACCGTCTTGTATTGTTTGGGATTAACTGGTTTTGCTGAGAATAATTGAGAGTTCCCATCTAAATTATTTTTTCTTCGAATTGCTTCTGGTGGATTATTACTTCTACATTCCCAAGAGAAAGACTTGGTAAAAGATCATTTATGTTTCTACATCGAAATCATTTAAAACTCGGAATAAATACTTCCCAGTTTACTAGCAGAATATGTTTCGATTTAAAATTGGGATATGCGTATCTTTCTATTTTGCAATCTTTCTTCCATAGTATTTTTCTTTTTTGGTTTCTTGGATTCATCATTCTCGATTAATGAGGTTGTTTTCAATTTTATGAATGCTATGTAAGAACCATTGTTGGGTTTATTAATTAAATTATTAACATTAAGTTTATTAATTATTGTTTTTTGAATGCTTTTTCATTCGAAGATTCGCCTTTTTGAGTTATTTTTGTCGGTTTTCATTAGGAAATTCACTTTGAGTCCGATTTAAAAAAATAAAATTAGATTTTCAGTTACATATTAATTTTTATTAGAACTTTTTTCCTTTTTTTCGTAGGGATATACTATTAAAATTAAGAATTTAAACTTATTTTAATTATTTAAAATACTTATTCGTTATAGCACCGTTCAAATTAGGACATTTGAATAGTCCGCCTTTTAAATAGAAAGCATTCGGGTCGTTTTTCAGCAAGTGCATACCGGAACATATTGCGAAAATGATGTCAACATTTACCGCATTATATATAAATTGTGCACTACGAATACCAACTGTATAATTTTACAAATCATTTTTTTCACGTAGAAAAAAGGCACTCTGGTTGAAATAACAGTTGGTAATCTGATGCAAAATTTACAATGCGGTGATAGATATAGTAAATGCTACACATAGTGGTTGGCAACCCTTCTTAACAGCTGTTGAATAGTAGTGAAACTCACCCTTAATATTTTTCTCTACATTTTCATAACAAATGCGAAAACAATCAAATTCTGACATAAGAGATGAACTCAGTTTAAAAAAAGAAAAAAATCAATTTCGTATTGAAACTTTAGAAGTACTTTTACCTCAACCCAATTAATACCTAAAATAAAAAATGAGTTTTAAACTGTGTCGGCTATGTGGTAAAGAAAAATTAGAAGGAGTTGATGTTTTCACAGATAAAATGCGAGGAGCTGTCCTTGTATCAATAATTAACAAATATTTCCCCAAAGAGGTATTACTTATTTACTCTTTACAAAAATGTCAAATACAGTAAAGCTTCGCACTTGATTGTCTCTGATACTTGCATGCTAAAAATGATTTTCCTAGGTAATGAATATCTCAACATCTGATAATTTTTCAAAATATGTTTGCATTGATTGCGAACAAAAGATATGTAATTTTGATGAGTTTTTCTTGATGGTAGCTAATGTGCAAAAACAATTAACGGCACCATCTCTCGAAATCGATTTCGCAGAGGTATTATACACTTAATTCGTTGATATTCAATTACTATATTTTTCTTAATGTAATATTAATGTTTATCAACATTTCAGGACATGTTATGCCATCTAAAAGAGAATGAATTATCTCTTGAAAAAAATTCAGGAAATAAATGTTTATTACAAAAAAAGTTTGTATGTGATCAATGTTCAAAAAATTTTAGGTGTCAAGCACACTTGGATAGACACAAAAGGATTCATACTGGATATCGTCCTTTTATTTGTAACGTGTGTAATTTTTGTCTATTTTTAAATATTATCAATATTATTTGTTTTATAAATGTTTGTATTTGTTGTTAGGTATGTTCTATGTCTTTCAATCAAGCTGAAATTTTGAAAATTCACCAAAAAAGTCATCAAAAACAAAAAGGATTCAAGTGTGAAAATTGTCTACAGTCATTTCGTTTCAAAGTTTCATTAAAATCTCATTTACTTAATTTTCACTCGGAAAAAAATGATAATGCAACATCAGGCCTTCAGTTCAATAAATCTTTATCATGTCCTGAATGTGGCAAAATATTTGCAACCAAATATAAATTTCAACGACACATTCGATGTCATACTGGAGAAAAACCTTTCACTTGTAATTATTGTCATCGAAATTTTTCTCAAACAGGAAATTTAAAACTACATTTAATTAAGTGTTCTCGTAGTTCCGCCAATCGAATCATACCAGATATACAACAGACAATTCAAGTATTAGACAAGACTAAATTGTCTCAAGAACAAATTGACAGCTCAAAGAAACTTTTAATTCCAGACAACAGTAAAAATTCTAATCATACTGATGTCGATACCGATAAAACCAACAGACCAATTGAACATTTTTCACAGCCACCTTGCAACTATTTGTCTGAAACTGAAATGCAAGATACATTTAATCAAACATTTAATTCTACAACCATTATTGACTCATGTACTTCACCGTATTTGGAAAAAAATTTTTCGAATACGATATATATAGATGCAGAAGAAATAGAAACAATTCTTGAACGAGATTTACCACATCTTAATACAACTCCAACTCCTAATTCTACTTTTGTATTGAACAACAAATATTTTTCAAGTATACCAGAGGACAAAGTACCTCTTTGTATCAAACAGCCTGAAACACCTGAGCTGTTTCATAGTTTATTATATGATGTATAGATTGTATTTATTTTTAAAACATTTTTATTATATTAAACTATAGACTTTTAATTAGAAAGGTATATAGAAATAAAAGATAACAATAAACTGATAAGAAATAAAAAATGGTTGAAAAAAATTATTTTCTGTATTTATCTTTTAATAGTTATTAATTTAAATAATAAAGAAACATAATATTTACTCATAAATAACAATGAAGTGAATTAAATACATACATAATTAATCGTTATTGATTTTTTGTTCAGTTCTCTACCTGTGTGTAGTTTTGTCATAATAAATGCATCATGTACATACAATTGTACATCAGCGTCTTGTACGCCAACTATATGTCAACACCTGAATTACTGCACGTTTTGATGCGTCTGCGTTGTCTTCATTTTGGAATCAATTTATGTTCGCATAGGCTATGTATATCTATATATAATGTGTATGGCATTAGCAAATATGGCAGACAGTGAAATTTAGTTGTAATTATGTGTATACATTTATTATTGATAAAATTGTGATTAATTATCACTAAATATTATTTCTTTTTACGAATTTACAACGTATTACATACTATGGCTCTACGGAAAATGTAGTGATATAACAGTGTAATGACAACAAAATATTTTTTGTGGTATTTCATAATATATCACCTATTCTGTTTCTCGTTTTCTCAGTGTATTAATACTTTGCAGCTTTCATCGTTTACTATTCAATTTATTTATTTATGAATATTTACAGTCAAGTTTTTTATTACAACACATCGTGTTTTACTGGCTTAATGAGAATTTTTATTATAAAGCTCATTATGAGTATTTACAATTAACATTTTTCTTTTTTTTCATTCTCTGTTATATATACGCATGTATATATACACGGCATGCATGTATACACATACATGTAATTTTTGTATACAATTCAATTTCGTGTACACTAAATATCGATAACTCAATTATTTCAGTTAGTTGTGCATCATACATATATACATAGAAACACTTTTCGCAGCTTTAAATCAGTATTTCAAGTAGCAAATATTAAATATAAATTTTCATGCATTGTCATTTTATTAATAAATTTTTAATTCGATCGAACCAAATATGTAAAAAAATGAGTGTACATATTTGTAGAGTGATGATATATATATTTACTAATTTTCATTAAACTTATTTCAAATCATTCATCATTAATATTCTGTTAAAATTGATATATTACTTGTAGATATTATGATTGACAAAGTATTGGAACTTTGAACAACTAATATGGAAATTAACACAAGCAAATGTGAAGTGGAAAGTATTCAGCCTAGAATGCAGGAACCTAGTGAAGCAATAAGTGAAGATAGTGTTGATGCCGAAGATCATATAGATGGATATAATTGTGCTGATCTTAGCATTGAATTTTCTTTGGATAATGAACATCAACACTTGAAGTATTTTATTAACAATGATCCTCGTAATAATGAGAATAATAAAAATATCGACGATGATGATAATGATGATGATGATGATGAAGATGAAGATGAAGATGACGAAGATGATGATAATGATGGTGATGATGAAGAAGATCAATTAACAAACTACAGTGATGTAGATTTGCCAAGTGATAGTAATAAACATAGTAATGTGATAAATTACGATGGACGGTTTTCACGTCGAAAAAAGAAAAAGAAAAAAGATGATGTTATTGATCGTGTAGTGTCAGAATCAGAATCAGAAAGATTTTCGATTCCACGATCAAGTTCCGTAAGCATTGAACGGTTTTCAATTCGTGCTAATTATGATTCATCTGATTTTTCTCGAACTAATTCCATATCTAATGAAAAATTTCATTCAGATTTTTCATTAGCGGTAGCAAGTGCAAGTTCTGGTGATTGTATATCTATACCAACGTCAGATCCCTTTTCAGTTAGAAATCTAGATTTTGCAGCTTCTGCATTTTCACTAGGTCGTGTAAATTCGTACAGTGAAAAATTCTCTGATATTTACTCAACAAAAAATTCCGATTTTTCAACAAGAAATTCAACTGACTTCAGAACAACGCAATCAGAAGAAGAAAGATTTTCAGATGATTCGTTGGAAGAAGTTTCTCCATCAATAGCAACCACATTAAATACTCCAATAATACCATCATCATCAACAACTACAGCAGCAGTAGCAGGAACAACATCTGCTATGCTTTTTCCTCCATTCTATTCAATGTCAACTGTTGCTCAACCAAAAATACAAGTTACCAAGAGGCACTCAATTGCTTGGGAAGTACCTTTTGAACAAAACTCTCTGTATGCTCCAGGAAGTACCAAGGTAGTAGGTAGACGTCGAAGACGAAGCAGTGATGTTTCTAGTAAGTAATAGAAGAAATTATATAATTAAATAAATAAAATAATAATTATTTTTTATCACTGATTGCGGTTATAAATGCAAATTTTTACTGTTTAAATATCTTGCTTTACTAGGTATTAGTTCAACGTATAAGTTGCACGATTTGGACTACGATTGGAGAGAGTATGACAGTTATCGTCGTCGAACCAGTGATAATGATATTACTAATTCTACTCCTATTTCGACAGTTTTCTCAGTTGACGTTACAATCGATGCAAAAAATTCAACCAATAAAGCCATGAATAATAATAATAACAATAAATTCAACGAGTTAATGTTTAAACAAGATTTAATTATGAAGAATAATACATATATCATTCGTGGTCGTACGCGAAAAAAAAAACGTAAGTCATTGTTTAAATTTGATACTTTATATACAAAAATTATGAAATCTAATAATTTATTAATAAGAAAATTTATAGATTTTGCAAAACGCTATTCAAATACATTTGATGATATAAAGAGTCTACTTCGAGAGGGAAAATTACAGGGCCTTAATGATCCACCACCAGACTTTGTACCACCACCAGTACCACCACCAGATCTTGTTAGAGTTTTATCTCTACCCATTTTTCATCATAAACAAAAAGAAGAACTTAAATCAGCTTGCCACAGAGATGTAATTTCTGAATCATCAAACGATATGAATTTGAAACATGAAGAACGAAATTCTGCTGTTTTACATACATCTACGACTATTAATACTCCTATCTTTACGACTATAACAACTACAACTATTACCAATACTCAGCACTCTTCTTCATCATCATCGCTATCAACTCTGCCTGCATTATCAAATCATAAGAATAAAAAGTGCCAAAAATCAAAATACAGCGAATACGCAAATCTTACTTCAAATTCACTGCCTATCTCAAACAATAACTCAGGAATCATTCACTTACCTAATTCTAATTATTCCAATAAAATGTCATCTTTAAAGTTAGCTGAAAATCAATTTGAATTATATAATTTTAACAAATTGGTTAATCCAACAGTATCAGTAGATTGTAATAATCAATCGAAAATTCCAGTGACTGTACTGATTGAAGACCAGATAGTAAAAAAAGCTCTAAATGAGAATCGTCGCCAACTTGAAAAAGTGAGTGATGCTTTGAAGGAGCTAGAAACCGTTCGAAGTAATGATACTCAATCATTAAAAAACGAACAAGAGAGAATAAAAGATGGTATCGATATGCTTGAATTTGATATGAATAGTTCAGACAAAATTTTACACAATGATAATATAAATCCTGAATCAAAATATCTATGTGGTAAGCCTAATGACACTGTTCATCAATATTTACACATTTCTACAGATGTAAAAAATTATGACAATCAAATGACTGAAAATTCAACCACAAATAAGCTACGTACAACTGAAGAAGTTGTAACCAGTGAATTGGAAAATTCAAACAATTCAAGATTTCAGGTAATGTCAATATTTTATTAATAAAAATTGTTATTAAATTTATAGTTACATTAATATATGATGATGTATTTATGAATTTTGCAGATTAATGTCGAAATGATAGAATTTCCACCTCTTCCACCTTCTCCTGTTGAAGAAGCTGATGAAGAAAATTTCGATGTGATCAATACTGGATATTCAAATGTTAATTCTTCATCACATAAAAATTCATCACATAATCTTCCGATATCAGTGCCCTCAACTCGACATGTTCCAACTGGACGAGTATCAGAATATCGGCCTCAAGTTCCACCCCATCGTATACCATTATCATCTTTAACAAATGTCAAGGATGATCGACCTTTATTGAATACAAGTAGAAAGAATGAAGTAATTATCGAAAATGTGAAGAATAATGTTAGTAAAAAAAATAATCTTATCAATACATGATTCTATGAATTGTTATATTTTTTACACAAGTATAAGTACTATTTATATAAAAATATTTTTATTTTTCAGATATCGAATGAAAGATGCACTTTATCAACTGACCTACCTGGTCCATCTTCAGGAGTACGTTCTAAAAAACGTATATCTGCAAAATCATCATTGGCTGATAGTGCCGTTGACAATGGAATGACGGATAAAAAATATACTCCATCGAAAATCAATTCTGGTATGCAAACTTCGTGTTCTCTTCCCGAAACGCCAGTATTTGCAAGAGGATGTGATACTAATTCTCGTATAGTACAATATGTTTCTACTGCTAGTAGCACTTTATCTATCGTAGCAACTACAACTACTACAACTGTAACAAGTACAACTCCAGTTACAACGAAAATAACTCCAATCACATCTGAAGGAGTTATTAGTCAGATTCGACGACAACCTAGTTGGTATGGACCAACTATTTCAACTACCGGAGGGTAAGTTTTTAATTCATTCTATAAAGAGAGAAAAAAGAGGAGATCGTGATTGACTGTTCAGAATGAGTACAAAATTGTTCTGCTTCATAGAATAAAAACTTTTGTTGTCCTGGCTTGTTTCTGCTATAGGAGATTTTTTACCTTATTTTATAAAGTAATTTTTACTTACCAATCCTTTCTATATGTTTGTCTTTTCCATCACTTTTAAAGTTAAAAAACCATGATAATTAATACTTTCAATGCTTAAAATATGCACAAATTCTTATTCAATATGATAATCATTACGATATACTTCAATTTAAAAATCATTCAAGGCGTGAGAGTTTATTTATTTAATTACTTCTGCAATCAATTTCAAAAATATCGATTTATATCATTAAGTGGTTTTAATTTCGAATTTAACTTAATTTGTTTTATTAAACAATGTTCATATTATATTATAATATTAATTTCTTTTAATTAAAGGTATCGTCGAAATAATCCCAACTTAGAAGAGGCATTAATAGGTACAGAGCTTCTCAGACTAGCTGGTGGACCAAATCGTGGATGGTATCCAACTCGTCGTTCAACAACAAATCAGCCGCGACCAGCTTCTATTGAACACCTAGAACGCTTAAACAGTGCTTACGGATCACGATTTTCTAACGCCGCTTATTCTGGAGATTTTCTACAAAGGAAACCACTAACCTTACCAACTAACATTACGCCTAATAAATTTTTCGGTCATCAAAGCAAACACAGCACCGTCACCTCTGGTACACGTGAGGCGCTTCGACGAGTTACTAGTTTGCTTATTAAAAAAGGTATGTGTTGAACTTTAATTATATAATTTTAATTAATTTTCTTTTTAATTTTATAACATTCAATAATTATCTAAGTGTATTTGTTGATAAAAAAAAAGTTAAAGGCTTTTTAAATCTTTTATTTTTCATTTATAACTGGATTGAAATTTATTTCGTGATAAATGCATGCTCAAATAATACGGTATATGCATGTTTGTGTTAACAAATGATCACAAAGACTATGCTGATAAAATTTTACATTCGGTAAGTATGTTTATGATTTTATTTTAATTTTTTTAAAACTTAATAATATGAGTCCACATAATATATTCTAAATACATGCTATTCACAAAAATATTACATTCGAATTGACTGTACAGAACTATATAAACAATACGAAATTATTTTTCAATGTGTGCTGATTATCAACAATTAATATTAACTTAACTTATTTAATAATTGATTGTCTAAACAATTTGCTATTTCATGTCTTGATCTTCAATACATAATGTTGGAGTTAATAGTGAACAATTGCGAGTAATAAATAAAAATTGTTTACATAGAAATGACTCAAATATAAAGTACTTTTGATACTTAAAAAAAAATCTAGCATGAGTTGAACTTAATTTCAATTTTCAAAAATTAGACACTGCAGATAATTATGAAAAATAAAATAATAGCCTTTGGAATAATTTGAATTTTCCCTTTGGAATATGAATTAACTTTAAAAGCTGTTATTGGTTGGAGACATTAATCTAAAAAAAAATATTTGTTATGTTGATTAGTAGAATATGACCTGACGTGATACATCTAATTTTATGTGTTCATCAAAATAAGAATGAAGAAAAAATTATTTTTGAAATTGGTCAATACTCAAAAGAATTTCATGTTTTTCGAAGCATATTTATTGGACCATATATACATACATAAAATTATGAAATATATATTATTAAATATTATATAAAATAAAAATTAAATTCTAATAAATATGATATAAATTTCTATCTAAGTACTTGAATGATTTATTTTAGGAGTAGGAGTGAAAAGTGATGGAAAAAATGGAGCATCTGGAAAAGATGGTCACAGTAGTGGAAGTAGTTTCTATTCTGGTAAGAAATTGTTTTTATAGATTTTTATTTTAAAATTAATTCTATTATCTACTATAATTGAAAGTGATAAAAATTTATAGTAGACTTTATTTTTAAAATAAGAATAGCAAAAAAAATTTTGTAAAATGATTGTAACTAATTTTTTATATTTCCATACAGGCTGTGACTCAACATCAAGTAATGATGGTTCTAGAAAAAAAGGTTTCTTCAAAAGTTTTTGGAAAAGATCACGACACTATTCCTTAGAAAATCAATAACCCATTTCTATAATAAACTATACACCTTTGATGAACTGGAAAAAATTATTACCAACATGAATGTTCAAATAATTATAACTCATCATTAACTAGAATTTTTCGAAATTTTATTACAACGGTAATTTCTAATCGCTGTTGGAAATATTATTTTATCTAAAATTTACATTATTATAGTATCATTATCAACTAAAAACCACTGACTTTCTATATTTTGAAAAGTTATTTATTGTTAACTTATTAAATGTCAGTAAATGATAAATTATTATTACTCTTATTATATTGATTTATTGTAAGTAAATTATTACCTTTTACTTGGATACGTGTTATCAATTTTAAAGGAGATCTGAGTACCATGTTTGTAGATTGAAAAAAGATAACATTAATTGTTATTGTTGTAATTCCCAAATCAAACAGTATCAATTTGTGTAAATGGGACAGTTTAAAAAGGATGATCCAAATATATTTTTTTCTTTTTATTTATTAAAATAAAAAAATAATACTCATTCGAATTTAATTGTTCGGAAATGTTGTACAATATGATATAGTGCGTAAAATAAATAAACATTTTAAAATAGAATAGTTAGTCCAAAAATACTCATTCTTCAAATTGAAGTTTATTTAAGAGAACATAGTATATTTTACTATTTAAATTTTTTAATTCAATCTCTGGTGTCTATGTATGATAATTTTATTTATTTTATTCGGATATGACGTTTCTTTATAAGCTTCAGTATTGAATGTGAAATATTAATAAATCGAAAATTTATTTTTGTATTTCAAAATTGACTTGATTTTAATTTGACTGAAGTATAGTAATAATTATTGATTGAACTATAATAAAAATGACTATATTTTTTAGTGTTTCTGTAATCACTCAGATCTTCTTAATAGAATAGAAAATTGTCAAATTTTTTAGTAGTGACTTATTTTAAAATCCGTCGTACGTATTTACAAAATTTATAAATATAATTACGTATTAACTATAATTTCAAACTGCAATTTTATAATTGATACTCAAATAACATAGAATAGCAAAAACGATTATAATATATAAAATGATTCTCAATAAAAAAAAACCAATAACAAGTTATAAAAAATAACAAGTAGGAAACATATTTTTTCATACGCAAAACTTTATTCAGTTATATGCTTACATTGCGTAAAATGATAAACGCAAAGAAGCACTGTACTGAGCACATTTATTGTGCGTTATCATATAGCACAAATGAAAACTAGTCAAAATATTATATAGTTATTAATAATAAAAAATATATAATAATTTATATTCCATTACATTTATTTAAAATTTATAATGAATTAAACTAATAGTATTATCAAGCCTATAGAAATAGAATTATGATTATGGTATTGAAACGATTAATAATGTAAATGCAAGAAAAATTAATACTAATATTAACATTGAAAATAATAATGTTTCAATATTACTATTATCTAATAATGAATTAATTATACATATACATGTATTGTTTTTTATTATTATCATATTAGTTATAACTCACAGTTATGAGAAATGTGAATCAATTTTTTTAAATATTATTTATATTTATTTAAAATGGTGATAATTTGATGAAAATGAGGCAAAACTTTGTGCAAAATAAATGAAATTTAAATTCATTTACAAAAATAATTGCGCAATCATTTTCAATATAATAATGTAATGACATAAGAGCAGTTACTAGTTAATAATACATAACGATCATAAGTGGTAACAATCGAATTTAATATTTGGAATTTCCTGTAGACAGATCATTTTATTATCCTCTATTCAAAATTATCACACACTTTGCTATAAATTATTTAAAGTTTTATCTACAATTATTGACAAAGTTTTACCTTATTTGCCTGGATAAATTACTATCTAATGAGCTTGAGAGCAAAAAAATTGTTCGAATTTTTTTTCCTTTGAATCGTTTAACTTATGCCAAAAACATTTTTGAGTAAAAATATGAATTGATGATCCAAAATTATTACGAGATATATTATGTTAATAGTTAATTATAAAATGAGATTTATTCGTAGTTTTGATTCTAATTTATTTAAAAATTATTTTTATAAAATTTCTACAAATGAAGAGGTAAAATTTATATTATAAGTTGAATTACAATTTAAACTATAATGTATGTTTAAGTTAGATTTTGTAAACTTTCGAATGATAAAAAGTGAGAGAGAAAAGTGTTATACTTAATATGATCAATGCATCAAAACTAAGTTTACATTAGTTTAGGAAATTTTTTCAATTACCATAGTTTATACTATATATAGTAGATATTGTAGTAGTGAGTGAATAATAGACTAATCATTAATTTAATAATAATTACAAATCAATGCGAAGAGATTAGTATTTATGTATTTATTGTTTTCACATTATATTTGTTCTGAAATTTTGTTAATCTAAGTAAACACTTAACCCTTCGAATGATAAATACAAAAAATAGGATATCTACTTTAAATTGGACTACATGCCTTAACTACCGAAATTAAGAGATTTACACTTATTTATATATAACAATCTTTGTATTTATATACCTAGTAATGTAGAAAGGAACATTGACAGTATTAGAAACAAAAAATATGTATGTATATGAATGACAATAGATGACTTATATGCATATATGTAGGGTACTTTTTATTAAGAAATTTATTACGATTATGAATATATTATCACTTTTATAAAAGTATGCAGATGCTTATAAACATATACATATACAATAAGATTCAGTTGTTTTATTTGTGTTTGATAAACTTTTCTATCTAAATCTGTTAAAACAATCAATACCCCAAATGAGTATACTAACGGATAAGATCATCGTTAAGTAATTGTTAAATGATGAATAAGATGGATAGAAAATAAACTCCGATAAAGCGTCAATTAAGATTAATTATTTCAAAAATCGTATTATTATTTGATTAATTATTAGTTATAGAACTATACAATAAATTTTATAAATATTCGAATTAAAAGACAATTTTTTGATGATTTATTTAATATTGACAGAAATTTTTTTAATATCTCAGTTTATTATTTATTGTGAATGCCTTATTATGTAAGACTTTTAAATTTATTTTTGCAAATAAAAATACTTATAAAATTTTGGACGTGAGAGTAAAATTTCAAAGTCTCATCATAACACGTTTGATAATAAAAATTTAAAATTTCCTTAGTTAAAAATACACAGACTTTCTCTCATTACTTATTTGATTGTTTAGTTGATTAGTTAATCGACTATGGTCGAACTCACTTTCAATATTTTCTAAGAATTTCTCGGAGGAGATATATTCGGTAATTGAGTTCATAAAAGAAGAAATCACATTTAAAAAGCTATTTACATAAGAGAAAAAAATATTAAATTTAAGATTTAAAGTAATAAAAAGAGTTTATTTAATAATTAAATTAAGTTATTTCAACTGTGTTTCGTTGAATATTACAAACTTGACATGACTATTGCGTTTTTATCGAAAACAAAATATCTTATTTATTATCAAAAATATAAATTATTTATATATTATAGTTAAAAAGGAATTATTTCAATAATTAGAAATAATTATTAGGCTATGGATTTGAGTTCATGGTGTGATGAAAATTTTAAATCAATAAATTGACAACATTTATTTACAATTATTATTATTATTTATAAAGCACCGTAATTATAGACATTTGCCGCCAAATGTCTGTTGTTTGAATACATGTAAAATGTTTTCTTCAATTGCTCTTATAAACACTGAATTATTGTATTTGGTGCACAGAGCATACAAAATATAAATGGGTCGTTTTTCCACTATATTGGTTATGTTATAACCAAGGTCCATAGATGAAATAAAATTAGAGAAGGTTAGATTTTTCACTGGCCGAGGGTAGTTCAAAATAATAATATCACGATACTTTTACTTGTGGTACAATGAAAACAGCCCCTGTGTAATTTTTGACGAAAACAGGATTGAATTACCCGAAAAAGGGACGGAGGGAGCAAAGCTTTTGCTATGGACACGAGAGATGAAGCTCTCATCAAGGGGTTCAAGATTTAGAATATTCTAAAATTTTAGAAATATATTAAAGAGAACAGGTATATAAAATATAACAATTTGGAAAAATTTATGACCAATAATCAAATTTCACTTCTAAAATGCTGAATTTTAAGAAGATTTACTGAGCCTGGTACCATCTTTCACCTGAAAGACCTTGAAATAACAATGTTTGGTCCACCCGTTGTTGACCATTATTTCACTGTTGATGGAACAAAAAGGAAATATATAGAAGAACCATGCAAATAGGAGCAACTGAATGGAAAATTTTTACCTGCTTATTATATGGCAGGGATACAAAACTAATTTTGTAGTCAGGCAAATGTTATATCCATTCTAAAGAATTTGTCCAACGAATCCCTACGCACTAGTTCTATATTATTTTTCTTCTCTGGTTTTCGAGAATTTAAGTTGCCAAAATTTCAAGTTAGTGACCTCGGTCACTACCTAAATCACCAGTTGATAATCAAAAAGTATGCTTAATTTGAGACCTGGATCGTCTCCATGACCAATTTTCTATTGTATAATTCATGATATTTTCGAATCTTTTTTTACACTGACCCTGGTTTATTTAAGGAATGCTTGAAAGTATAATTATAATTACTTCGAAATTAGTATCAAATGGATATTTTCTGAAACTTGTACCATAGTTCAGTTGTTGATTATTTTCTGATGACATGACTAAATGATCAATAATCCTATATTATTTTTGTTTTCATCGTCATAGTATTTGAATGTTTAATATTGATTTTAACGGTTTACTTTATAGCAATAATATAAGAAGTATTAGAGTATTCTCAGATAATCATACCACCAACTTTCCGATATTTGTTATTAACTTTTTTTCACTATTATCCAAAAGTTATTTATTATTCTTTTCAAAGGGAGTACATTTTTCTTCTTTATCCAACCGAAAATAATTTAACTATTATATCAATCAAGCAGGCAAAAAACAATTGGATCTCCAACAGTGGAGGTATTCAAATCGATTTTAAGAACTAAATCTTTTTAAACAATTTTTATAGATGAAATGTAAAGTGCATAATTATAGTTATATATTTCTTTCTAGATCATTCTGAAAAAATCTTTTCATGGTTGCATTTATATTTAAACATAAAACTACTCAAAACTCAGCAAAAACAAATTTTACCAATTACTTATTATCAAATGTTGCAACAATCAAATAAAATAGCTTTTTAATAAAAGATTACTAGAGTGGATAACGTAAAATTTATTTTAGGTATGTACCCGGAAAAAATTTTATATTATTCTCATCATTAGTTAAAATGAATTTCTATTATGGATCGCAGTGACGAATGATTTTTATTCTTATTCTTTACTGGAACCGTTAGTCAAATTTAATTTTTTCCATAGAAGATTTATAAAGGATTTTTTAATCGTAGAAATATAAATAGGCTCGGTTATATATTATATACAAAATAAAATCCAACTATTAAAATAATATATCATAAATAATAATAAACTATTACTGAAAAATGGATTATGGAGACTGTTGAATTTAAATCTACACTAGGATTCATTTGATGATGATAATAAGCATAATTAACCATAGTTATTAAGCTGAATTATTATCATGATGTCGGAAAATATAGTTAATATTTTGTTATAGTACAAAGTTGAAGTAAATTAATAGTGATAGTAACAGCAATAGTATTAGTTATAATATGAAGTTTTATTGTAGGATTATTGATAGTTATGAACATTATGTGGATATCATTTGTAGCAAAAGTAGTAATACAAACAATATAAAACCACCATAAACCCTTTAATATCGATCATAAGCTGTTGTATTCATGCAATGCATATTGTAAATATTTAACTTGATGTTAACATACAAATATTATAAATGTTGTGACATAGCTCTATCATTGTATTTATAAAGTAAAATGAAAAGAGCATTTTGGAGTTATGTCGTTCTTCTACAACCATTGAATCATGTAAATTCGTTATTTACTCTTCTGTTTTACTACGAGTGTATATTATCGTATGTACGAATTTCATGTATCTTAAAATTATCGTAGTAAATGGTAATAAAATAATTTATTCGTATATTTGATTGTAGTTGAAATCCCCTCATGATTATGTTTGCATAATACAAAGTAGTAAGAGGTATCACTGTAATTTTTTCATTGATTTGATATATTATGAAAATAACTAAAACTCATCGCGCTTTTATTGATTTATTTTTTTTTATTCCATTATCAATAAAAAATTTCAGCAGTTATGACACATCGCTCGTTTTATCTTATATATTAGCAAATATTAAGACAGTAAGTAGCTTATAAAAAATTTTAAAAATCAAAATAATAGTAGTTGTAGTAGAAATAATAATTAAAAACAATATAGTCTTGCCACAGCTAGGTGAGGAATGCAGCCGATTGGTTGAAAAGTGCCACTTTGGTTTTTTTACAATTTTTTACGTGATAATCATACTGATTTCACTCTCAATTCATTATGTTTGTTTGTTCCATTTTAATGCATTTTTCGATATTTCATATTATTTGAGCACTCAAAAAGCTATGTAGTTTTCCTTTTACACTATCAGTTACTTTTTTACACATATCCTATGCACTCCACATATATTACAAGTAATGCATTTTTTCATATATTTAATTACCACATAATTTTATTAACTCTAATAATAAAATGAATATTTTTATTATTATAATTTACTAATAATAATAATAAACCTACATAAAATAATTATAATAATAGTAGTAGAAGTAGTAGTAGTAGCAGTAGTAGTTATAATAGCAGTTTTTTTTTATTATTGAAATAATAGTAAAAGTAATCCGATTCACAATAATAATAGTTATAAACTGAAGATAAACAAAGATCCCAATATTGATACGGTAGAATTCATTACCGTTATCACATTACTTTTGATAGCTACGACTACATTAGCATTAACTTTGTTTCAAAGAAATTAAGTAAACTTGAATTTAGAAATTACTTATTTTTCTGTTTATTTAATCAGTTTCGGGCTTAAAAATTTTAGCTTAATATAAGAGAGTTTCTAAAATAGAAATAATGTTTGAAAACAAAAAAATTAACCATAAAAATTTCGCGTATTTTATGTTTATAGTTTAATTTTATTTTTCAATCGCATTTCAGATTTTTTATTTTTTTAAAACACACACGACATTGAATAGCCACTTAATGATGGCAATGATGCCAACGGCGGCATTCCGGCACTCCGTGACATGACGGAATTTAAACGAATTTTCGATATCTTATTAATATTTAAAAAGAAAATATATGTAATAATAATAATAAAAAAAATAATCCGCCTTCATTTATAATTCGATAAAAATTATATATTGGGTCCCAGAGCCGGTTACTGCAACAGAAAAAAATTTTATCATTACTCAGTGTAAATATATTTTATTACTAATTAAAAAAACTTAATTAATTATTATTTATTTATGTTTCAAGTAGAAATATAAAAATAGAACTTAGTAAAAAGAAGAAAATTTTTAAATAGAAAATTGACATCAAAAGTTGAAAAATGAGTCATGTAATCTGTGAGTTTTAAATATTAACGAAAAACTTATATTAGTAGTAGTAATAATACTTGTATGATATTAGGAAAGTGGATGTTGAGTGAAATTAAAATAGATTTCCGTAGTTGAGCCAAGTGGGATCTAAACTGTGACACCAGTACGTGGTGGTATTAGATCTCCTACTTAGTTGTAGCTCATATTTCATTTTTTTAAACTGAAAGGTATCGCGCTGGTTTAGTTAAAAAAAAATTCTGGTATTAAAAATAGTAAACATCTGATTCAAAGAAAAGAATGATTTTTTTTTTAAGTTTAAAAAACATACCAACCTAATAACCACACTGGATGAGGTAGTCACCCAACTTTTCAACCACTGAAGCTGCTTGCTGTGGTTGAATTGGATCTTCATACAGAGAAATCACAACAGCTTGTGCTGTTTTCATACAGTGAACTCCAACCTTGCCTAATTTTGCCCTTATTACACGATCCGTGCCTGACAAATATATATACCTATTCCCAGCTAAAGTGACGCCGGATGATGTAAAAACATCTTGAGAGTCAAAGCCCTGCACTAGTTTAGCTAATTCTTCTTTGCTCACCTATGAAAAAACAATATAACTTTTAATGCTTCATTACTATAAATAACAATATATTAAAAACATATATTAATAATAATGATAATGGATACTCATATTTTATTATATACTTGATAATGCATATCTAATATTGAGTCATTTATTTCCCAATAATGTTTTTTTTATATTTCATTTTTCATTACTTATAAAATAATAATAATAAAGACGAGAGATCTTGAAATTCATTTTACATATATACATATATATATTCATATCCACAAAAGGCGTGGAAAAAAACAGAATTTTGCTAAAGGGCAATAGCGTCTGTATATATATTATATATATTTAGTACATGGATCGGAAAACAGTTGACACGGTACTGAACTGAACACGATACTACAGCCCATCAAAGATAATAATGACGATGACGATAATGGTGACTAAGTCAAAGACAGCAACCATGATCATGATCACCATGGCAACAACGAAGGTAGTGATAACTTGAGTTATTACTTTTCATCATTTTTGGAATGCATTTCCATCAAGTATTGACTCATTAATGACTTAATTACTTTAATAACTGCATATGAAAAGAATATTGAAAAAAATATCTGAAATAAATAAGAAATTTTCTTATCAAATGATAGATTATTTGAAAGAAATTTTGAGTAAGAAAAATGATACGGTACTGTGATACTGTATAACTGGGTATCGCCATTTTGGCATAGTGTAACCGGAAAGTGGTATGTGATACATATAAACCCTCTATCGCGCGTGGCCATCGTGTAAGTTGCCAAGTTACATCGTTTTGTCAAGATATAAATGTATGGGAATTATCTCGTACAATAAACAATTTTAATTAACGAATTTTATAATAATTTCAGTCTTTATCACTACGGCTCTAAATATAAATATTATTATAATTATGATGAAAATGACGATTAATATTATTAATGTCAATGTGATTCACACTCAAAAATCACCTTTGTTTCTTGACCAGAATATATATTATCTATGATTTATAAATTAAGAAAATCGAATATATTATCGGTAATAATAAAATAAAAAGCCATTAAACTTTTGTAAACGTTATAGGCATTTACAGGCTGGGGCATTTCACTTATACTGTACTTAGAGATAAACTATTTATCAAAAAATTATAGAAATGTTGATTTTTTTTAAATCGATCAGCGTGAGACATTCGTAACGGTGGCGGTTTTGCCTTTTCGAATACCAACTTTGCCACACCCTTTCCGAATATATGTATATACATATATATATATATACATCTTTATTTTTAATAACTGTATTAATATATAAAAATGTACCTTTTTTAGATACAAGAAAAAAATCAATAAAAAGTAATAAAATTTTTTTAGTCAAGATTCATCAACATGTATGGGTTTTAATTGAAAAATTCGATTTTTAATCCCCTTACTGAATGAAAAGAATATTATAAATTATTAAATAAATGTAAGATACAAAATAATGAACTTGAATGATAACAAAGCATCATGAAATGCACATAACATATACTTTATCAATATCTCGAAATTAACCGAATTGTGATGATAAACGCGGGTAAAAGCAGTTGTGAGAATCATGTACGCCGGCTTTACTTATGGATTAGCGTCTACAGATGTCCAACGCTGAGTTAAGTTATATTGCAATTACTGCAGGGGTAAAAATTAATTTATAATAAATCGACTGAATGATAAACTCAAAAATATTATTCCATTTATTTTTAGATTTCCCACGGGTGAAAAAAACAATTTTAATGAGTGTTTGGCTCCTCTTTTTTCCTGTACGGATGAACGTGTATATAGATATATAGTATATATGTATATGTATATATTATATACATAGCTATATATAGATATGTATGTACATCTATGTATGTATGTATTTATATACACGCGTTACTCCGAAATATTTTAAATTTAAAAAACACCTATAAAAAGTAACAATGTGGCATACATTATAATTAAAAAGAAAATACTCACTTCGAAGCCGTCTGATTTTGCCCAAAGATTTCCATCGTGGCCGGCAATTGCTGCTTTCGTCACGCATTTTGATGCAAGCAGCTGCTTGTCAATGTAGTCCTGCCAGCTCATGATTTTGTTGGTATATAAAAATTGTACTTGATGGAGCTTCAAATACAAATTCCCAATGTACTATTAAAACTAATAGTCGCTACGCGTAAGATCTTTTAGTTTTTTTTCTTTTAATTATCGTTTAATATACTTATGTTCGTTTCCCGGTTTAATACTAACGTTCTTTGGATGATGTACGATTTTCTTTTTGATACAACACGGTTTGGTAATGTAGCAATAAAAGTATCAATAGATTGGTTTACTTTCGTTGTATTAATTTAAACCGTCTTTAAGGTTACTACTTTACTTTGAAACACTATACTTATACGTGAATATTCGAGTTAAATTGTTGGATATTGTCTGGTTGATCTGATCGCTGGTAGAGTCTCCAACAGTCTACAATAGTTTTCGACTCCAAGTTGCACGTCATACTACCATTTCGAGCAGCTTTCGCCTCTCACTATCTCTTCTCTCTTTCCCTTATTCACTCACTTCATCTTTTTTTCCTTTATTCCTTGTTCCACCACTATCATCAGTTCAAACCAGGCGCATGTACTTACTATAATATAAGGCTTGTGCCACAAAATGTTATATATCTATAGTCTAATATTCTTAAAATAGAAATTTCGAAAATAGAGTTCGGCACAAGTGGCCATTGTTCAGCTAAATCCGACGTTCCTGTATTAATTTAGGACGGGCGGCCATGTTTAAGCCTTGAATCGTTCATTCCTGTGTTCACGCTATAGTCAAACCGAACGGAACTAGGCACAGGATATTACTCCCACTCTTTTTGAATCATGGTGGGAGAAGACAATAGGGAAAGTATAGGATTGTTCACAATACACACAACATTGCATATCACGAGAAAGAGTCATTCTTTTTCAGTGGTGGGGAACACAGGTTGTTATGAGAAATATAAATGGTGGGATCACGACTCATTGTTTGATTCAACAATACTAAATACATAAAACTTCAAAATGACATGTGTGCTTATGATTACAATGCCCATTTCTCTATTGTAAACAGAGAAATACACGTTTCATTCAACGGAACCAAAGTTCATTCCTTATTCCTTCAGTTTGATGTATTTTTAATGTATTTGTAATGTTCTATTGTGATTGCCCCTTAACGGATTGATTTCTCATACATTTATTTATGCCTTACGATAAACTTTACATTTTATAAATTTTACAATAAAAATTAAATAGTAAGAAATATTTGTTTATGTTTAAGACGAGACTCTTAACATTTTTGTCTACTGGCATCAATGAATGAAAATAATAAATGTGGTTAGTAGTTAATCACTGATAACAAAAGTAGTAGCTATATAATAAAATATAGAATCGGAAGCACCTAAAGATAATATAAAATATTGCATTGTTATCAAACAATGTTTAATTGCAGACGATTTTATTTATTCATCTTCAAAGAAAATTGATGGTCAGTCGGATGTTATCATCGGTGCATCATATAGCATCGAATCATTGGCGGGAATTTCAATTTCTTTTTAATTAAAATATTGTTTGAATATTGGTAAGTTAACGTTTAAAATAACAGAAGTTTAATATATTTTTAAATAAATTTTTAATAAGCACAAAATTTAACGTAATAGTTCAAATTTACATGGGCTAACAAAATTTGAATTACTCCAAAAAATACTGTAAGACTTTGGTTGCTCCATTCCGCTTAAAAATGAAAAATTAAAGTAAATTGATTTATGTGATAGTGAAATCCGTGTACACTAAACATATTCTAATTCATTCTGAAATTTTTATAAGAAAAATTCATTCTCATCAAATTATATTAAAATACTCCAAAACTATGCAATCTCGGTTTTGGGATAATTGGGTTTCATGAATTTTTAATAATTACAATCTCATTCGTCAGTATTACTGTTTAATGCAAAGTGTTCGAAACGATGATGCTATTTACAGATGTTTGACATTGCGAAAATCTATTCAAACTTCTGAATCATAGATTAATATTATATGTGATATCTTTATTAATCTAAGCGAGATGCTGTAAATAGCAGAATTATTTTAAGTAATGATCTATTTAAACTTTGAATTTTTAAAACTCAGCTTCAAGAATTTATGAGCTTGTAATCTAAGGAATATAAAGGAATTAAATTTTGGCTTTCATATGTTCATTACATTTCAAATTTAACAAAATAAATTTACAGAATTGGACACTATTTAAAATAACTTCGCTATTTTCAGTGTATCGATTGAATTATATAATTTCAGTGCAAATTAGATACTAACGAGTTGGTGATATTTTTTTACACTTAAATATTAAGTGTAAAAAACAATGAAAGAAAAATAAAAACTATGATGTGGAATTAAAAATAAATTTATTAGGATTATTCACAAAGTTGATCTATTATATAATAAAAATATAATACATCTATTATAAATTATTTCTTAAAAAATGACACTAAATATCATTTAAAATTACTTAAGTCTACTGACTTCAATAAATTGATTAGTTCAAAAATGCTCTTATTTTCTTTTGAACCTTTGCTGCAAAATTAAAAATATTTTTTGTATTAATTAATTTTAATATGTTCGTAATTGATAAATATAATTCATTCATTTATAAACATTTTCGATAAAAATAACTTTCAATACTTTAATTAATAAGAAACTGACTCAATTGTCAATAGTATTACTTACTTTTTTCGTAGAAACTGTGAATGTAAATTCTTTATTGCCACGAGAACTGTTATGTGTGTCGTTTCTTATTCCTTTCATTTCAGACGATTTCAATCTTTCACCCAATGTCTCTCTATAAAACAGTCAATTTATTATTGTCGTACATAATATACAATTTCTTCAAATGTTATTTAAATGAATTATTGTCGAAAACATAAATAGTAATGAAAACCAACCTGCAACGTTTTTTCATATATTTTCGTTCATTTCCGTACTCTTCATTCTTGTTATTAACTGTTTGATCATCATCATATGCTCTCTTACTTTGTTTATTAGTTAATGTTTTTTCGAATTTAAATCTATGATTGTCTTTTTTAATATTACTGCGTTGTCTTGAATTAAATTGTTTATGAAAACTGGGCTTATGCTCGTTGCTGTCATGAACATCATCATCATTGTCGAATAATTCATCATCCGATTGCTTTGGACCTTAAAAATTTTTAAGAAATAAGTTATCATTGTAACTAAAATAAAGAATATTACGGTCATAATTAAATGTTTATAATACCATTATCATATGCTGATAAATAATTGTTGTCCTCATAATCACTATCATCGGATGCTAAATGCTCGTTCATTTTTTTTCCATTATTTAATTTATTTAATTTCTTAGTTACAGCAATCTTTCCCATCATATGTCTATTGAACTCTTCATCATTTTGGTTTATTTGAAAATCAGGATTCGTAAATAGTGCTTTAAATCTATCGTCATGTAAAAGATTTTGTTTTTCATCAACGTTTTTAGTATTATTGGCTTTCCTTGCTATTTGTTGTTGATATTTAACAGCAAGTTCTCTATTTATTTTAGGTAATTTGTCAATTACTTCTTGTTGTTCTTGTTGTATTTTCATTAATTTACTGGCCCGATTTTGCTTAATTTTTTCACGAATCATGTTCTTCTTGTACGCATCAAAGGAAAATGGTTGAACAATCTGCTTTGCTTTAGACCATAACTTTGCATCAATGAAATAGCCATGCATGTACGCTCTTAATAAACTTGTACCCGATAAATGAGACAATCCTAATTCTGTGAGCTCTTTTTCTGTTACAAACTTGTAATTATCATAAACTGATTCATAGTTTGTTTCTTCTAGTTCTTCTGTGAGATTATCAATAACACTAGCCCACTTAGGTGCTGGTCCAAGACTAGGAATGTAATATGTGCTCATTTGAGGTGATTCGTTAGCAAAAAAGAACATTCCTGTTTTTGGAATTGTACACATATCGTTAAAATCAGCTTGTTCACTCGCTTGTATTGAAGTATATAGTTTTCCCTAATATTAATAAAAAAGATAAAATTGCTAGAATTAATTCAAAAATTTCTAGTTTTCAACTACTTACTGTATTTTTGTTCCATATTTTAACAATAGACTTATCCATTGAATATACTAAGTCCATAGTATCATGAAATGCAAGATTTTTAATCGGAAATCCATTCATATGATCTTTAACTAAAAATGGTTTATTCGACCTAATATCATAAAGTAAAATTTTTCCTGTAGATGTGCCAACAGCCATGGTTAATGCACCTTGAAATTCTAAAGATGTTACTGCAACATTTGACAATGCTGATTCTAGTAGATGTAAGTTTGTTGTATCACCGTATAATCTGTAATATTATTATACAGTTTATAATATTGAATAGAACATCTATATAATTATTCATTATTAAAAAAATATGTGATGTTACTGTTGATTCTGGAAGTCATTGAAATTGTTTGTATCAATGCAATCAAGTTTACAATTAAGTGTTCCAACTTTATTTTTGGTACGAGGGTCCCAGGCTTCAACATTTCCATCTTGTGTACCAACAGCTACTAAATAATGAACATCATTGATACAACATTTATTGACGGCTGATGATTCTGATTGAAATGACTGTAAGAATTGTCCTCTTTCTAGATGTAGTCGATAAATTTCAGCACTAAAAAATTTTCAATGTAATACTACTTTTTATGAATTCAATTTTAATGATTTTTTATAACTTACCTGTCTCCCACAATAAATGAATTACAAGTTGGATAATGATATGCTATATCTCTACCAAACCTAGGCATTCTTAATCTGTAGTATTTTCCAGATGCTGTGTGAAATTCAATGTATCTATCACAATGAAGAAATACTAGCTGTATAAATAAATGTACATTAATATCTCAAATAAAATAGTGTTCGAAATGCTTCAACTTATTACTAAATATACCTTGCTATAATCATCTGACAATATTTGAAAAGCTGTAACCTCAGAATCGAAACATCTTTCAAACTTTAATGCTAAATTATTGACATCAAAACATTTTACTCGTGGTTTATAAGTTCCTGTTGCGAAAATGTATTGCTTATCATTAGATATTTTGATAGAAGTACTAACTGCAGGCATATTAAAATCATGTAAAAGCCTTATGTGGTGACGTAAATCTGAAACAAAAACATTATCAAACTTTATTTTTCAAAGCAAATTTTAAATAAACGAAATTTAAAAAGTAAAATAAAGGTTAAATGTAGTATCACTTACCAACATTTTTTTTAATCAATTTCCTTCTCTTTCTTTCTGATAGCCACTAGAAAAATATAATTTAAATAAATATAAATATTTAGAATATTTTGTTTGTATGTATTTTGATTTTAAAGAATATAAAAATTAATACCTCTGGCAATGATCTGCCACTGCTCAAATTATAAATTTTAACATCATTTTGATTTGAAACTTGCATTTTTATAAGTAGATAATTATATTATCTATAAAAAACCGAATAGGAATATTGTATGGGTACAATATTTTTATTAAAATTTATATAACTTTCATTGAAGTTATAATCTATAATTCATCAAGAAAAACAGTGAAAACAACACCTTTTCCGACTAACACGTGTTGCACTGTCGTCGTTGTTACGATAGGTTAGGTTATAGCTGCAATTAAAAGCACAACACTGGAACGTTGGTTTATACAATGAACCGAACACTATAATTCAGCTGTTTGTAATTGCAAAAGAAAACGATAATAAATAATACAGAATGTTTTCCATTTAGGAAACACAAAAACAAACGTCTTTTTCTATGCTTTTAGTTTATTGGAAACAACAGTTCCATTCATAAAAGCCCAAAACAGTCGTACCAACACAAACAAACTAGTTTCTGCAAAATTTCCATGTTGAAATATTTATCATCATTTGAATTGTTAATAAATATTTATTGTTTAATAAATAAAAAGAAAAAATACTAATGAAAAATGTTAATTAGATGAATTAAACGTCAAACAGTACTCTTTGACCGTTGAATTATTGTGTTTTCACTACTCCACTCGATCAAAATTGTGTACACTGTGTGATTGTTTACCAGTAAATACACATAACCTCAATTCATCAATGTTTGAAAACAACTTTTATGTCAATTTTATTTTTTTTTTATAAAAGAGATAGAGAAAAATAGTGCTAAAAAGTAAACAAAACAACTGAAGAATCATAACAATTCTTATCATTATTACTATTACGTAATAAATTTATAAAAATTTTAACTTGCATATTTAATTATAAGAATGTCATCAACTGTCAAAGGATTTTACGATCTTTGTGTTGACGTTACGAACAATAAAGATGTTGATGGATTGATAAAGAAATTATATTTAGGCAAGTATTAAAATGTTTAACTCTGTTTGACATCTCTGTATTTATTATTATTGATTACAACTTTAGATGTTTATATTTGATAATTTTTTTTAGATGGATATAGAATAATTGCAATTAATCAAACAATAGATGAAAAAGTTCTCGATTACAAGAAAAAAACTAAAGTAAATAATGAGTCTAAGCATTTATTAAATAAACTAGTAGATACGTACAATGATATTAAAAGACGAAATAATGTTAATGAGCAACTTATTCTTTTAAATCGGCTCACATTTATATATTCAGATCCAGCTAAAATTTATGCCTTAAATCAATTAGAGAATTTTGTTCAAACCTTTGATTTAATAGCTGTTATTCCAGTTGGAAATGATGCTTTACAATATGCCTGCACTAATTCTATCGCCGATGTTATAACGATTAATTCATTCTGTACTAGTGTTAAACTTAATAGAAAATTGTATTCTCAAGCTGTTGAGAAAGGAATATTTTTTGAAATTCAATATGCAGATTTGATATCTCCAACTAAACGAAAAAATATGATGCCTCTCGTTCATTCATTTTATATCTACGGAAAAAGTAAAGTAAGATTTTTTCCTTTTAATTATTATATAATAAATTATCGTTTATTTTTCGTTTTTTTATCATCGTTTATTTTCTTTTAGAATGTCATCATTTCTAGTGGAGCTTCACACAAAATTTTTGTCAGAAATCCCTATGACATAATAAATCTGTATCCTTTAATAATTTTTTTCTAAGATGCTTGTGTCATAAAGCATTTTATGACTTTTATTTATATTTTCCTTTACTTATAATATAATACTCAAGTGGTTGTATTCTAGGACTGAATGAGATCCAAGCTAAAGCATGCATATCGACTCATTGTCAAAATTTATTAACAAGAAGTGGTATGGGTTTTTTTTATTATAACTGGAAATATTCCATAATTGAGAACTTACTTATAATTAATTTTTTCAGAGGGGAGAAAATATGGTAAAGGACTTTTTACTATTTGTCCTACCAATGAAAAGAACACGAATATGATTATTGAATCTAGTAGTGATACGGATGATGATTGCTAATCATTATGGTTTTTAAATGTACATATTATACATAGGTATTTATAAAAAAAATTTTTTAAAAAATTAAAACTGAACTGAGATATAGTATGCATTACTATTAGTGGCATATTTTTGTTATCGGAAGTTGAATATTTTTTACAAGAGGTATTTAAATGAGAAATCACTAATGGAAGTTAAGAATGAAGACAATTTACTGATGGTTTATTTTCCATTGTGTTTGAATATAGATAAATATTCAATCATTTAAATACAAATGTTAAATAAGTTTTACATAAGAACCTATCATGTGTATGATACAATATCTATTCAAATTACATAAATGATTCTGTTATATTTTATTTTTTATAATATATATTCTTTCAGTATTTTTAATACAAATTTTCGCAAACTTACATTTATAAAATTAATTGATTTGTTTTTATGGTTATAATTTTTTACCATAAAATATTATTATTTTATAATGTGTTTGTTTTCATATAATCTTTATGAAAATGAGTTACAAAAAAAATAGAATTACTATCCCTGTAAAGTGTTTTATATATTATTACATAATATTTTTTAAATAAATATTTTTATTATTAAGCTAGAATACAATTATATGTCATCATAAGAATAATATTAAAAACGTTATTACCCAAAATTTTCCATTTACAGAAGATAAACACAGATTTTTGATATTAACAAGATTTTTCAATATGAAACAAACATAAAACATCAGTCTTTCATACATTCAATATATTAAAATACACACTTTGAAAAATAACTTATGTATTTTGTAAGAATAATAATTGTTTTATGAACACTAATTCATGAGGAAAATACTTGTTGGTTAATAAAATTAACAATGATCAAAAGAAAGTCTTTAACTATTAGTGAATAAATTAAAAATTGATACGTGAATTGTAGAAAGGCCATTAACAGTCAAATCGATTTTAATGAATTTATGATAACTTGTGTGGGTATGTTAATTCTAAAAATTCATTTAAAAAACGACTAGTCATAAGTACAAGCCCTTATAATCAAGAAAACTAATGGTAATTTTCAATAATCATTTTGTTTTTTTTCTTACTTATGTGACACCTTTGGATAATAGCATGATGGCAATAGTGTTTATATTTCAATTTTTATAATTATTCTAATTCTTATGCACTACTTTATTATTATTTTATATTATTATTGAAAAGATTATGAGTTTATATACAAGGTATTACGAAGCAATTTGAATAATTTTTAAACTTCTTTTCTATAATATGCATTCATCTATGATTGCACTGGCCGACTTTGCGTAAATCGGAAGTATTAGATATATTTGATTTTAATGATTCATTATTTTGTGTAATTGTTGATTCATTGCTATTTGAAATTGGTTGATTTGAGGATGGACTATCAACAGATTGAAATGAAAAACTAGAAGAGTCTATACTTGATAAGGATTTTGGAGTTTCAGTTGGGTTTGTTTCAGGTACTGAACTAGACGACGATGTATCCAATCTAAAATAAATACACGATATATGTATAAATATCAAGTGTTTTGTACATTATTGTAATCAACTTTATATTTAAATCGAAGTCTAGAGATTTGTTTTATTTAAACAACATAATAACTAGAAACATACCTTGAAGGACTCGAAAGAACAAGTGATGATATGCGTTTTACTGGTCTTTGTAACAATTGGTCAATTCCATTATCATCAAGTTCAAATTTTCTTTTTACTGGGCCCAAACAACTTGGTCTTATAGCTATTGGACTTAAACTACGTCTTGTAGCAAAAGCTTTTCTCGTTGGACTTGGTGAAAGATTACTTTTCCAGTTAGCTATATGAACTCCTGGAGAATAACATTGACGTTGTCCAATACTAGATCTTGTAGGAGAAGGTGACGAACAAAGAGGAGGTCCCCCGCCATTCATTGTTGTTGATAAGCTAAGATTTAGCGGATCAAAAATTCTTCTCGCTAAATGACGTTCTATTCTACTATTTTGAAGAGGCTGCTGAACTGGAGAAGAATCGGAATCTTTAAAAGATAATCCTTCTGCTTCTAAAGTTAAATCTTCCCATGATTGTGATATTTGCATAGCACTATGAATTTCTTTTTCATGCGCAGCTTCTCTCCCAGCAACATCTATACATTCTTCTTGCTTTAATTGATTTACTCGCGGTGTTAATCTTGGAGCATTGCCAGGACTCTGTAATATATTATATGAATTAATAACAGTGAAAATTAATAAAGCTGCTGGAGTTTATGTTTCTAATAATTCTTACACTTGTACTAAAACGTCGTGTTCTTGGAGTATTAGAAAAGAGATTTAACGTAGACACAGCATCTCTGTAAAATATATTAAATTTAGGAAAAAAATCTAAAAACCTATAATGTGTTCAATGAGGTAATTTGAATTTATAGATAGTTTAATTTGTAATTTATATCAAACAATTATTAACGATTTAGCCTATTAAACATAAAAATATTGATCGTATGAAATAACAAATTCATCAACACATTATATTTGTAAAATAACCATTTTTGATAACAACGATTCCATTTACCTGGGTGCCGAAGTTGAAGGTGAGCTAACTGACATAGTGGCACTGATTTCATTAATCATCGGAGCGCTGCTGGATCTTTTAAGACTGACTACTGGGCAGTCGATATCCATGATTACAAATATGTATCACTTTAGTTCGAACAACTTTGATATTTATGTAACGCAAAGGTTGAAATGAAATCAGGCACATTGATGCTGAAAACTGTTTCCTATGATAAAAAATATTTGTTGTATATTATTCTGTATTGTAAAAATTATTTATTGTTATTTTTAAATGATAAAATATGGTAAAAAATATTTCGAGTCTTATTATGTTTACTAAATATTGTTATTAAATATTCTATAATTAATTGTTTATTTAAAAACGGTGGAAACTGTGAAAACTTTCTCATTAAAAAAAAAATTAAAAATTGTGTAATTAATAAGTGATTTTTTTTTAACACGAAAAAAACTTACGTGTAATGTAATTATACTTACTAGTTTTACTCAGATATACGTGATTTACTTGTCAAGAATGAAATTGAACTTGAAAGATGTATATTTGAAACTTTCATTCTAAAGTAAAAAATAATGTTTAACATTTTCATTTGTTTGAATACTAAAAATCCAAAAAAAAAATTTATTTTTCCTTGAATTAGAGTATGTCCTCATATATGCATATACATACAAATACATGTAGACATAAATATAACAATTATATTTGGATCTTTGACTGTTACCGAAGAGTTGAAAAAAGTTACATTATTACTTCAAGTTTAGTTATATTTTTTCGATTTCAGTCTAATTCACTTTATTACAATAAATTCCAGCTGTGATTCAAAATTTAATGCTTTTTTCAGTATCTTGATCTAGATTGCACGTTGCTTTCAATAAAACAGTCACAAAACCGGTGCATCAATTACTATCAACATTCGTGCATGTTTGCTTTATACTGTGCTTGGATCTTCATATACACTGGAGTTTATCACCCTATTCACTACTATTGTTAAAAGTGCTGATTACCAATAATGTTCATAACTATATGTATCATAGTTTTACGCTACATCATGTCATATAACTTACTTATGAAGTAGAATACGTATTTAAATTCATAAATATGTACTGTAAGTTTTACATATATGTAGGTTTCTAGACATAAAGGAAAAATTGAAATAATTTCTTTTATAACAATTTGATGAAATTGTAATCATCTTCATTTATACGATTTCAAAAGGAGTTAATTAATTGTATGAAAGACAACAATCAACGATCTCAGTACAGGTATAAAAGAAGTATATCATACTAGTCAAACCGAGAGAAAATACAGTCAAAGAATATTGTGTCACAGAGAACTCCAAACAGATGGAATTTCTTTGGAACTGATAGTATGGATTTTAAATAAAATGAGCGTTGCTAGTTTTCATTCGAATACCTTTGAACAGAGTCTGGTGTACGGATGATGCTGAAACATGGCTGACTATGTTAAGTTTATGATCAATTTTAGATTTTTGATGAAACATGACTTCAGTGCACCAGATCCTCTCTTGAGTGACTCTAGTCGAAAAAGGTATTTTCTCCACTCAAATAGAGGTCTTTTTTCCATTCCATGTATACATAAACCACGTCCTCAGTGATGAAAAGTTACCGTTATTTTCTCTATTCAAAACCATTGTAACCGCTAATTTGCTGGTTAATTACTGGTCACTTATTCGTCAAAATGACGGCTACACGAAAATTTTATTAAAATTTATCATGTATCGTTATAATCTTTTCATTTCAATAATTTTATAACAATTAAATTAAGAAATAGTGTTTCGGGATATTTTATAACAATTAAAGCACTGTTTTATTTTAAGTCTATTCATCATCGAATCATTTCGTTATTCATCATTTTCATCATTTTTTCCATTGATACATGAAAAAATAAAGCGATTGTTTAGAAGAAAAATTATTCCACATTTGAATTCATGTTCAAGTTTAGCTGATGTGCAGATGTCTTCTGCGCAGATCAAAGTAATGAATCACTGCAGTACATGTGGTTACTTATTATCCAAATATTCAACTAGTTAATCGACTGATTTTTTTTATTTCACTCTTTTTATTCCTAGTTTTTACCATGAACTGAACATCTAATACTTAGAACAGTATATTTCGTGGGGTAGTTTTGCTACCAGCTCTCGGCTTGATCGTTTTTTCTAATTCAGCTATATTTATATGTGCATGTATCGCCAACATGGTTCGCATACAAATAGGTATGTTTTCAAAATTTCAGTCAATTTTACATAATTTATTTAATAAATAGGATTTTAAAATAAAATAAATTATATATAATTATTATCTATATATTTTGTAATGATTAAAAATGTTAAATTTTAATTTTAGAAAGCAAAGGAGAACGTATGATGCTAGCAATAGCAGAAATCGTACAGGAACTTTCAAATGCTTATCGTGAACATCGAGATGTTAATTTAAATAAATTAAAAACAAAGATATCCTGTAAATACGGCTTGGAGTCCTCTCCGAAACTTGTTGATATTATAGCAGCAGTACCAGCTGATTTGAAAAACCAACTGCTTCCTATACTAAAAGCTAAACCTATCAGAACAGCAAGTGGGGTATGATTATTTTTACAATTACACATATTAACAATTAGTAAATTAATGTTGTATTAAATTTTTAATTAAGCTCATACTTGTTATATTATTATGTATTTATATATATTTGTTATCAATGCTATTATAGATTGCTGTTGTTGCTGTAATGTGTAAACCCCACAGGTGTCCTCATATCAATATGACTGGTAATATTTGTGTTTATTGTCCTGGTGGACCGGATTCAGATTTTGAATATTCAACACAGTCGTATACTGGATATGAGCCTACATCTATGAGAGCCATAAGAGCACGATATGATCCATTTTTACAAACCCGCCAGCGAATTGATCAGGTTATTAGAAAAAAAACTTTTATTTTTAAGTTTATATGAATTCAAATTTATATATTTTTATTTATTTATAAAGTTGAAACAATTAGGTCATAGTGTGGACAAAATAGAATTTATTGTCATGGGCGGAACATTCATGTCTCTACCTGATACGTATCGAGATTATTTTATAAGAAATCTTCATGATGCACTTTCTGGACATGTGAGCAATAGTGTTGATGAAGCAATAAAATTTTCTGAAAGGAGTAAAATAAAATGCATTGGAGTAACAATTGAAACAAGACCAGACTATTGTCTTAAAAAGCATCTTTCAGATATGTTGAGTTATGGGTAAGTAGAAAAAAAAGATAAAATATAATGATCATGCTAATTTATAATATTTTTTCAGATGTACAAGATTAGAAATTGGTGTACAATCAGTATTTGAAGATGTTGCACGAGATACAAATAGAGGACATACTGTTCAAGCTGTTTGTGAAACTTTTAATTTATCAAAAGATGCTGGTTTTAAAGTAATAGCTCATATGATGCCTGATTTACCAAATGTTGATATTGAGAGAGATATTGAACAATTTATTGTATGTATTATCAGAAAAAAATATTGCATTTCCATTTTTATTGCTATTATAAAATAAATAATTTATTCAATCACAGGAATTTTTCGAGAACCCATCTTTTAGGGCTGATGGATTAAAAATCTATCCAACTTTGGTCATTCGTGGAACAGGCTTATATGAATTATGGAAAACTGGAAGGTACAAGAGTTATCCAGCTAGTACTTTAGTTGATTTAATAGCTAAAATACTGTCTTTAATACCACCTTGGACACGAGTTTACCGAGTTCAAAGAGATATACCTATGCCATTAGTGAGTTCTGGCGTTGAGCATGGAAATCTACGTGAATTAGCTTTAGCACGGATGAAAGAATTCAGAATGACTTGTCGAGATGTGAGAACACGAGAAGTAGGAATTCAAGAGATTCACAACAAAGTTAAACCATATGAAGTAGAATTAATCAGAAGAGATTATGTTGCTAATGGTGGTTGGGAAACATTTTTATCATATGAAGATTCAACTCAAGACATTTTAGTTGGTTTACTTAGGCTTAGAAAATGTAGTGAAGAAACTACTTTTCGAAAAGAGTTGAAAGGAAAATGTTCAGTTGTACGTGAACTTCATGTTTATGGTAGTGTTGTACCTGTAAATGTAAGAGATCCAACTAAGTTTCAACATCAAGGCTTTGGAATGTTATTAATGGAAGAAGCTGAACGCATAGCTCGAGAAGAACATGGATCACAAAAAATTGTTGTCATTTCTGGTATTGGCACACGAAACTATTATCGTAAAATTGGTTATCATTTAGAAGGACCTTACATGTCCAAAATATTGTGTTAATCATCATTTGAATAAATTTTTAAATTCATCTAATATATTTTCTTATGTGTTTATTGCATTATATGCTAAATACAACAGAATTTACGTATTTCTAATTATGTGTACAGATGGTTTAATTAATTTTCAGGAAAATTTTAAAAAATCTACAAATACATGAAACATGACTAAACACATTCTACTACTTTTTTGAAAATACGTATTGTAAAAGTAAAAACAAAAAAAGCGTGCTATTTACACTTAACAAATAGTCCTAAAAAAATTTTTTATGGACTTGTTTTTAAAAAACTTAAAACTTAAATAATCAAATTCGAAATTAATTTTACAAATTGATCGATTGTAGATCAATGGAAAACAATGTTTCCAGTTTTATATAAAGCTGATAGTGATTTATTAATAAATGAGTTGATAAGGGATAATTTATTTCTAGATAGTTTAATCGAAATAAATAAATAAAGGTATTAAATTTACGATTTCAAAATTTTCAATATGGTTAAAAATATTCATTAAATAAATCGTTCATATATATATTTGTTTTTATGATAATCAAATCTCAACCATTTAATGAGTGACATAAATTATTTACTGATTTAATGCATAGAAACAAGAATAAAGATAACAATGTTTATTCTTAATTTTCATTAATATGTGATTTTGCCATTTGTTATTAATAAAAATTCAACTATTCTTATTCAAAAACCATAATCACACATTCATCTATTTTTTAATTGATTTTATTTTGCTGTTTGTCGACTGTGTAATAGTATTAAGATTTATTCATGTCATCAAGACGTATACTCTTCAGAAAGACATTTTCCTCGATGATGGAATATTTGAAAAGATGCGAGATTTCGAGTAGTCTCCCAGCTTTTATTTTTTAAATCTACAACAGCACGAATTTCCTTAAAATCTCCGGCAATAAATATAATTCCATACATTACGATGAATAGGCTTACGATCCCTTGAATAACAATCTGTAAAATAATATTTTTAAAAATAACAATCAAGTCTAAGAGATTGAATTAAATTTATTACTTACATCAATTGGTAATAAAGTGAACTCTTGTTCTGTTATCCTCAAATATGAACGATCTAAATCATAAGAACGGTAGTAGGTTATTTTTTCATCATATTAACATTATTTATTATTGAAACTTACGTTGTGCGGCTGAATATGCGGTATGTAATATAAGAGTAAAGCCAATAAATGTAATAAACTTGTCTAATGCTGTTGCAGCCATTGTGTTTAATATAATTTTATTTAATTTCTAATACATAGATCTTACAAATACAGTATTCTAATATTATATTTTGAATACATTTATAATATAAAGAAAAGAATTCTTTAATATATGCTCCAAATTAAGGCGATGTATGTTGTATACTCAAACTGAAACTAAAAAAAAAGTGTCACAGAGAGGATGTGTTCAATTATGATACAGATTGGATGTGTTCAAACATGTTCAACAACGATTCTTTATTGTACAGTCAAAATATTGGAAGAGTAGAATTTGAGGTTATACGGAGAATTATTTATTTCGAATTATTTTGTATTTTATATTTATCATATATTATTTCAAGTTATTTTAAGCTATTATTTATCAGAAATTATCATATAGATAATTATTTTATACAGGAAATTAATTATTTTTAATTGTGAATCAGTTCAGAAATAATTTGTGCGCATGCGCCAAAATAATTTCCCTGTATAACCTCCAATACTCTTTTAGTGTTTCGACTATAGTAGAGTCGAAATAACCTATGAAATGACCGGACAAATATTCGGTTAAATAACTAGTTATTTATTCTGCAGTCACTTAACTATAGCATTTTTGAAAAGAAAAAATATTTTTACACTCAAATATTCCAATCTTTAGACTATTCACATTCAATGGTCGCTTTCTTTTTCTTTGCTCTTGCTTCTCTTCTCCCATTGTCCTCTGTTGTGGCTCTCTTGTCAATTTCTATGTTCTTCTTGATCTATTTTGGTCAGAATTAAAAGCTTTCTTAATCGTTAAAAAATATTGAGCTTGAACATTAGAAAATACTTATATACATTGTGCATTTTGAACCATTTATTATGCAGTTTAGTATTCCATTTGATATGTTAAAGACAGTTCTTAAATAATATTTAAATCAGGAGAATATCCCTTATTGAAATCTTTACATTTGTTTGAGTTAAGTAAACTTCACATAAATAATTGAAATTATTAATGAATACTACTGCAAATATAAATTGGAGTAAAAACTAATAATATTTATTCTGATGCAAATGAATTTCAAGTTGAGTTATTGACGAAGAAACTTATGATTGTTTGACTAGTTATTGATATGATTGAAATAATAGTATAAATGATAATCACGAAGATAATATAATTATTTTTTTTGTTATAAATCATGTATTCAAGTGTTATTACTTATGAGTATGATATATGTCGTTAATATTTGAGGATAAACTATTTGGTAAGTAAAATAATTATTATAATCTGTTGCACTATACTTTTATATTTTTGTGATTGGAGTAATAATTAATTTTAAAGATACTTATCAATTGTTTTATTTACATTATGCATTTATTTAGAAAAAGAATAATTTAAGTTTCAATGAAATATATTTGTTATGTTGGCAGGAATATATATATAACTAGTAAGTGGAAAGATAAAATTACCAGAATACTATAGAAATAATCAATTTCCATTTTTTCTACATCATATTTACATGGCTCGACGTAAAAAAAGTGATACTAATCCTACTACAGGATCACCGCCATCATCATCATCACCACCTTTAACTAATTCAACAATACCAGTAGTGAGAAAGTCACAACGTCAAATAGCTAAAAAAAAATTAGTAGAAAATATGAGTAATATAAATGTACAGAATCCAAAAACTAAAAGGTTGGTATCATCTTCTACTTTGAATCCTAAAAATCCATTAGTAATAGAAGTTTGTCATAATAGTGAAGTCGAAAATAATGACGATAATCAACAGTGGAGAAGTGAAAAAGACACTGAAAATTTACATAAATCGAAAAAAGACTGTAACGATACTTCGTCTCGAGATAAAACTGTTGATGAACTAGTGGCAGTGAATTTACTGGAAAATAACTTAAAAATAGATAAAATGAGCATAAAATATAATGATAATAATAGCAGTATTGACGAAAATAATTTAAACAAAGATCATATTAATTGTAATAAAATAATTTATAATGTCCATAAAAATGTATCAGAAAATGGTAATTGTACAGATAAAATTACATGGTCTGATGATGGTAATGAAATACAACACGTGATAGAAGAAACTATAATTTGTGAAGAAATGCAAGTAGATGATGAAATTGAACAATTTACAACAGTTAAAGACGATACTACGATAGAAGTTGAAGAAATTGTATTGGTAAACGAACCACCTTTCCAAGATGAAGAGGTTATTGAATATACCATAATACAAAATAAAGATAATGCAGAATCCATAGATGAATCTGATTGTACTAATAACATAGAAAAGAGCGATAGATTAAATAGATTTTATCTTCAAGATGAAATTCAAGATAAACAGTTTTCAAAGTGTTCATTCATTAATAATAAAGACATTGAATTAGTTAACCAAACAACCAATAATATCATTTCAGTACAAGATCCACAACTTGAAGTTGATAGTTCAGTTGTTGATACAAGTGAAAAAAAATTGATAAATGATTCTTTAGTGAATTTATCGGAATCTTCTAGTGGTTATGAAAAAACATACAAAGTAAATGAATCTTTAATTAAAGACTATGAAAGAAGTGAAATAAAACAAATTGAAAGTAATGTTAATGTCAACAAGGGGATAGTTGATAAATTAAAAACATGTAACTCAAATTCAACTGAAGATAATACAATAAATAATCCAGATTCTGCGATGTTTGAAACTTACAAAAAAAAGAAGAAATCAACCGCTTTTTACAATAGAAAAAATTTAAAATCGCGTGTAACATCGAATAACAAAGATAAAGAATTCAAATCACAGAATCAATTGGAAAAAACACCGGAAAATACTATAACCGATTTACAAATGACTAGTAATGAAGTACAAATAAATTTTCCGTCTTCTAATCAACGTGATCAGTCACTGCCATTAAATTTTGTTACTGATTCACTTATATCTTCAAAAATGCAATCTAGTAATAGTATTGATAAAGTATCTCTTGAATCAAATAAATTAGATTTTGTTAACATAGAAAATGATAATTCGTGCACCATGTCCAACAGAAGTACACCATGCAATGATTCGCCTATTAATAGCGATTGGGACAATAACATTCATAATATTGAATCAAAATTACAAAATTTCACGATAAATAAAATTACGAATAATGTCGAGTCTCAAAATTTACTATCCGAACAAAATGAAGTATCAAAATTAAATAATGATAATATTCAATCATCATCAAGTGTAGATGATAGTAATGTTTCTGATTTTTATAATAGCTGTAGTGAAAGTAATTCCGAAATTACAAAAATGGATGAAAAGAATTGTAAAAATTTAGTAGACATGAAAACTGTTATTGTTAATGAGTGTCAAAAAAGTAAAAAGGAATATTTCACTGGATCTTCTAATATTCAAACAGCCGAGTGTGATAATCGATTAAATGAAAATAATTTATCAGGTGTACGTCGTAGTAATCGAATTAAGTCGCAAAGTTTGATGAGACAAAAATCTCGTGGTCGAGGTTTAGTAACAAAACCTGGTTTATCAGAAACAGTTAAATTATTCAATAATCAAGAATCTAATGAAAATATTCCTGCTAATAATATGTCACTAAGTAATCATTCGTCAATTAACGAAAACAATTTTCTTATTATTGATAATCAATCAGAAACTCAATCAGATAAAGAAAATAATGTTAAAATACAATTACAAAATATTTCTGAATCTTCAACTTCTAATACAGCCAGTAACAATAGCAATACGGCTTCAATATCTAATACAATGGTTGGTGATTATAATACCGGTGACAGTAAAAAACCAGTTAAAGTTAAATCTCGATGGCGACGATCAAGTGAATTGGAGATGGGAAATTCAATATCAAATCGTCTGTCTTTTGGAGATATCGTTACATCTGGTTCCGAGTTTTCATCTCTTTCGTCAGTGAATATAAATGAATCATTTAACAATGCTCACTTTGTATCTAAAAATAGTGATTCTATTCCTCTATTAAAGTGTAAAGAAGAAGATTTAGTAGCTGAAGAAACATCAGTATCTACATCATTCAGAAATTCTACTAATGATTTGAATTCATTCATTTTTTCGGAAACATCTAATATTGATAAAGCAATGTCATCTATGGTTATTGACCAAAAATCAGAAAAACAGTTAGAAGAGAAAAGAAAAAAATATGACAAAAAAACGAATACTGAAATTATTCATAATAATGATGATAATGACAAATTTATTGGAAATGGTTGTGATAATGTAGAAAAAAATCAAGAAGAACAAGTACAAAATAATTCGAAAAATTTAGAAATGGTACTTAATGATGAAGATGAGAGAGAATTAAGAGAACGATTGAGTCAATTCGAATATCTAAAAGAAAATCTTTATTTAACCGAACGATATACCAATAAAGAAACTAAACGAATGATTTGTGATTGTTTTCTAACTGAGGAAGAAATAGAACGTGGAGAGTTAGGGTGTGGAGAAGATTGTTTAAATCGATTACTTATGATTGAATGTGGATCGAGATGTACTATCAATGATAGATGTACGAACAAAAGATTTCAAAATTGTGCCTATGCAAAGTGTCAAGTATTTAAAACTAAAAAAAAAGGTTTTGGATTGCGTGCTACTGCAGATTTACCAGCTGGAGAATTTATCATGGAGTATGTGGGTGAAGTTGTTAATACAAGAGATTTTCGAAAAAGAGCCAAGGAGTATTCAAAAGATAAAAATAGGCATTATTATTTTATGGCACTAAAATCCGATCAGATTATAGATGCAACAATGAAAGGGAATATATCACGATTTATTAATCATAGCTGTGATCCAAATGCAGAAACACAAAAATGGACTGTCAATGGTGAACTTCGAATTGGTTTTTTCAATCGACGTTTCATTGCAGCTGGTGAAGAAATTACATTTGATTATCATTTTCAGAGATATGGTAAGGAGGCACAAAAATGTTATTGTGAATCGACAAATTGTCGTGGTTGGATAGGAGATACTCCAGAAGAAGAAAAAGAAAAAACTGAAAAAAAAGAGAAAAGAGTTGGTAACAGTTGTACTAGTGGAGGTGTATCAACTACTATTGTAACTACTGGTAACAGTTCAAGTAGCAATGATAAAACTGAACGAGAACGTGACACTACTGTTTGTACAAAGAAAAAACGTAATGAAGCAAAAGCAAAGGTATATTTTGAAGATGAAGATCTCGAAGAGGAAATTGAAAAATTATGTACTAGTGGACTTAAAAATCGTAATCACACTTTAACTTTAAGTCGATTGATGGTACGTTGCCGAGAAATGGAACATAGAACTCGTCTTTTACGTCTCATTCAAAATGGTGAACAACCTTGTCGACGACTTTTTCTTGATTATCATGGTCTTAGATTAATTTGGAGTTACATGATGGACATTGCAAATATTGATAATGAAAAGGCGCAATCGTTTAAACTTGAACTACTTAAAGCACTTAATACATTACCCATTCCAAATAAAACAATGTTGATGGATAGTAAAGTTTATAATGTTGTTGAAAAGTGGTCCAAATCATGTTTATTACATGATAATCCGAATAAAGTTTGTGAAACACAGCCCGAAGAAGATGTTAATACTGTCAAAACTATTAAAAAAGAAAATGAATCGACTGTTTCAACACCAAAAATTAGTGAAGAAGTTGAAAGCAACTGCGATAGTAATGATAATACTAGTATTTCATGTGCAGATGTTGATTTCAATCGTATTTCAGAACAAAAAAAAAGTCAAGAAACGACTAATGATAATTCTGATTCAGTAAATATTGAATTAAATATCCAAGAGTTGGCATCTAACCTTCTAAATAATTGGTCTAATCTAAAAGAAGTTTTTAGGATACCAAAAAAAGAACGTATTGAACAAATGAAAGAACATGAAAGGGAAGCAGATGATGGTTATAGAAATGAAGATAATGGAAATAAAGAAGAATTAAAAAGAGAAAGTTGCTTATCGTCTATGTCGTCTTATGAAAAGCATCGATCTGATAGATATCATTATGGGAGTAAGAAAGAAGAGTCAGAACGTAATCGAGAACGATGTAGTGGTGATCATCATCACCACCATCATCATCATCATAGTCACAATCATACACATAATCATCATCATCATCATCACCATCGAAGTGAAAGATTAGATAAACGGAAAAATCGAGATAGTCCTGATCTTTGTTCAGATCAAACATCTTATAAATTTAAAGAAAAACGCACAACAAATGATGAAAGAACAAATCTAGTTCCAGTACCTCGATTGACTAAGTTTGAACGAAGACAATTGTTTGCTCTTAAAGTTGCAAAAGAAGAAGAAGAAGAAAGAATTCGAAAACAACAACAAGAGTTATGGCAACAGCATGAAGCAAGATGTCTTGCACTTAGCATGAATCCTCATACAACTGCCGCTGTTGATCCTCAAACTGGTTATCCATTATTCTTTAATGCTATGTTAGGTCAATGGCAATCATATCCCATTCAAGAAGATATGTGCGATATATATCATAATGGATCAACACCAATGACAAATGATCAGCAAATTCAACCAACCCTTCAACCAGTTGAAATAGTACCATCTGTTATTCCTCAATACACATCAGCAGTAACATACACTCCATTACAAACTCTTAATCATCAACCCACCGAGCAGCCATTTGTTGATTCTAATGCACATTTTCAAGGAAATATCATACCTACTCATACCACCGAACCTATTTTGATGCCTATTATCAAAGAAGATGGACAGTTATGTTTAGAAGATTCCATGGAACGGCAACAATTTAAAGAAAAAGAAGAAACAGAAAATGATGATGATGATGAAAATGGAGACAGAAAAGACAAACGAAAATATAAGAGAGGGAAAGAAATGAATAATGGGAAGATAGATGAAGAAGAGTCTTATTTTATTCCATCATGGAGAAACATGGAAGTAGAAGTAAAAAAGAAAATAGAATTTATGGGAGATAAAAATAATAAACAAAAATATTTTGAACAACTAAAAATACAAGAGAAAACAGAAAATGGTAGAAATGAGCAAATAGAAGACATAGGAATGTATGAAGTAAGGCAGCCAGAATTGTCTCCTTTTCCATCTCAAATAAATTCACAAGAATGCATAAAAGAGACGAATATTGGAGTTGAAGATTCAATTGAACAACAATCAGAAATGCCAATGTTGGATCTTCCTCCTAAATGGAAGTGTGCTAAAGATTCACGTGGACGCTTTTATTATTATCACATAAAAGATAGGATTTCACAATGGTTACCGCCACCTCCAATACATATTGACATCCAACATGATTCTTCATCGAGTTCTGAAGAATCGAGTGATGATGAAGGATCTTTAAGTTCATCTGATGCTGAAGACATCCTTGAAGATCCTGATTTTGAACAAATAGAGGTAGATGGTGATAGTACAAAAGATGATAAAGACTTTTTAAAGAGAAGTACAGAGAAAATGAAAATATCTACAAAACTGAGTTCAAGGGTGGATCCTTTAAATTTAAATAATACTGTAGAGATGAAAAGGAAACGAGATAAACTTGTTCAAGAGAGAATTATTAGTGTAAGTTATGAACTCATAAAAATATTATCATATTAAATACAAGTAAAATGTATTGTAATAAAAATACAATTGCATTTTATTTGTCATAAATAAATGAATAATAGTAATTATATATAAATATTTTTTGTTATTTTCAGCCAAGAAGAGAATCAGATCAAGTAGACTATAAAAAGTACAAAGATACAAAAGAAAAACTACGAAAACGTAAAGAACGAGTAAAGCTAAAAGAACAAATAGATAAATTGAAAAAACATCGACGAGTAAATAAGACTAAATCTCATGCTAAACATACTGCTATTAAACTTCAAGCAATTGCACAATCTAATGAACTTACAGCTGAAAGAAAAATTAAAGATACATTCAGAATAAACATGGCCAATGTTATCGTTAAGTTTTTAAATCCTTACAGGCAAAATGATTGTAAATTAGGACGGATTACTAATACTGAAGATTTTAAATATTTAGCCAGAAAGGTATTGATAAATTTTTTAAAATTAATTCATCTTTTCGGCTTATTATCATTTCTACATAGCAATATAATATTTTTAATTTACAGTTAACTCATTTTGTATTGGCGAAAGAATTGAAACATTGCAAGAGCATTGATGAACTACATTGCAATGATAATGTCAAACACAAGGCAAAAGATTTTGTACGTAAGTATATGAATAAGTTTGGACCAGTATATCAAAGACTTTCTGATGAAGATTGAATGTTTATAGTTGATTTTTTAATGCTTTTATTATTTCCATATTGAAAAAATAATTCTATCAAATTAAAAATAATGTGTACTATTAATAAAGCATTTTTACCAATGCCATTAAATTAAGATATTCTTTGAATATGAACATGATTGATTATATAATTATATTTTTATTTAAATGAAATTAACGTTAATATTAATATGTAAGTTTAAAATTCTGTAAATGTGATTCACTATCCGTTATATAGAAAAAATAAACATGAATGATTACTGTAAACATTTTAAATATTAAATATTAGATGAAATATTGTAGTCAATATTCTACACTATATAAGTGATGAGAATTTAGATTTATTATATTATTTGGTAATATTGTAAATACAGCAGAATAATATAGTCAAGTTTATATATAATTTATATCTCTAATGAAATTTGTTAAATTAATTCATTTATATTAGAGATAGTATAATCATAGATATGCGAAAAGTATTTCATAATATAATAAATTTCTACAAATAAATATTGCATAGTATGTATTACTTTACTTCTTAAGTTTTACTGTACATACGATTATTTTTATATAATTTGAATATCGTAAAAACAAAAAATTATATGTTTAATTGTAAAAAAAGTGTATAATTTTATTAAGTATAGATAAGTTAAATTGATAAACGTTGAAACGATTTATAATAAAGCATTGCTATAAAAAAATTTCTATCTAAACGAAATACCTTATTTTCAATAATGCTCATATGCAACTAAATATATAAAATTAACACTTTATAAAAAGAAAATTAGAATTAAATGTATTTTGAATGCTATAATTATTATTATTATCACACTATTAACTGCATTTAAATAAATTATATTTACCGACAAGTGTTTACATAATTGATAGTTGTGACCATACTTTATATGTACAAAGAAAATAACATGATAATTCATCATAAAACTATTATGGAAATTATTATTATACACTGAATTTAACTACAAAATACTATTTTATTTTTATCTAATTCACTACAATTATAGGTATACTAAGTTCATTTTTAAATTATTGGCCATTTCTAAAACCATCTACTTTTATTTATCACTATTATGTTGATTTTTTTTCTAAATGAGCACTTATTCATTTTATTTTAAAAAATGAATGATTATTTGGGACACTTAATTTTTGAACAGCTTAATATATGCGCCCTTTTACAATACAAATTATGCATATGTATAAGTATATATATACATTAGATTATTATATTATCACACATTATTAATGCATACACACACTCAAATAAAACCTATTTAATTATAATATCATGTTTATTTTTTTCGAAGTAGAAAAAATAAGCGTTAATGCTTATAACACGATATAACAATTATCCTGATTGCAGAGAAATATTAATAAGCTATACAAAGCTGTTCTGTTATTTGCTAAAAAAAAAGTATCATTTTAAAATTTTATCTTAAATTTCCAACTTCCTACTCATTTTACGATTTTCAATTATTTTCATCGATTTTTAATTGATGCACACTTTATCGAAATGTAGTATATTATGAACTGTAATGAAAAATAAATACTTAAAAAATATACGAAAACTCTTACTTTTGTACGTCATATGTTTTTATACAAATTATTATTGATATTGTAGTTATTATTCTATTTACTATACGACTAAGTGAATAATTTATTAACAAAAAATTAATGTAAAAATGATTTATTTTCAAACAGTTTTATTATTAATAAGAGATTTAATAATTAAATTTATTTTATTTATAATTACTTACGAAATCATGATGGTAGTACTTTTAATTTTGTTTTTGCATATGATGATACAGATAAAAAGTTTTCGCTTCAATATTTCGGAACTTATGCTCTGTCATAAATATTCCTTGCAAAAAATTTACTATTATTATTACTACTATCATTCTTATTAATATAGCTTCAAAATTTATACCTATTCAAATACTATGTTCTTATTTATTTTTATTTTTCTTGACAAAAATTTTTTTTTTTCTTTGAAAAAATAGCCATACAATTAAAAATAATAATAAGTAACTGTTTCAATTGCAAAGTTATAAATTTTATTTGTTACTATAATGAAATTATTATAATATTGGACGTTCTGGCTATTATTTGGTTGTTGTACAATAAATACATTCATAAGAATATTTAATAAAAAATTTCTCGTAAAAAATTTAAATTAAAAGCAACATACTTCAGTTATACGCCTCGATAGCCATGATATAAATTTTATAACTATCGATTTCAAAATTTATTCTATACACAACTACATTTCTTTCTGAATATTACAATATTATACGTAATTCTAATAATTATTTATATTAACAGTAATAATAATTATGATCACAACAATGATAGTAATAATAGGATTAATAATAATAACAATAATAAATTTACACTGATTTTAATATCAATAGTTTTATAAAAGCATGAATATTTGGATCGGACTGCGATATTACATACATAAATATATTTGTATTTTTTATGATAACTATAAAAAAAAAAACGATTTAATCTTGGTAATTGTTTGCTTATGTAGAGATTGATGATGATGATGATGATGATGATGATGATGAAGATGATGATGATGATGATGATAGTAGTAATGATGATAATAGTAATTATTATTTATTTATTAAATATCAAAATTTAATATTCACAAAATTTTATATTTATTACGCACAAAAATGTCAGAGTTTTTATAATTTAAAAACTTATGTGATGAAAGTTTAATTTAGATTATCAAAATCAACTATTTGTTGACCAAAAGTATTTATTATTTAATCAAAATCATTCAATTAGATTCATAAAATAGTTAAAATAATATTGCAATATAATTTTTTTATGAAATTGGATGTATATGTATATAATTAAACTTATCTCTTTTTTATTATAATTTTAGTAAAATAGGATTTAAAAACATTTAATTATTCATGACACATGTCTAAGTTTTGAGCGGTATAGTAATGAACTATCATTATTATTGTTATTATTATTTTTTTCTATTATTTGTAGTATTATTCATTAAATAAAAATGATACATCAGATCTTTATAAAAAAAGTTAAAAATAGTTGTGTCAGTAGTTATGTACTAACACTTGCGATCAACCAAGTTTTTAACGTAACAAAAATGTGTTTATTAGATTATACAGAAGCAACAATTAAGGTATAGATCGTTTTTTTTTAACATAAAAATAAAAAAAAAATATAAATCACAGTATTGTTGATCGTATGATTGATTATAATTAGTATGTATTTTTGTTAATATACGCGATAAAGATACAGACGAGCTTTGCAATTGATTAATATAATTTTAAAAAATAATAACAGATTTGGTGCAGCTTAATTAATGTATACTAAGAATAATAATAACTGGTAATTCGGGCGGGCGGAATAGTTGAATATAAAAACTTTAGAGTCATATTTCATTTGTTTATAAAAATGAATAACTTAGTGTTATATCTACCGCGAACCAGCCACTTGATCTACTACAACTGATGACTGAGCACAAGATGCTGCTGGATTATGGCTTGTTTCATATTCCATAACTTCTTGATAAATAAGTTCCTTCCACTGATCAACTGTGTGCTCCCTTTCATCGACACTATGATCATAAGGCCCTGGTGCAGGCTTAAACATAAAAATTCAAATTAATTTTTTTTCTTTCTAATGATAATAAATTTGAATTATATCTTGATTAGTATACTAACAGCATTTACTTCTCCCTCATCATACCAAACATTGATGTAATTGTGTAATAGAGCATCATCAACTGAAATGCGCCGTTCAGGATCGATGACTAGCATGCGCGAAAGTAGATCTCTGGCTTGACTTGCTGCAATATGATTTACATAACATTTTAAAAATTTTCTTTATCCATTATTATGTTTAATACTACTGTTTTACAATAAGTTAGATAATGATTAACCGTAAAATGAGTAATTAATTTTAATTATTAACGTAAACCGTTAGAATTTGATTCTATTCATAAATTGCCAAGTAGTGCATTTAATATAACAAACTAAAATACGTTTTTCCTTAAGTAAAATAGAAAGAAAATTATCTTTGTTTTATCTTTTAACAATGAATGAAACAAACGATGATAAATATTCTAAAATCTGAAAAAATAATAGCCTAATTTACATAAAATCAAATAATTATTTATTATTCTCGATTAAAGCCATATGTGGAGTCAATTTTTAGAGCATAGTACCTGTTGAGAAGGTACTTGAAAAAAATAGTATAACTATTCTAGTATCCATAAATAGTCATTATTATAAATAGTACATTGAACGCCACTATTTAACATGATCGTATTGTCAAATACTCACCTTTCAGTCTATTATGTTCAGAAGAGTCTGTAGGAAAGAGGATATCAGGAAATAATCTCTCAAAAGGATATCCAGGATATCGTGGCCTATTTTCTACATAATTTCTCACTGTAGGTTGTAACCGTTGCATGAATTCTTGTGCTGGTGTTCCAAGTTGTTCTGTGAACATTAAAATATTAATATGTTTATGAATTTTATAATGAATTTTCACGAATAAATTTAGTACAATTATTACCAATAATTTTATTCCACTGGTCTATATGATCAGTTCCAGGAAATAAAACTCCACCTCGAATCATTTCACCCATTATGCAACCAACTGACCAAATATCAACGTTTTCTTTATATCCCATGCCAAGAATGACTTCTGGTGCTCGATAGTAACGGGTTACAACATAAGGAGTCATCATAAATGTAGTTCCAGCAGTACGGGCCAGACCAAAATCAAGGATTTTGAGAGTACAATCAGATTTTACAACAATATTACTTGGTTTTAAATCCTATTTGACATGTAAAAAATAACATAAAAAAAAGTTTAATAAAAAATGAATTCATTTTAATAGCTAACTACTTCAATAAAATACTTTACTTTAATATTAGCATAAAATAGAAATGGTATATATCATATTTAACCAACTCTTGAAAAATCAACTAGATTTTATATTAAACATACTTACTCTGTGAATAATACCAGCCGAATGTAAATGTTTAATACCACACAACATTTGATAAAGAAGATAGGACATGCGTTCATGATCCAAGTCCATTTGAATAACTTGGCACAAATTAGCGTCCATTAGTTCCATTACTAAATAAACATCTTGAAATTCATCTAATGATCTTTGCGGTGTGAATGCATTTAAAAGCCCAATTATCTGTAATCATTAATTCATTATAATATTGAATCAATTTTAACATTAATATAGTATATGTGATGTTTATTATCATCACTAATAAGGATTAATTATAAACTAATACATTTTTGTGATTGACGAGTTTCATAAGTTTGAATTCTCGGTATGCTCTTTTAGCGTGTGTTACATTTTGAAAAGGCCTTGACAATTTTTTAATTGCTACATTTTGCGCTGTAATTGTATCATATGCAGCACTAAAAAATAAAATTATAATATTTTATTAGAATGAAATGTAGGTATTTTTCTTTTTATTCCACATAATACAAAATAAAATATTATGATATGTAAAATTGAACGAATAATAACAATAATGTTAAAATTACCAAACGATTCCCTGGGCGCCAGAGCCAATAGGTTTAAGATTTTGATACCGCTTAAGAATAGTAAATTTTGTATCCCCGACTTCGACCGTGTAAAACATGGCGGATAGTCGGGTTGTCATGTCAGTAGGCCCGAGGTAAGGCATGCGCCTACTAAAAATTTAGATTAAGTGTAGATCTTAATTAAAGATAAATATGCCTAATTGAAAATTTGTAATGATGAAAAACTCCTTTATACAATAATATTACGCCCTTATTCAAAAGTACGAACAATATTCTTGAACAATATTATGTGTAAATTTTCATTAAAAAGTCACTTTTATTTATTGCTGATTAGGTACTGCTTTGGCTTGATGCAATGATTTATTATTTTAACCACTAATATTTCATTATCTTAATTATTTTTATTTCTTAGTATTGATATTGATGTTTATAAGTATATCACTTAGTAAGATTATTTTAGCTTCGTATATATAATTGGTAGATACTACCATTTAATTATTAATTAGCTGTTTTTATATATTTTTTTTTGAATTCATAATATTATTTATACACCAAATAAAAGCTTTCTGAAAAAATAAAATACAATTTATTGAATAGTATTATTACATGATAGAAATTTTATAATAAATTAATGTTGGACACCATTGAACAATACATCGTTTCAATTGACAGTAGATTGAACCAAAAATACTACCTCTTCAAATATAACAGTAACAATAATTTTTAAATCAAATTTTTCTAATTAAATTAAGAACCATTTTAATAACTATCGATTTAAAAATAATACAGTAATTTAATTTATCGAATTTATAATTTAATAGAGTATTGTAAAATAGTGCCCAATAAAGTACGATTTCAAATTTTATACTCACTGTAAATAGATAATAAAAGTACGTGGAATTTTGATGTTTATGTGTCATTTCTTGATTGCTATAATTTTTCGATTACGAATCAACAAGATAATCTGTAAATAACAAGAACATTAATAAATTTTATGAAATTTAGCTATCTATTATCAATATATCCATAAATATATTTCTATAATTATGCTCGTTAAAATAAAAAATATATTATCATATAAATATTAACTCATATCGAAAAAAAAAACTTTGATTATAACTGCATTATTTTCTAATAATTTTGAATTTGAATCTAAAACAATTGATTTTTTTTCTTTAATTAAAATTAAATGAATTTCTCATAAAATTATAAATCAAAACATGTTTCAACATAAACAATTTTTTTACACAATATAATTTTTAAATATCTAATATATTATATTTACAATAAAAATGACAAAAAAATTATCAAATAATTGTTCAAAAAATAAATCAATTAAAAATAAATAAAGTCATGTAAAATCTTAATGAGTTAGACCAATAGAAGAGCCATGCATAAATTAATGTTGACACACAAAAAAATTTCAAGGTTCGAAACCTTACATCACATACAATCAGGGTAAAAACAATGATTACATTAGATACATTGATCGACAAATTTGTTCGTTAATATTTATCAGGTGTTCAAGACACAACTTATTGAACTTATTGCACAATTAAGAATCAAATGTTATAATCACAAGTCCATTTACGTTCAACTATTTATAATGTTATGATGTAAAAATATTTGAATTTTTTTCACGTACAATCAATGCCAATGGTAGTTTGCAATGCGAATAATTAAGTGGAGTTAATAGTTTTAGAAACAGGTATATAAAGGTTCATGATTTGACCAACAACATCATTGTACTCTCAACAATTCAATCAGAATCATATCTGATTTTATCACCGATCATTCAAAAAGGATCATACAAGATGAAACTTCTAGTTGTAAGTGGTTTACTTCTACTATTATTCTTGTTGAAATTATTTTTTAAACTTTACATTTATTAAACAGATAACATTTTTATAACAATAATATTAGATCAGAAAAATTGGTGTTTTGTGATTGTTTTATGGTGAAATTATCGTTAAAACTAGTAAGTAAGATGTTAAATATTAAATAGAAAAAGTAATGATTTATATTTGAATTTAATTTAGGAAATTTTCATTGTGATGGGCTTAATTGCTATCACATTGGCAAAACCAACAACTCTGGAAGCTGATGTTATCGACTCAATAAAAGATTCGGAAACTTCAATAGCTGATGAAAAGTTAGAAGCAACCCGTGAAAAAAGAGGACTAGTCATCAGTAGTGCTTATACTGTTCCAGTAGCCTACACAGCTGCCTATAGAACTCCTGTCGCATATACTTCTGCATATACCTATCCTTACACTTATTCAGCAGCTTATCCTTATTATAGTGCTGCTTACAGTGCACCTTACTATTATGTTTGATTTTAAAGATTATTTCTCCGATTATTTTTATTCAATTTAATGTCTGGTTAAAATGTCTGATGTATATTTACTTGTCCTACTTGTAATATATAATGTTTTCCCCATTCATTGTAAAAATGTATAAAAAAGACAATAATCAATAAAAATAAACTGCAATAATTAAAATTTATTTTACTATAAATATATTATAATACACTAATAAAAATTGAATAAATTTTCTTTTAATCATTTATTTCATATTTCAAAGAAATGATATTTAAAAAATTCAACGCAAGTCATTCTGACAATTTTGTTAGAATCAAGTAATAGTCAATAAATAATTTAAAATAGACTAACAAATGGTCTCTTTCAGAGCAATGGTCAATATAAAATTACTCAAATAAAAAGAAAAACAAAATAAAATGTAGGTTATTCAAATTGAAAGTAACTTTTATAATTAAAGTTAAATATTATTTGATAAGTAATGAGATGAATGAAATTTCATTAGCAATTTATAAAAAAAATGAATGGTGAACTTTTATATTCATTTAAAATAAATATTCCAATTTTTATCATGAAAAAATAGACATTAATGGTCGATAGAAATACAACTGATCGTCATAAAAGAGATATAATAAAAGTTAATCCAAGAAGTGAAAAAAGTTAAGAAGAAAAGTAAATTAATTCAATAGATAATAATGATGTATACGTCAAATAATAGTAATATAATCAAATAGTTATTTGTCTACCTCTTTATTTATATTTTCAATCATAATCGTCTTTAAAAACGTATGTTATGTATGTTTGTGGAAGATCGATATAAGGGGCTAGTGAAAGAACTGTGACACAGCATAATGGGTTATGTATCATGTAACAGAATTTATCATCATAAAGAAAAGTTCTAATTATATGAATATTAATTTAAAATAAACTATTAGGATATTTAATTATAAAAATAATGATTAATATTATTATTATAAATGCTTTTTGCTTTTAAGTATTTGTATATGTTGATAATTATCAACTGGTACGTAGGTAGTTGTCAACACGTAAGGTAACACATTGGTTCATAGTCCTCATAATTGCCTCAATAACACAAGGTCAATAAATGTCTTTTTCATAGTCAATAAATTTAGAGAAACACCAAAACAATCGACATGAAGAAAACCTTAGGGTCATACAGTTACAAGGGCAGAAATTCAACTCTTACTATGGTACTACCTAACCGATCAATACTTCTGCCACGCCTCGCATTACCAAACTGATTCACTGAATATTATCCAACATTTACTTTACACGGTATAATTTCACTGTGATTTTCGAAAAAAATTTTATACATTTTTATCAAGTATTGTTTAAATGGTCGATCAAGTCTTTTAGAAATCAACACAATAAACAAATAAGCGTGCTGTTACGTATAACTGGGTGCATTGGAAAATTGAAATCCGACTGAACTGACATTTTTTTTTTTAATTTGCAATTTTTCATCCAATTATTTTCATATAAATAATTCTTTTTGTCGATAAAGATCTTATGAAAAATATTATTATTTTATGTAGGACGATTTTTATGAATAAAATATATTTCAATAGAAGATAATATTCAAATATAAATCAAATAAAATTTTGAATAAATTTTATTAAAATTCGAGTGATGGTTTTTGTCATTTTTATCAAATTATTTATAGCTAATTGTTCAAATTATTATATGTATGTGTAAATTATATGTATTTAAAAACAACTTATCTTCTTTTTAAAATATTTGTTATTCAATTTTCAAAAGATGAATGAATAATTCGTTTATCATGATTTATGAATAAACACTACTACTGAAAAATTCAGAATAATCAACATTCTCAAAGAAATGATAGGGTGAAAATTAATACATCACTTGTAAGTTAATATTGAATATACTTATAACTAATTGTATTCTTAAAATTCTATTTATTTGAATAAATTTCAAACTATTTATAACTTAAATAAAATAATTTATGTTAAAATATAAAATATTTAATTGATTATGAACAACATAATTTCAACTTAACGTATTTGACAAATAATGTTTAAATTTACATGAATCATTTATGGACGAAATTGATATTAAATTGAGTGAATGAATGAGAACAAAATAATTCATAATTGAGAAAAATTCAAAATGGTATTATTGAAATGTTCAAGTTTTATTGGTTTCCAACGAACATGACACATGCAATTTACCTCACACAAACTATGAATTCTTAATTATTTTATTTGTTATAAAAGTAATGTTGAATTATTTTTTACCAATGTGTAGCAACTAAAATTCGTGCTTATTTCATTAATGTTAAAATTATAAGAATGACTTTTCTACAAATATATGAAATAACAAATTTAAACTTAAAAAAAATATATGTTGTATATATAAAAATAACATTATATAATTAAATTAACTCACCTGCTCGTCTTATCTCATTATCTTGATTTCATGGTTATTTCAAATTTATCGTTTTCACTTATTAAACTGATAACACTGAAAATCGCAAAAAAAGTCCTATAGTTGATGGTTAATAAGTAGAAGAAAAATAATATCTATAAATCGTTAAATTTACTCGGATATACATACATGTACGTATGAGTGTATGTTAGATACATGCACTATTTGTAAGTAAAGATCCTTTCGAATGGTAAATCACTTAATTATTAATTAATATCATGTCTATCATGAAAACATTATTGAGAAAGAAACGTTTATCACGCTACCCCAAATCTATCTCACCAGCATTCAATGACGTCACTCCTTCATCAACTGGACACAGTAATAGTAGCAGTAACACCAATAACATGGATTCCCATAGTGCGAACCATAAATCTGCACCACAATCAACTACGGTTGTACACAACCACCTATGCTAAAGTATCAAATGAAAGATAAGATTATACGTGGAAAGTTTTGCGTGAACTTTCAGATGCAATAATTTTTCATCTGTCCAGTATGTTTTGTTGTACACACTGGAACTTTTTTTATATTTATATTTTATGACGGGGTACACTCTTCTTCATTTATGTATGCACATATTTATAACTTATATGTGTGTTTTGAGCATATATGAAGTGAATCCGAATTATTTCTTAGCCAGATTTGTAGAGTGAGATCTCGAATAAAACTGATAGAGAAGTATAAATAAGGCGAAATTTAGCCTGTGCAGAAATTATAACGAAAGAGTGATAAAAATGGCACAATTTTCATTATGTTTTTCGCTATTAGAGATTGTCACGACCTCTAGAACTGTCAAAGAGTAGTTGTAGATATAGATGTAGTTGTGAAGTGACGTCAAATGAGTGAGACAGACATATATGTATGTATGTACAATCGAGTTTCCATGTAACACATGACGCACATGACCGAATTTAGTGATCGAAAATTGCCAACATTTTTATTAGGAGCCATTTTTCCGGCTAATTTACCAGTTACTTAACCGGCTATTCAATCATCAAAATGGAGGCTACCACGAAAATTTAAAAAGAAAATTGTTATCGTAATTAAAGAATTGATATCTCAATAATGAAATGTTAAAGTAAAAGTTTAAGAATGTTATTATTAAAAGAAAAGGGTTAAATGATTTAATTAATCAAGCTAATATTTATGAAACAAAGTCGGCATATTGGCAGTCATCTGCTGCTCAGATTAAATGTAATAAAAGAAAAAATTCGGAAAAGTCATGGATTACATAAAGCTTAATAATTGATAATTTTATTTCTTTACAGTGAAATGCACAAATTGGACAAAATTCACATTCTTGTTCAATCTTGGCGCCCTTGCAAATATCGACAAATGGCAGATACGTCAACGCGCATTGAAGCGTGTTGCATTCACTAAACAAGCCCATATGTACTCATTTTTCAGTTTGATTATAATGTTACTTAATAATTTAATCATAAAAAAAAACTCTGATAAAGAATATGCATGTATATTATAAAATGTGAATATGAAAATTATGTAATTACTTTATAAATGTAAATTTCATTATTACCATGTTACTATTGTGTATAATCTTTATTGATGAGAATTAAATGTTAAACAATTAATTTTTTTAAAACGATAGGAAAAAAGGTTATGTTTTTATCACATAAACATTATCGAAGAAAATGATAATTAGAAATTTCCCGATTCAATGGATTATGGGAATTATAACTTTTGTTATTATCTTATATCTAAAAATAAAAATGGATAATCTTAAGGATCAAAATAAAATACTATGTAAGTATTTGTTATATCAAAGTCTTTTTTTCATTACATATTACTCAATGAATTAAGTATAAAATAACATGCATATAAGAAGCAATTAAATTTTATTTCAGTTGATACGCTTACAAGGATTCAAAATCAAATAAAGTACGCTAAATTAGACTACTCATCTTCATCCACAAATGCACAAAATCATCAATTAAAACCACCATATTATGATGATATTTTAATGATATATAATAGAGTTCCAAAAACTGGTTCTACAAGTTTTGTAGGGGTTGTTTACGAATTGTGCAAGCAAAATAAATTTCATGCATTACACATTAATGTATCGAATAATATGCATACTTTGACGCTTTCCAATCAAGTAAGATGAATATATGAAGATTCATTTTAGTTGTAAACACTTGAATATTTATTTGAAATTTGAAATTTCTTTTCAGATTCAATTTGTAAATAATATTACACAGTGGGATGGCATGAAACCGGCTTTCTATCACGGTCATATGGCATTCATAAATTTTCATAAGTATGTAAATAATATTAATATTAGGTACTTATGTTCAAAGATACATATATTTTTTTCAACTTTAAAACTGTTTAAAAATTGCAGGTTTGGCGTTAAACAAATACCTCTATACATAAATTTACTAAGAAAACCCCTCGATAGATTTGTTTCATATTATTATTTTCTTCGTTATGGAGATAATTTTAGACCACATTTGATACGAAAAAAACATGGTGATACAAAAACGTTTGACGAATGTGTTAAAAATGATCAAGCTGATTGTGATCCTAATAATATGTGGTTACAAATTCCATTTTTATGTGGCCATGATCCAGATTGCTGGTAATAATTACTTGAATACGCAAGAATTACTTTTTATTATTATATTTCTGGAGCTTTTTCTGAAGATTTTATATTCATAATATTTTTAAGGCAAGTTGGAAATAAATGGGCTTTAGAAGAAGCTAAAAGGAATTTAGCCAATAATTATCTTTTAGTTGGAGTCACGGAAGAATTAGATGAATTTATACAAATTTTACAGATTATTTTTCCACGCTTTTTTCGAGGTGCTTATGACTATTTTGTACACAGTAAGTGATAATTATGCAATTTATATATATGTGCCTATTTGTTCGCATAAAGAAGTTGTTTTAAAATAAATTCTAATGTAATTTCAGGTAATAAGTCGCATCTACGACAAACAACTCAAAAAATAAATCCTCTTCCAGAAACAATAAGGAAAATTCACAATTCTACTGTTTGGCAAATGGAGAATGAACTTTATAACTATGCGCTAGCTCATTTTCATAATGTAAAAAAAAGATTATTTAAAGCTAATCCTCAAGATTTATATCAGCATTTTATGTACGAAAAAATTCGACCAAAATAACAAATTTTTTAAAAATGTTTACTTCAAAAGTTATAACATAAATTTAATAAAAAAATTATTACTATAATTAATCATGTTTATTCTATTTTGAATGAAAAAAGATATTTTATTTTAACTTTCAATTGGAATTTCTGCTGATCGAAGAGCAAACATATAAACAGGATATAAACCTCGTGGAAGATGAAGTTGTTTTTGTTCTTTTATACAAATTAAACCAGCAGATTTAAATATAGACTTGATATTTTCATAAGATCGGGTAACAGATGAATCTTTACTATCTACTTCAATTGTATCACTTGTTGTAATGTTTTCTTTAACAATTAAGATACCATTATCTGATAGAGCATTTCTAGAACAATTCAATGGAAACATAATTAAAATTTTGTGATATAAAAAAAAATAAGTATAGTAACTGTATGCTGTAGTAGTAAAAACCACCTACATGCATTTAATGAAAAATTGAATTAAGTCGTTATCTTCAAGATGTCCTAAAACCCATTGACACCAAATAATATCATATTTTTTTGAAACTGGATTAAAATCTTGTAAACCCTGCGGATAATACTGTCCAATTCTCGTTGAATAATCACTTAATAAATTTTTTGCAGTGTCTAAAAATTTACTGTTTTGTTCAACGAGATCTACATATTTGAAATGTTTAATAAGTAATTCTTTCGTTATTCGTCCTATTCCACTGCCACAATCAAGTGCATATGTTTTAGCTGGTGGATTTTTTATCTGAAAAGCATAAACACTTTAATTATAAAGAAATAATTTTTTTTTGTAAATATAATAGACGATCAAGTTTATTTACAGGGATAAAAAATTCAAGAAAATTATAAAATTACTTTAAAAAGAGACTTCAAAAATTTTTGAGAACCATTGATGTCTGTATTAGAAATAAATCCAAAACCACCTAGCATTCCATCTAATGTTGCTGGAATTTCATTCCAATATTTGATAGCATTGTTATAAAATTCCTTTGAATTGTTTGTACTCTCCGATTCGTTTGATATATCGTCATCCATCTTGATGATAATTAATCATTGATCCGTTTCGTAAATATAAATGTATAAATGAATATGTATATGTTTAATTATCAAAAAAAATTTTAAAACAATATTTATTTGAGATAAGTTTTAACCAATTTTCCAGCAAGATTATGTAAATACGAAGTGAAATTCTAACTAAAATGAATAAAATTTGTGTTCATGAAAAGTTAGAATAATAAATTATAAGAATAGCGAAGGGGACATGTTACTTTTCTAGTTACATGTTATAAAAACCGTGTAAAAACTGCAATTAGATTCTATTGTTGTCAACGATATGTCAAGGGAGTACAAATGTTAATCTGAGATCGATCTTAAGACAGTAAATAATCGATTGACTAAAATCGATCTTCAAGAGTCGATAAATCGAATTTCAGATTAAAAATCGAATAGACATTTAGTTCCATACACAACCACAAAAGGCACGACATATATTTGAATAAAGAAGAGAGACAAGTATAGAAGTCCAATGCTGTGTTAAAAATCCGGACGAAGTTTCGGTCAACATATCGGTATTTTGAGTCAACATGTCAGTAATCTCAAGGCACAACATAAAAGTTTCAGTGAACCCATCGAGCGATGGCGCTGCAACGGTGTATTTTAGCCACGCTCCGTAATCTAGGAGAGAAAAGAGATAAGATTTGTGTTCTCTTTTACTCTCATAAGAGAATCCTAAGCCAGTATTTTCTCAAGCACCAATTTTTAAATGGGAAATGTCCAGCGTTGAAAGGTTTTTCTATGCTTCGCTGCAGCATAGCTTTGTTTTTCGATCATAACTGACGATCTATAAGAGGTACATGGACTGCAAGCATATCAATAGATTCCTGAGAGCAAGAGCTTTCCATTAATGTAGTCAAAAGAAGGATCCAACCATAATTTATGCTAAAATTATAGCCATTTCCGGTTCCACCTCCATTTCCAGTTCTAAGGTCGTTGGAATAAATTGTTATTTACGATCGAATTTCAGAGAACCGGAACGTACAGGATAACCTCTAATCTTCAAAGTTAGAAAATTTCCTTTTCTAACCTCAAAAAATGCAAAAAACCGTATTTATGCTTGGATTACAAAATTGAGGGTGTCATTGGAAAGAGGGGGACAAGACGGTCTCAAAACACTGGTTATCGACTGGAATTGGTCAGTAAAATCAAGAGATATTCCTGAAAATCTGTAAAACATAAAAATATGCATAGCTTCTATGCTAATGATGCTACGACCTTGATCGAGGGCTCATATGAAAGATCTGGACCTGAGTAAAAAATTGGATCCCCCCTATAGGATATCCCCGTCAAAAATGCCGTATCTCGCTTAGTTTTCGAGTTATGAGCGTTTAAAGGTTTTTCTATGCTCCGCTGCAGCATAGCTTTGTTTTTCGATCATAACTGACGATCTATAAGAGGTACATGGGCTACAAGCATATCAATAGATTCCTGAGAGCAAGAGCTTTCCATTAATGTAGTCAAAAGAAGGATCCAACCATAATTTATGCTAAAATTATAGCCATTTCCAATTCCACCTCCATTTCCAGTTCTAAGGTCGTTGGAATAAATTGTTATTTACGATCGAATTTCAGAGCACCGGAACGTACAGAATAACCTCTAATCTTCAAAGTTAGAAAATTTCCTTTTCTAACCTCAAAAAATGCAAAAAACCGTATTTATGCTTGGATTACAAAATTGAGGGTGTCATTGGAAAGGGGGGGACAAGACGGTCTCAAAACACTGGTTATCGACTGGAATTGGTCAGTAAAATCAAGAGATATTCCTGAAAATGTGTAAAACATAAAAATATGCATAACTTCTATGCTAATGATGCTACGACCTTGATCGAGGGCTCATATGAAAGATCTGGACCTGAGTAAAAAATTGGATCCCCCCTATAGGATATCCCCGTCAAAAATGCCGTATCTCGCTTAGTTTTCGAGTTATGAGCGTTTAAAGGTTTTTCTATGCTCCGCTGCAGCATAGCTTTGTTTTTCGATCATAACTGACGATCTATAAGAGGTACATGGGCTACAAGCATATCAATAGATTCCTGAGAGCAAGAGCTTTCCATTAATGTAGTCAAAAGAAGGATCCAACCATAATTTATGCTAAAATTATAGCCATTTCCAATTCCACCTCCATTTCCAGTTCTAAGGTCGTTGGAATAAATTGTTATTTACGATCGAATTTCAGAGCACCGGAACGTACAGAATAACCTCTAATCTTCAAAGTTAGAAAATTTCCTTTTCTAACCTCAAAAAATGCAAAAAACCGTATTTATGCTTGGATTACAAAACTTGAGGGTGTCATTGGAAAGGGGGGGACAAGACGGTCTCAAAACACTGGTTATCGACTGGAATAGGTCAGTAAAATCAAGAGATATTCCTGTAAATGTGTAAAACATAAAAATATGCATAACTTCTATGCTAATGATGCTACGACCTTGATCGAGGGCTCATATGAAAGATCTGGACCTGAGTAAAAAATTGGATCCCCCCTATAGGATATCCCCGTCAAAAATGCCGTATCTCGCTTAGTTTTCGAGTTATGAGCGTTTAAAGGTTTTTCTATGCTCCGCTGCAGCATAGCTTTGTTTTTCGATCATAACTGACGATCTATAAGAGGTACATGGGCTACAAGCATATCAATAGATTCCTGAGAGCAAGAGCTTTCCATTAATGTAGTCAAAAAAAGGATCCAACCATAATTTATGCTAAAATTATAGCCATTTCCAATTCCACCTCCATTTCCAGTTCTAAGGTCGTTGGAATAAATTGTTATTTACGATCGAATTTCAGAGCACCGGAACGTACAGAATAACCTCTAATCTTCAAAGTTAGAAAATTTCCTTTTCTAACCTCAAAAAATGCAAAAAACCGTATTTATGCTTGGGTCATAAAACTTAGTATGTCATTGGAAAGGGGGGGACAAGACGGTCTCAAAACACTGGTTATCGACTGGAATTGGTCAGTAAAATCAAGAGATATTCCTGAAAATGTGTAAAACATAAAAATATGCATAACTTCTATGCTAATGATGCTACGACCTTGATCGAGGGCTCATATGAAAGATCTGGACCTGAGTAAAAAATTGGATCCCCCCTATAGGATATCCCCGTCAAAAATGCCGTATCTCGCTTAGTTTTCGAGTTATGAGCGTTTAAAGGTTTTTCTATGCTCCGCTGCAGCATAGCTTTGTTTTTCGATCATAACTGACGATCTATAAGAGGTACATGGGCTACAAGCATATCAATAGATTCCTGAGAGCAAGAGCTTTCCATTAATGTAGTCAAAAGAAGGATCCAACCATAATTTATGCTAAAATTATAGCCATTTCCAATTCCACCTCCATTTCCAGTTCTAAGGTCGTTGGAATAAATTGTTATTTACGATCGAATTTCAGAGCACCGGAACGTACAGAATAACCTCTAATCTTCAAAGTTAGAAAATTTCCTTTTCTAACCTCAAAAAATGCAAAAAACCGTATTTATGCTTGGGTCATAAAACTTAGTATGTCATTGGAAAGGGGGGGACAAGACGGTCTCAAAACACTGGTTATCGACTGGAATTGGTCAGTAAAATCAAGAGATATTCCTGAAAATGTGTAAAACATAAAAATATGCATAACTTCTATGCTAATGATGCTACGGGGTTGGTCGAGGGCTTATATGAAAGATCAGGCTATTTCCAGTCCTAAGGTCGTTGAAATTAATTTCTTTCCGTCATGAGCTCTTTTTGTTTTTTCCATAATAATAAGGGAGTTTAGATAGAATCAATCGGATCATTTTATCGTCGATTTGTGCTCATATCTTTCAAAACACTTATTGTACATAAGTTTGACAAGAGAATTTTTATTTAGTTTTTGTTACAGAATATAGGGAAATACATACTGTTTTTCTCTTTCAGCAACTGCGGTAAGATCTCATATATATATGTATATATATATATATATATATATATATCATAATCTATCGATAATGATCTAATAGACTATTTAAAACTGCTGAGCATACAGAGGTTGACTGGCTGCAAGATATAAAAATTCAGCATCTCAAAAAATTATATTATTAAAAAAGAAACCGTTCACACGAGAATATTCATAAACTATTTGGAAAAAATAAATTACTTATTATTATTAAGGAATTATTTGTACAATTTTTTGTTTTTGATTATATATCTTTTTTTACTGTTAAAATTTCTATATTTTTTTAAACAGTGCCATAAATATCTCTTTAGTAACATTGATAAATATTGTATACATAGGAAATCAACTTATTTAAAAAATATTTTTCAAAGTTCAGTAGTAGCGACTCCCCAATATTGTTGCATTCTCGAAGAATCTTGTTCAAGTGAATCTAAACCTGCCCGTTCCTGAATGACGGCAAAGTTATACTCTAAATTATATGGCATAAGCCTTTGTAAGCTTCCAAAATATGCTGCATTCGGTCCTCCGTTCATGAAACTTCTTCCACTGCCGAATCTCATAACAGAAGCTCGAGGAAGTGGTGGGTGAAATGATCGAGCGCTACCGAACCGTTTGGAGAGAAATGGAATATTAGCTAAATGGGGTGTTGATCTAGATTGACCTCTTTTTAATGGAAGCCTCGTTAATGTATCTAATTCTTTATTAAATAGCATGTGAGTATTTTGCTCTAGCATATATTCCCAACATCTGAATTGTTCTTCGTTCATTGGACCTGAATTTTCCGGATGCGCGTTGTCTTTTTGAACGAAATTATTATTTTTTATCACATTTGTACGGTTTTTTGATGCCGCTCGGGATGCTGTGTTTCCAATCCAAGGTTTGCCGATAGATTGCTTTGATTTAAAAGTACTATCAGTAGTTTGATCCGATTGTCCACTTGGAGAACTTCTATCATCTCTGAATGGTGGACTAGAATTTCCCACGACACCTGAGTTTTTAAAGAATCTATTTGGCCGAGGTCTTGAGTATTCTGGTCTATTCATAATATTTTTCAATATTCCATTTAAATATGATTCACCATTATTTGCATGACAACAACAGTAAGTTAAAGATTTATGGTGAGAAGATGGTGCGCAACAAAGGCAAGAACAATCATTATCCAATTGATTTCTATTTTTACTTACAACGTGTCGAAGTTCTTTCATTAATTGATCTAAATCGCCTGAATGAAAATTGGTAAATCGTATAACGATTACACTTATATTGTCTTCAACGCCATATGCTTGAGCTAAATCTTGTAGTCTTTTCGCGGCTAAAACTGAATTAGCTTCTGCTCTAACTTCTCTAACAGCTTCTTGAATAGTCATTACTTCCCATAATTTTTTGCTGGCAATAATTACAAATTCATCATCTTCTTCTAAAATGATGTCTTCAGTTACTGGATCCAACATGACGTAAGGAAACAACATATTTTCCCCCATTTGAAGGTTTGGAGATGGTTTTTTAAATGGAGCCAAAACTAACGGACCAGCTGCTCGACATAAAACGGCTTTCGTTTCACCTGATGAGGCCACCTTCAAGCAATATTTCTTTTTCACGCGTGGATGACTTTGAGATGAATTCAATTTGACAATGTGAATTAAAGTTGAATCAACACCATACTTTTGACCTCTCTCTTTCAATTCTTGATGTGCTGATAATAGTGTATATTTAAGATAATCCTTACTCGTTTCTTTAATTGTTTTTTCCTCTAGAACAAGTCTTGGAATTATTTCTTGAAGACAATTTGGTGCTTCTTGATTTGTACAGCCATCGAAAATTCCAAAAAGGCCCTCTGTGTTACAAAATGACGGCAATCGTACTTGAGAGATGAATAATCTAAAATCATCACATTTGACATCAAAGAAATGAACAGGGTAATAAGTGGTAGGAATAAGTGCTATTATAAATCAATTCATTTACTTTTCTCTTGTTCCTGCTGTTTCTGAAAACCCAAGCTTCCAAGGTTGACCTGCTTTTTTCTTTTCATCAATAATTTCTTGTTGAAATGGATGAAAGGGTATACTAGATCGGTTTTGACCCGAAACATCAATAAGGGAAACAGGTCTTTGCGATCGGTATGCTTGAAACTGTCTAGGGTCCACATGAAGTTTTGAATTACACGATATGTCTAAGAACTGTAATTGTGGTGGTACCAAGGTCGCTAGGTTTACTTGATTGAGTTGATTGTGGGCTAAGTCAACTACCTACAATAGAATAGAGATACAAAGTTCAATTTTTGTACATTCATCTTTTACATTTATTGGAAATTCAATTTCTAGTTTAATAATTCAGTAATAATACTTTTTTAACGTGTAATGAAGCATAATAAATATAATTTTCAAAAGGATAGTGATAAAATCTTTTTATTACATATTGTACTATTTATTTAATTATGAGATCAATAAATCGAATTTCGCATAAAGGCTTGTTAGGTCACGATTATATTAGTCTTTCGTTGGACGATAATAATCGAATGTAATCATGCTGCAATCATTGCATTTACACACATCAAAATTCGGTAATTTTACGATGGTATGAAGTTCTTCCTAATATTATAAATGTGATAAAATCAAATTAGCTCAAAGATCAATAAATGCGTCTTAATAAGGACAATATGTAATTAAGTTTTTGAAAAATTTTGCTAACAATTTTTCTTCAAAAGTAAAATTAGCTAGTTTCCTTTTTTTTCTTTATGTAGTGAAAGTAATATTTTTTTCAATAAACCAAATACGTTGTGATTCTTCTTTCATAGTTTTTTAACTTGACTTTTATTTAGATGATTTTTTATACATTCTAATTGAAGATTAGTTTTGTTTGATGCTAATCACTGGTTGTACTTGCTATTCTACCGAGCAAAGATATTTACTTCAATGAAGAAAAAATGGTTACCAAATTGGATTTTTGAAGAGAAACTTTTGGTTGAGTTCCTAATGCGGAATATAATGGTGAATTTCAACAATTTTTTTCACACTTGGTGGTATATACAACCTTTTTATTTAAAAAAAAAAATAGATTTCTAGAGAATATCAAAGTTTATCTCAAATTTCGAATTAATTACACTTCTTTTATCACATCTCTCTAGAAAGTTGAAAACTCTTTCATTTAACTTATCCAAACCTTATCAAAACTCCATACAATTCTATCTATTTGAATCTGAATGTTCAAACAAGGATTGTTTTTGCGACGATTTTTTTTATATCTGTACCAGCTTCGTCAATTTCTTCGAAAATCTCATTCTCTTCTCCAAGATGTGTTCCATTAAATCAGTCATTTTATTATATAGTATTCATAACTTTTATATTTCTATTGATTTAGCATCATAAATGATTTTCTTACCACATATTATTGGTACCAAATATCAGTCAATCTATCCAACATAAATGAGTAATTTTTAAGTAGATCTTTATCTATGTTTTCTTATGGAGGTTTAATTATTGTGGCATTATGGAGTCTAGCAATATTTGTTGTCATCAAAGCCATTATAATAAATATTATAATGAGTAGCCAGTTGTCTTTCAACTATTTTAATCATAATATTATTATTTATTCAATGAATATTTAATTTCAATGTAACGAGACACACACAATCTTGGATCGAAAGCAATCGGGCGACAGCAAAAATAAGGACAACTTTCTATGAATTTGACCCAATTAGACACTTTTCAGTGACTCCGCTTACAGTAGCTTGCCGGAATAAGTCAAATTTATTTTCACTTTTGTGAGTCACTAGATTCTTTCACGGCGAGGCGCTTGAAATTATTGAATTATTGATTAATAATAATTACAGAATTACTACAGTGGAAGAGTTATTAATTATTTTTCTTGAGTGTTTGGAAGAGATTGCGCATTTTTTGTTCAATTGTGAATTTTTTTTTTAAATAAATCAGTTTTCCCGTCTCTTCTCGTTTTAGAGTGGCTTTCTCATCATATCCATTCAGATATTTTTCTTTTTTAATGACTCATCATATTAAAGAATGTGAATTTTTAATTAATAACTGTATGCAGATTAAAAGTGTAGTTTTAACAAATCTGCATGATTACATTAGATTACTATCGGAGAATGAAACATCTAGTTTTATAAATATTGTTTAACGATCAAACATAAATACATAGTTATATTTAGAATAATGATTGATAAAATACATTGAAATTTCTTATGAATTGGACCGTAATTATATTAGTAAAATTATATTTACAAATTAAAATTGTATTAGTTTGTTGTAAAATTTTCAAACAAAATAAACTATGATCGTTAAACTTTTTTTTGTTCAGTTACTTTAGATCTAAAATTGTGAAAAAATCTTACCATTAATGAAGTTGTTTTATTAAATGTAGGACAGGTTAAAAGTCGATTAGAATGGACTCGTAAAACCCGTAGATGTTGTAAGCTTGAGATATTATCTGGCAGATATTGAAGTCTATTTCCTGATAGAACTAATTCTTCTAAGTCACTCCATGCAGCAATGCAACTAAAATATAAATATTCTGTTGCATATTTTCAATTCTTAAGACGATTTATATCTACTGCTGTCAATAAAATTCGTTACCAGATCTATCATTTCGTATAAATTGAAATTTACCTTTCTGGAAGTGTGTCCAAAACATTATATGCAAGATGCAGTATACGGAGAGCAGGAAACTTAGCAAGTGCATCTAATGCTGTATCAGTGAGACAGTTGGCAGTCAAGTATAACTTCTCTAAATTGTGAGTATTCGATCGGCTTTTGGAATGTTGATCATTGTATACAAGTTCAGAAAGACGATTGTTCGATAGGTTCAAAACTTTTATTCTAAAAAAATGAGCTCTTATTTATGTTATCTCTAAAGTAATAAAATTATTGAAGAGTGTACTGAGTGGGATTTATCAGAATCATAAATGTAAGATAAATAAGTTTAGCTTAAATATTGTCTTACAATAAAATTTATCTAAGATTTAATTATTAAATATTTTAATTGTTAAATTATTCATTATTTTTCTTTATAAATTATTTTTTACCTTTCAGTGTACTGAAAAAATGTAGTTGGTAATGTTTTTAGTGCATTATCTTGAAGAGTAAGATGAACAATATTAAGTGGCTTCTTTGGTGAAGGTAGAGATTGTAGTCTATTATGAGATAAATCTAAAACTTCTAATGATGATGGTTGAGATAATAATTTATCAGGAAGAAAAGTGAGATCGTTGTGAGATGCAAATAGGGTATGCAAGTTTGGTAAATCAGATATCCATTCTGGTAATCCATCTAAAGAATTGCTGAAAATATTTAAAATGTTTAGAATAATGGTTTGTTTTGTGTTTTAAATTATAAATATTTTTTCACATTATTACACGAACTACTTACTATGACATGTCAAGGTGCTCTAAATAAATAGGTGTTGGTTCAATAATCAATTTTTTTAATTCTAGAAAAAAAAAAATTATTTTTTTTAGAAAAATATTAAATAATACAGAAAATTAAAATGATAAAACTCACTGTTATGTCCGGCAATAAGTGAAATAAGATTTTTTCCACACAAAATTAATTCGGTTAGAGAATTTCGTGCACATCGTGCACTTTGTAATTCACTTAAGGCGCTAATATCCAATTTTTCAATATTATTTTCACTTACATCTAAGTGAGTCAAATTCTGTAAATAAATGGTTACACATATATAATTGAAAGTGCTTTCTTATTAAATGAAAATTGTACAATTTATTACAATTCAATTTTACTTACACCATAATTTCCTAATATGATATTTCCTTTCAACTGATTATTTCTTAAGTTAACTCTTTGTAAATGAGCATGATTATTTTTTTCATCCTTGATCTTATTTGACTCATTCTTTGTCAGCATATCCTGCAAAAACACATAATTGAAATGGAAGCAATTACTTGCCATTGAAATGATAAAAAAAATTATGACTTTTAAATAAAATCAATAAGATAATCGACATAGTCAAAGACTTCAATTCAATTAGAGATCATCAGTATAATTTAGTATGAATTTAATTTATACAAGATCATATAATAGAAATAAACGTGATTGATTGAGTGATGAAGTTATTAATAAGTGAGATAATAAGAGACAGTAATTGAGACAATATAGCCTTGAGTACTTTGAACACAACATTAAGACGTATATTTCTTCGCAATTATTAATAATAACAGCGACATATAATTATTTATATTATTAAATTGAATAATAATCGTTGAACTAAATCAATGATAAAAATTTTAATCATTCTTTTGAGCAGACGATAAAATTTATTTGATTATAGATAATGACAATGTCTGATGGGATTTACAAGTATTTTTCCTTTTTAAAGGGTAAATATTTGACTTTTAGTAAGTACTGTATGTTGTAAGTATTTAACTTTATATATATATGTATCGTGATTTTATTGTTGAACCTCTACGACAAACATAGGCTACGTTTTTAAGTCAAAGTCCCTTTGAAGATTAAGAGTAATCATGCAATAAGATCCACAATAAAAATTATCTTAAATAACCCAGGTACTCAAGTACCTGTCATAAGGACTTGGAGTAGTCCCGATAGTTTTTTCCATGTTTCCGCGTCCTACATATACTTATCTACAGGTGTTCTGAGGAAATTTTTAGTATCGTATATATAATATATATGTATATATAATAGGTCAAAGGTGGGCAAACGTGGCTCTTCAGAGCCAAAGTGGCTCTCCAGGTATAATTTTCAGAGCTATTACTTCTGCGAGTAAAAGTAAGAAAGGTATAAGATTTTACTCGGTAGACCTTTTTATTGATGCTCTGCAAAAGTTAAAGTTTGCTCACCCCTGGTATAGGTTCATCTGAGGGCCTTTGATACTTTTGAAGACTATTTACACAAACATTTTATACGCAATGGTGTTTTTGGGGACGAAATCGAAAAAATGTAATCTGAGCCTTTTTAAAATCATGAATGAAAATTGCCAGTCGGGCGCATTAAACTCGCATACTCTGTATTAAAAGGGTTATTTGTTTTTTATGAAATAAAATCGTCCCTGGTAGCCAAATCAACGTAAGACTGACGGCAGACTTACATATGATGGCCTAAGATTATCATTTAGGTATGTGTCTGCCGTTTTTCGGAAGCAGACAAACGTAAGATTTTCCTCAGGAAATTTAATGTCAGACATAAATGGTAATCTGACTCTGAAAGGAAGCAAACGAGCCTAAGACTGATGACAATTCTTACGTCAGGCCTAGCTACTAGGGGCTCGAAAGTATATAAATATATTCTTGATCAAGATGACGAACTTGACAATATACTAAAACTATAAGGTATAAATAATGTGATTTGAACAAGAGGCATATTTTCATATCAGTGTAAACTTGTATATCAACAGCTTCGCAGGATCCGCTTTGCCTCACTGAGTTACTACTCTCTAAAAATCAAAAGATTCGTCTTGCCCTATAAATCTGTTTTCTCCCAGTTCCCTGTACTCAGTTAATCGTTTGATGAATAGATCTATGTAAGTACATAAATTATTGAAAAAAAACAAACAGAATAATCACAGTATTCAATATCCTTTTTTTACAAAATAAAAGTACAAAGAAGCTAAACAAACGTTGAAACTAACATTCGGTATTACAGTTAAATGAAGGTAGAAAACAGCCTTATGATTAGCAAATTGTTATTATGAAACAATTGAATTAATATTATTTCATTTTTTTCTATTTTGTAATCAACGGAATATGTGGCGTACTTCTTGCGTGCTGATAAATATAACATCATTTGAATTTTTTAACCAATAACGAATCAATGACTTTATCAATTAGAATCAATTAGATTAACAATCATGTAAAAAGTTTTTCGCGAAAAGAGTAAATTCGATCTTTTATAACTATAAAAGTTTTACTACTCTAGAACTAACATGAAAGTTCTTATCTACTCTAATCAATAAATGTTCAATCAAAAAAAATTTTTCAACTACTAAAAACTTTTTAGTTATATTAATCATTAACTCGGAAAAATTCAAAATTACTATTTATTATAAAATCAATTATTTTGTAAAAAATTAAAATACTTACAACTGTTAAAGCTCTCATTTTCAAAAATGGCGGTAGATCAGTAAACAAATTATCCGCAAGCGAAAGATTCCTCAATTCCTTTAGTAATTCAATTTCAACTGGCAAGTTCTTGATTTTATTACGATCGAGGATCAATTCTTTTAAACTGAAAAAATTTAATTTATTAAATTGGTATAAAAATGTGATCTAAATCAACAATCATATTTGCATGTATCAAATTAAAAATGATGCATTCGAAAAGTTCAGTTACACAAATTTTTATTAAAACTGGATAAGATTATAATTTTTGATATCAAATAATATCAATTACCAGATGCATATGTATAACTAAAATTTTCAAATTTTGTTTTTGATACGGATATTCAAACATAATAACCTAAGTCTGTTAGTATAATATGCAGAATATCGTCATATTACCCTCGTCCTATTCCTCCATGTAAAACACTCAAAAATAAATAACCATGGAAAAAATCACTTTTTGAAACTTAAAAACAAATTGACATCCGTAAGCAGAGAAATACAACACTCTGATTTACTAATTTTTAAATAAAAGTATATGTATACATGTATTCGTATGATGTCGGTAAAGAATAACTCAAGTATAAAAAGGAAAAAGAAAGGAAACTGACGGGAGTAAAGTCGTAGAAGCGTAGCGAGGACACGCTCACTACTGCGACGGATGCACTTGTAAGGATGTTTCAAGTAGAACTGATACAATGAACAGTATTTTTAGTAGAGTCATAATATACTGAGTCAACATGAACGAGGAAGAAGTTTCTTTTTTACCTTCATCCTTCTCTTTCTCTTTCTTTCACTAAGACAGTTTACTGAATAAGTAAGTTTTCCATTTTGACGTAACGAGAATGAAATCGTTACTAAAACATGGACATCAATATCACAATTTTGTATATATACACATAGGTAAACGTAATTTGGTTTCTTGAAATTTAAGTATAACATAATAAGAATTAACTTTACGTAAAATGAAACTTTTAACCGTAGGAAAAAAAATTACCAAAAATGATAGGTACTCCAAGAACAATTGTTACATTTTTAAGATTTGCAATAAATTTCTTTGAAACCCGAGTCAGAATATAACACCTATTTTTATCCTAAAACCATACTTTCTTAAGGTTCGATTCAAGATGAAGAAATCCTAATTAAAGTTGGAATACGCAACAAATCAGCATTTCCGTAGGGCAAAAATTTTTCATTTTTATCCTAAGCTCATACTAAATTTATCTTTTCTTCGTCCTAATTCTATTTTTCTTATGCCTTAGCGTCATCCTACTTTTTCTTATTTTAATCTAATTTTATTTGAGATTCGAGTAATTTTATCATCATAGAGAAGATTGCAACATGCATATGAAACTCAACCATGTGGAAAAGAAGTTCTATTGAAACAATATTATCATGTATGTATGATATTTGTATAAACTTACTTGATTAGTTGATAAATTTCTGTAGGTATTTCTTCAATTTTATTCTCCGAAATATCAAGCGTCGTCAAACCTTTCATTTCTATCAACACCGTTGGAATTGTTGATAATTTATTATGCTTCAGATATACCATTTGGAGTGAAGGGAATCTTTTTTTTGAAGAATATAACATGAAACATAGTTAAATTGTAAAGAATTATGTATTTTTCTGCATTTTAAGTTTTATAAGAAAAAATCTTTCTTAAATATTTAAGAATTCAAGAACTATAGTGAATTGATTTTATTGGCAACCACCAGATAATATTTTCGGCATATTTTTTCAAAAAAAAAGTTTATACTGATACATACAATAAATTTTTCGTTTTTTATTGCGGTATAAAACATGTAACCTTGGAGCGTTAAAATGGAATTTAAGTAATAACTTATGATATAAACATGGTAACAAGTACATAATATGGACTATTCAATTACCTTTTTAAAATAGAAAAGTTATTATCATCATCTTCTAACAGATTATAACCCAAATGAATTTCTTGAATTTCGGAAAAAGCTAAAGCGCAATTTGGGATTCTGGTTACACTGCTATTACTCAAATCCAGTTTCCTTTTGCTATCAGATGTTTCTATTGCCTACGAACAAAAAAAAACACACGTACATACATGATTTGACACTAGGAAATAAGAAAAGAGTCAGCCAAAACAATTAAATAAATAAAACAGCAAATACTTAAATTAATTAAGTCAATCAGATCAGTAATTAAGGTGGGTAATTAGACTAAGATAATTAATGACCAGTACCAAGCGTGTTAGATTTTCAATACTGAATGTTTATTTAACAAACAACAATCAGACTATTTGACAGGATTACAAACTACCGCTGAAACGGCTTAATATGAAGAATGTTCGGTTATATTACAAACTAGCATTCATCATATTTATAATATCAAATTACTTAGTATTAAAGAGTTAATCATGGAAAACATCCCTAACAGTAAAACGAATTTGATATATTTTGAACTGCCAAAAAAGTAGCAAATACCTGTTTGAGCCATCCTCGCCATAATTCACGGGTCCAAGAATGATCGAAACCAAGATAAAGATGTTTATTTTCATGGTGACCGTTCGCTGATATTGTTTCTCGATTGCATGGACGTTGTTCTGAATTATAATTGGAATTCCATCGACTCAACATTGGATAGCCTGTAACGCGTAATACGAATTTGCCGAATCGTGATGGGGCGTAACAAATAGAACCACCTTCTAATTCTATCCATTCCGCTTGAGAATCAGAATTTTCTGTATAGAAAGAAAATTTATATCAATAAACACATTTTCTCTGTTAAACTCGTTTAAGAAATGGGATGCTTATTAATTTGTGAAATTATGAATATATATATATATATATATATCAATAACATAAATGGTTAAAAAATGATGTTTATTTGGATTTAATTCAATTTAGAAAATAACAGAATGATATTTGAGACCATAAATCAAACTGCTGGGATTTGATTTAATCCAAAATTATACGAAAGAGCACATATTAAATATTGTTTAAATGAAAGAAGTATTTCAATATATTGCAACTTCAGAAAATAAAAAAAATGATATTCTTCAATGACATAGATTATCTAAAGAGAATAATTCTCTCATTTTCTAAGGAAAATGCACAACTATTTTTGTTATTACATTATATAAGAAATCAATTAAGTACTAGTGACATAAAAGATGAGTGATAATACGATGGTAATTAATTTTTAAGATATGCCAGATCTTTAACTATAAAATTGGTTGGTGTAATTTCCATCAGTAACAACATGGTTATATTTATAACATACAACTAATAATTCGTTATTTCTCTCCATTTAAAACACAAATTTAACATTTTTTTGAACTACACTGTTATAATGCTCGATGATATATTTTTTTCTTACCTGAATGAAGAAAAAGTCCCGAACCAACAACGACCAAAACCCTTTTCTTCCATTGTGGCGTAACAAGACCTTTCAATATCCAAACGAACCCACATCGATTGTATCCTTTTAAATTTTTTTCTGGAGCAGATGGACCTAGAAAAAGATTCTGATTTTATTTTATTCGATTTTTTTCAAATTAATAGGACAAATAGAGCATTCCAATTTACAGAAACGTAAAAACCCGAATGGTACTCAGTCCTCTCACAAACATTGGACCTTGAAGTTACAGAAATATGATGGCAACATAGAAATAAAATTAATTTTGTACAAGTTGAGCATCCCTATTTTAACTCACTTATTTTATAATCATCATTAAAATTCTAGTCATTTATCTTTCACGTTTGTCTTAATTAGTGTATCATATTCTGACTAGTTAATTGAAAATTATTGGAAATAATAAGGATTCTTCAAATATATAACGCTTTGTGTGTACTAAGGTTCTAAATTTTTTACTTAATTTGCATTTAATAAATAACTCCAGTTGGCTTAAGATGAAGCTAATTGAAAGTAGAAGATTCTTGTATGATTAACCTTAATCACCATTATTTTTATAAAGAAGCTTTTTAAATTCATTTGAAAATTTAGATGCAGTTTAATCGATAACATAATTATCAGTCCAAGAATTTTAGCATAATGTCTCTTTTGTGAGAATAGAAGTTGACTTCCTCCAGCAAAAAAAGGACAATTTTTTAATTATATCGATTCCGTGTTTTGAAAACAATAAATAATTTACGTTTACTCACCAGCATAAAAAGTTATTAAATGACGCAGTTTAGGATCCACTCCTAGTCTTGCTCTTTTTGATGAGTCCTCATAACCGAGATGCTGAAGAAACTTTTCTTGATACTCCAATGGTTTGTCATTGGGTGCCAACCGTTGCCCAAATACTCCATTATGCTGTAAAATTTGATAAACATTATTGATCCATCAAAAAAATAATATTAAGCAATAGATTTGTCACTTCAATTGGTGCGAAATCAAAAATTTAAAAATCATTATAATTTTAATGACTATGTTGGTATTTAATTCAATTCTGGCAAACTTAATACTAAATATAAAATATTTACCTGGACGTAGAGAGATATTTCATTGCAAGATAACATATCTCTACAAACATCTTCAACTGTTGTATTGATGGTGATCTGGAAAAGACGAGTTTTCGTTCCTGTATGTATCCTTATCCACCCACTTTGGGATTGATGATCAATTCTATCTCGGAAAGAAGAATCAATCCATTTTTGATGATATTCGTCTTCATCATTTTCGTTGTCTTGTTCAATCATAGATAAATTTGTATTGATATAATTATTACCTACAGTTGAACTAATCTTATGATCATTCCCAAAATTCAGATTATTGTTTCGACTATCGCATTGGTTCGTATTTTCTCTGAGTTTATCAGGACTTTCATTATCATTTAACTGAATTTGTTTCTTTTCATTAGCATAAGTGTTTACGAGTTTACACCTTACTATTTCTTCATGTTCCTCTTCTTTCTTATGCTGAGAGTCAAACGAATGTTCGCAATTATCACTACATGAATTCATATTATACTCAAAGTAGAGTTCTGAACCTTCTTGATGATTATTATCAGTATCAATTTCGATTACATCGATATTTCGTTGATCATTTTCATTTAGAATTTGAAGTTGGTTTGAATGAAAAGTTCTTGGATATTGCATTATATCTTTATACGAAGCATTTTTTTCTTGTTGATCCGAATCTTTAAAATGCGGTAGAACATGATCTTCATGAGCTAGCAATTTTTTTTGACAACTAGTATTATCAGCATGTGAACGGTATTTTGTATATCTTTTAGTAAGTTCATCAAGCGATGTGTCATCAATAGATTTCGATTTTTTATTTACAGAAAATTTATTATTAATCGGACTCTTTTCATCTTTTGAGAAATATTTACATTGATGAGTACTTACCATAGCTTTTTCTACGAAGTCATTAAGATTAGCTTTATTCATTGGTTCCATCTTGAATTTAGCATTACCATGCTCCTCGTTTTTTTGTACATTTGATAACACATTTCGGCTTTGACTTTTTCGTTTAATGATGCCATTTGATTGGTTTATATCACTTACAGTACTTGTAGAATGTTTTGATGTCTTTCCGGATTTAGCTTGAAAATTTGTGTAATTTGCAAGAATTTTCAGGTTTAATTCTCGTATAAATTCAAGTCTTTCAGTAATAGAGTCATCTATTCTTTTATTTGATGGAATCCAACGTCTCTTAACTGCCTCACTCAGATCAAAATCACGAGTCAATTCTATTGCATTATCCTGGATTCTTCTTTTATCTTTTTTCTTTCTTCTCGAAATTGTACATTCTCGAGGAGTTCCGATTTCATATTTTGCACTCTTCTGAAATTTATTCATGGATTCCATTTTCTGTAGGACAGCTGTTGGTACACATACTAATAAGTCTATTGCTTGTGAATTTTTTTTTATTTGAATCACAAAAAAATTTTTTAATTTAGATAATTTTTCTTACTATTTAAATTTCCAGATGTTTTCGTGTTGTGAACTTATTGATAGTAAAGTCTTAATTATCTATCTGATACAAAAACTAATTCCTTATCTGAGTTTTCTTTTAATATTGTCTTTTTTTTATCCATTGTTCTCTTATTACACGTAATTCAATAATGAATCATGAAATTCTTGAAAAAGTTTTCGAGTAAAGCTTCAAGCTATCACTATTTTTCGTTAAATGTTCTTTTCTGCTCTATCGTACTCGCGTCTGTAAAGAAAAATAATTCATGTATTAACTTCTTTTTTATGTAATAACATGTATTTTATTTATGCAATATTTTGATGAATTATTTATATAAATAATTTTTTAATGAAAATTATATAATGCTACGATGACTTTTTATGCATACAATAATACTTTGGCTTCTAAACTATATTCATTATTAAAAGAAACAAATGCCATTTTTTAATCATTGCAATAAAGTTGCATTTTTAATATGTATTATCATAATTAAAATTAATTAATTTATTATTACCATTTTGTTTTTATTTTAAAAAAATTTAGTCGGTGTTTGCTTCTTTAATAAAAGATCTTACATTGTATTTACATTGTTATAACGAAATGTTTAGAAATCTGTGTCGAGCAATATCTTCTTTCAGAAATAACCGGCATCGTTCAATTGAATGGATTATTACTAAATCCTTATTTATTATTACTTAACCTCAAATTGTGAATTATAATGTATACCACAGCAATATTTATTTATGCAATACTTAATAATATTGATAATATTGATTGATTTGTCAATTATTCAACATAATTAACATTTATTTAACATTCAGTTTATGAAATTAATGTTTCTTTTCGATGTGGTATGGTTTTGGAATATCCATTTGGAAAATGGAATATTATTGTTTTGAAGAATAGTTAGTGAAAGAAAGTAGCAGAAATTTTTTACATGCAGATATCATTTGATTTTAGGTTATATAATTAATCTTGAAAAGCAATGTTCACGTATTATTAAAAATACATTGCTTTCAGTTTCAACCATTCAGATTTATCGTTATTTGTTTCACCATCTTTCACCGCAAGTGCGCTACTGTGTGTATAAAGTACGGAAATGACCGAAGTAAATCCGAATCTATCCGAACATGTCGAAATCGTATAGACAATATATTGCGATAAAAGAAATTGTTGCAATTTCTAGAAAAAATTTCATATCGAATGTTTTACGATATTAAAATTTTTTTTTCAAATTGGATATACTTAAGAGAGTAAAAAAAAGAAGGTAACTTTTCTAATAAGTATATTTGAAATCAAACATGAGAAAATATCTCATAGCAATATGTCTGAAGGGTTGTTAATTCTACATGTTCTGATTTAAAGTAGATTAATTTTTAGACAAAATTATTCCAGACAAAGTAATTAATATTCTTATAAGCCTATAATTTTATTGAATTCTTTGACCTTGAGATTTTTGTACTTCATTCAAGTAAACTGATGCAAGTAGTAAAATTTATGAATGTAATTAATCTTAACTTTACTGATATTATCAAGTATCCTTGCTGATAACCAAATTTGACCAATATTTTATTTTGAATTGTTGGAAATTAATTATTCAATCGTGTTATCGTAAAGAAGGTGTTATTAATAAATAATTGTAAATTTTCAGTTAAAACTGTAATTTTTTTATAAATGTACTCTTGTGAAAATTAAACATGAAAAGAATAAAACATAATTGTTATTTTTTAGTTAAAAATTGTACAGTGAAGTTCTTTCTCAATAAAAAGAGACTAAACTATGAGCTATTGAATAAAAATTAACACATCATCGTTTTCGGTGAGAAACTTTGTAACTGACAAATTCATCGCTTTATATTCACGAAATGTTATATTCTGAATACTAATATGTATGCAATAGGTTATTTTTTATGTGTGTCTTCATTTTAATATATTATAACAAATATGTTAAAAATTTGAAAATATTGTCTTTTTTGATACGTAGTATCACACGACCGGAAACTCAACTATTTCTTTTGTCTCCCAAGCCATGCAGACTTACTCGGTGTAAAACGATTTTTACAAAGCTATTAATTGATAGAACTTTTCAAAATTTATTTACTGAAAAATGCAATCCATACAACACACTTTATAAATATTCATTGAACAAATCACACAAAAACATTTACTTTTTTATAAACAAACTTACTAAGCTTTTGGGATTTTGTAAACTATTTGAAAATTGTTACATTTGATAAAGCACACACTCTTGCAGATAAATAAAATTAATTTCAATGGAAAAACGTTAAAAAACAATATTTTTTACATAAATATTAACTTGACACCATGCGTGAACTCGCGCCACTGTGATGATGAAGACTGACCGGTACAATGTGATGGCACAGTAACATTATGCCAGGTGCCACCTGTGTCTCATGTTCTACCTGTTGAGGGACGAAAAGTACATAAAGGTTGATCGGAAACGAAAGATATGTATACATGTATGAGTTTGCAGCTTTTCGAAGTTATAACTATCTTTCTCTCTACTATACACACATAATGCGTAATTTGTGTAATGGAAAAGGAAATGATATACAGTAGGTTTCGAGTTGTCCCTCTGTACTCTGCATTTACCAAACGTAAGAGCAGGATGTACGTTTCCGCTTATCGATCTCTTTCTGTTCGAGTGCCCTTCATAATGTTATAATCTCTACGCATCGCAGCTGTCTGCATATCTTTGTAATTATATAACTATGAATTGGTTTCTTTTTCTCTTGAAATTTGATTCAACTAGAATGTAGCATTGATTTGAATAGATTAATTTAACAAAAGAAGAATTTTGCAAAAAAAAATAGCATAAACTGTTTGACTCAAGAAATTGTATTGCTGTTAATCTAATTGTAAGTTCAAAAACATTTGTTATTATTTTTTTTTTTAATTTTTAAGGATACTAAAAATCACTATTTGGTGTATTACGTTTCTACTTTGGGTTTACGAAGATCCTGAACAACATCCGAGAATCAGTGAAAATGAAAAAAAAAATATCCTCAGTGTATGTTGATAGTAATCTTTCTAATCTATTATATAAATTAAACGAACTCGATCTTGTAAACGATCAATGCCACTAGTTCTGTAAAATGATGTGGTATTAATTGAACCAAAGAATCAATTTTAATTCTGCAAGATAAAGTTATTTCAAAATAAAAGTAAAACAAGTTTTTGGCAGTATTACTATATTTTATGGATTATTGAAGCAAAATCATTCTTGATGAAAATATCAAACAAAATCGCGGATAGTACTTAAAGTAATTACCTTACACTGGTTACTAGAGTAATTATGATTTTGATAAAAGCTGTTGGTGAAATCTATCATGTTTTGCAGTAAATGTTGTTTGAACAATGGTTGTTTTTTCAATTACTTGAGTTGCATAGCAGATGAGCCATTAAACTTCTCTCCATGTACTGCATAAAATTTTTTCCTAGCACTCCTTTGAATAAATTTATTCTTCAACAGTCGTGCTTTTTCATCAGTGTTCGGGTAAATGTATTTCACGTACGACAACGTACTTCTCACTATACATTATAGATAAGACATGTACAGTACTAACGAATACTAACAATAAATGTGTAAAAACTTTCTGTTACGAAAACTAAAGTACATATTGTCACGATAAATCAAAGCGTTTTATACGTTACGCGTACTGAATTTCTGTCTTTTTTATACATCATATAACAGAATATCTGCAAAGATTGAGCCATATTATATGAAATGGAGAACGGCGCTAAATATAAGGTGACGGCAGAGGTCTCACAAGGCTTGGTGCTACGGCTTTTTTTCTACAGAATGTAATGTATGATAGACTTCTTGAATTACAACTTCTGGAGTAGACGACATTGATTGGCTTTGTTGATAATGTCATCATGGTCTCGTATTGCTATAGGATACACAACTTGGAGTAGCGCCTCTAATTCTCAGCTCATGCATGACGTTAAGGTGTGAAGATGGACATAACGTTGATCCTAAATGAAGATTGCTGAAAAACCGGAAGACAGTATCATTTACGCAGCGCTTGCTCTGCCTATACGTCACTATCACTCTCAAACTTTGTTTGAAATCAATTTTTTGAATGCATTATTTAAAAAAACTTCTTAAAATTCCTCGGTTGCCGCAGTAGTTTAGGTACGACGAAACTACACGCAGAGAAATGTATAGTAAAAATTACCCTGAATTTTATAGTAATTTGGTGACATTGTAGGGTGAGGGTACAAATTACTATACACATAGTAAAACTAACTGTGCACATTGTTAAAATTACTAAACTGCATAGTAATTTTTAGGGTAAAGTTAGAGTAATTTTTACTATACATTTCTCTGCGTGTAACATGCATATATAATTACCTACGCAAGTCATAGACTTTTTGATGTCTTCTGAAAATTTAATTCTGTGTTTGTAATGATACTTTCTCTAGATACCGCACGTAAAAGAAGTTCTCTATGATTATTAAATGTTTATTGCAGATCAAAAAAATGTCCACAATGGCAGAAAGAAACAAACCGTAGCCAAGTAATTCAGCTCCATTTCAAAATTCTCAGGAATTCAACCCAAAATACAGATTTAGTTATGCTTTAAAAAAAGCTCCTTAAATTGGAGTTTCAAATAGAACTAAAGAATGAAGATGTTCAATATTATAAAACGAAAGCAGAAAGATCAAAAAAGAGCGTTTTTATTCTAAAATCAAAAATAGGCAATGACATTGTGGACATGTTGGTGATCTCAACACAGAATCAAATTTTCAGAAGACATCAACAAGTTCTATGACGTGCATTAAACAATTACTGTATCTTTTCAGTAAATAATACGTAATAATAATGCTGTCCATTTCAGTAAATCAAACTTAAAGAAAAATTGAGTACTGAACATTATTCTTTGTACACAAATTTAATATTTTTTTACTTAATGAATGGAATATCTGTTATTAATTGATTTTAAATTATTTGCATATAATACTTAATCGAGTTAAATTTGAATTTCACTCTTTTTTGTGCTAAGCCTCTCTACTGATGGACTGTAAAACTAAGGTCAATGTTCCAATTGTCGGCTATAAACCTATTTCCTCTCGGTAAATTTAATTTTGCAGTTAAAGAATATTATTTTGTTGATATATTTATCATCCTTTTTTCATGATTACACAAGTATTGAATTATCAAAGAGTTATAATGATGTATTTTGTTTACGATAAAAAATTATTCTAAAATTTAATGAGTGACAATAGGTTTATGAGCGACAATTGAGACAATAACCTCATCTTATTAGGATAAATGTAGAGATAAGTATCACTATACATACTAAATTGTATCGAAAATAATAAATTGAGGATGTTGATAAATTGATAAATACTGTGTAATTGAGGTTAACCGAGTTGGTGTGCTATCGACTTTCTCTGAATAAATGTGGCATTACTCAGCTACCTTACCGTACAATCAGTTTTCGTATCTGGAAGCACACTATGAATTAATTTGTACTATTGTTAGCATTAGTAAAAATGTGGTAGAAAAAAAATTTGGTATTAAACACACGGACTTATTGTCGATGTTTAATTTTTTTGTTATGGATAAACCTTGCCAAGAGAATGACTTTATGTACCGAAGTATCAAAAGATTTATCGTTGTATTGAAAGACAATCACATGAGATTTTGCTGCAAACTATTATTTAATATGATTTTCGTTTAATTTAAAAAATATATAAAAATAATGTTGAGGTTTATCAATATTTATCGAAATATCCTGAAAACATAACAATAATAATAATTACATCTACAACATAAATGATAATTTCAAATTTGATAAAAATAATTATTTTATAGAGAGGAAGAATGATCTATATTTTTAATTGAATATTTCTCTTCAATTAAACTCGTATTTAAGTATAGTAAGCGATTAATGATAATGAATTTAGATAAAAATGATTATAAGCAAAGATAACTTTCGAGTCTGTCTTT